ATATATAAAAATAAAAATAGAATTTAAATTTATTTAATAAAGAATAAAAAAATATTATAATAAAAATAAATTAAAAAAACTAATTTTAAAAAAGAAAAATAAAATCTATTTATTTTATAAAAATATTATAATAATAAAATTAAATAATAAATTAAATTATAAAAAACTTAAACTATTTAAAATTCTTAAAAAAAAAATTAAATATTAATTATAAATTATTATTATTAAATATAATATATATTTATTTAGTTTTTTATATTTTATTATTTAAAAAAATATTAAAAAAAATATATTAAATTAGAATTATTTAATTAAGATTTATAAAAAAGAATTTAAATTAAAAAAAATTCTAAAAAAAGAAATTAAAAATAGATAAATCTTTTTTCTAATTAAATAAAAAGAGTATATAGATAATAATAATATATAAAAATCTATTAAATATTTAAAGAATTATTATTAATTTATTTAGTAATTCTATTAATAGAAAAAAAAAATTAAAAAACTCTAATTAAATTAAAATTTAATTAATAATCTCTATAATATCTAGAGATTATATTATATCTATAGTTTATTATTTCTTTAAAATAAACTTTTTCTAAAAATAAATTTTATTTTACTTATTTAGATTTTTAATTCTCTAATAAAATAAATATTAGAATTTTTTCTATATAATTTAATATTAATAATAAAAATATAAAATCTTTATTAAAATCTTTTAAAATACTATTTTAAAAAAAGCTAATTTAATATTTAATTAATATTCTTCTATAATTAATTATTTTATTATAAAAATTAGTAATAGAAATATATATAAACTAAAGAAAAATATATATTATAATACTATTTCTATATTATTATATAATTATTCTATATATATATATTTATTATAATATAATAATATTTTAACTATATAATATATCTTTTTATATTTAAAATAGTTTAAATAAAATATTATTTTAATATTTATTTTCTTAATTAATAATATAAAAACTTTATATTATTAGGATTTCTTAAAAATAAACTATAATATTATTAATAATATAGAAAAAATAATTAAAAAATAAAAAAATTATTTATTAAAATACTAGATTATAAAACTTAGTTTTAGAATAAAACTAATAGAAAGAGAATAATATATTATAAATAAAGAAATACCTCTAGTATTATATATTATATCTCTACTTTTTTATACTAATAAAGAAAGAATTACTCTAGATTATTAATAAGCTTATATAATTCTTAATTTAATTTATTCTAAATTATTAATAAGTTCTTATAAACTATTTAATATATATATATATATTTATTTTACTAAATAGAATACTCTTTTAAATAGTTATTAATATAATTATTTATATATCTATTATTACTAGCTCTATAATATTTATATATTAATAGTAACTTATATTATATAGTTTAAAATAATCTAATTATATTATTTAGAATAATACTCTAATTAGTTTAATTCTAATTTACTCTAGACTCTATCTAGTATAAGTTATCTAATTATTATATTTAAATAAATAAATAATTTTTTTAAATTAGAAAATAAAATATTTAATAAAAATAATTTTTTTTAAAAAAAAATATTTTAAAATAAAAAACTTATTAAATAATAAATATAACTATTAATTAGCTTTTTTAATAGAAAAATATAATTTATTATAAAATAATAATTATTATCTCTAGCTATTTTATTAAAAAGCTAAAAAATTAACTTTATAAAAATAGCTATTAAAATTATCTAAATTAATAGAACTCTTATATATAACTAGAGAGAGAAAGAGAAAGAAAGAAAAAGAGATAAATAGCTAAGCTAGTTAAATATAAATCTACTATCTCTTTTAAATATATAAATATATATATATATATATCTCTATTTTTATAGCCTTTCCTAATCTTAGATTTTATAAAACTAGTTTAAAATAGGTTTTATAAACTTTAATAACCTAAATTAAAACAAGCTCCTAAAGTAGGATTTATACTGTATAATCCGCTATGCAATATTACATACTTTCTCCAGTTCAATACCTATCCTCAAACTATAGGCAGCTATAATCACCTCGCCTTCACAGCCATAGAGCATACTATCTAGAAAAACTTCAGTATCAACGGCAGTCTCAGCCGCAACGAGGAAACGCATATGATCCTTAGCAACAGCGACATCCAACAGCATCAAAGCTTTCAACTGTCAACGGCCTATCAAGTTCTCTAGATCAGCGCCCCGTGCCTTTTTCTAGTATGCACACTAATCCCCTAGTCCCACTACGTCTAACGGCCATTGAATGTGTCGGCGTAAGTCAGAGCTTAAGTGATCCCAGCATTGTTTGAGGATTCCTTTTGCAGACCCTCTCATAAACCAGAAACCGTCGACTCTCATCAGCATAATACAAAAGTGTGCCAAAACTATGAGGGCTTCGGGATACCGCTCGAAGACCAGCTGAATATATTTATCTGAAACCTGTGTCGGCCATGAATACGCAAGTGTTTTGGTGCTCATTGTCTGGCCAGGAGTAGCATCCATTGCAAATAGCCTTCTAAGGTTATTGAGAGCATCACAGCAACTGCTAATATTGTGGTCTTTGTCGCTACCGCCACCCCTATGGCTAAGCCATGCGGAAAGGTGCGCAAGGCGCCTATCTGCGGGGGTTTTGCTGGAATCCGGATCTTTCTCAAGGGGCTCCTCAAGGCAATCGCCAAGCGGTCCCGTCGAGAGCCACTCGAACGCGTAATCGTATATGGCAAAGGAACCTCTGAGAAGACTCAGCAGGTCCGCCGGGGTGTCCGTTCCTGATAGGAGCAAAAGGTCATGTCGTGACCTTGGCTTGGCAAAGGCGTATTTGGTAATTAAATGACCACACGCGTATATGGCATGGCAGTTTTGCTCTGTAACCGAGGCCAGTGCTGAGCGGAAAAGGGGAAGAGCAAAGTTTTGGTGTCTGGCCGCTACTCCCTCGTGGTGTTCGGACTCTTCCGGGTGGAGGTAAGCCAAGTGTAGGGAGGTTAGGGACAAAAGTGCGTGCCTGAAATTATCAGACAAACAAACGACGGCTGACCAAGGATGGGCGTTACTGCGAACTTACATGAGAAACTTGTGATGAGTAGCTAGAAGCGGAACCACTTCCCTCATAGCCACTTGGAGGCTCCGGTTGGGCGCCAGTGACACGGCCGTGGCTTCGTCCCAATGACGAAGCAGTCCGAAATCCTCGAAGGAGAAGGGAGGGTCGTCAGGGCGAACGTGGGCTGGTGACTTGAGGGGGGCGGCGTAACTGCAATCCAGAGTATGCCAGGCACATTTCTGGCATGTGGGCTTCGTTTCGTCGCACTAGGAGTCAACCCCAACTTTCAGTATTGTATAGCAAGGGCTTGAATGGTGAAGGATGAGCTATGGGCGTTATACCTTGACACGTCTCTTCTTGCATTGGATGCAGCCGGTTCGTACTTTTCGGTGCGGCATCTTCGTCTGAGGCATGGTCAAGTTCGCTGTCCCAGGTGCGAGTATACGAGGACGCGACGATGCGAGAACGATTGAACTAAAATCGATGTGTCAAATATTTTTTGTTGGAATCTAAGGGTATTGTTGCAAAGGGTTCAGTGGAGACTGGAGAGGAGGATGCGAGGGAACGAGGGAACGAGGGAACGAGGGAATAAGATACAACAGGGGCGCTGCTGACGGACAGGCATTCTTTCGTTAGCGCAAGCCAACTAAACTAGCGCGCACAGTGATTTCGCCCGGGGATATCCAGGGTCTAAACAACCGGGCGAAGCCAGGAATAAGGTCCATTGAGGAGGATTGTAGGTGGTAGAAACTCGACATGACTGCACTTGGAGGGTTTTCACCAGTACGAATTGGCAGTCATTCCCAAAGCTAATAAAGTGCGAAGGGTCAATATATTAGGCGAAGGATATCAAAGGAAGAAAACATGGCCTATCTGTGCTTGCTACTCTTGTAGTCACATTGCGCTGTGAATAAATTTGTCAACAGGCCCCTTTACCTCGTAACTGCTGCCGATGACTGCACGATTATATCAGCCGCTTTTTCGGCAATCGCGTACACAGTGGCCTGAATATGTGCTGCGATGGGGACCGGGATAACGCTTGCGTCAACCACCCTCAATCTCTCAACTCCCAACACCCTCAGTTGTGTGTCCACAACTCTGCCCATAGAAGCCGATCCAGCTGCATGGAAGAAAGTATTGCCAACTCGTTTGACCCTTGCATCAATCTCGGCGTCAGTTGAGTCGCTGTTAAGGGTCGCAAACCCTTCGGGAGGTATCTCTTCCTGGATCATATCACGACCAAGACTTGTGTCATTGACTAGTCTGAGCGCTTGACGAATGCCATATCGAAGTGAGACGCGATCAGCCTCCGTGGCGTAATAGTTGAGATCAATAACAGGGGGTCGCTCAGGATCGTCCGAGGCAATCTTGATGCTACCACGAGATGTAGGCTTCATGCCAAGCACCGCTGTTGTGATGATGCTTCCATCCAGAGGGACCTCGACCCCGGCAATTTGAGCGCCAGCAGGTGCATATGGGATCAACGTTTCGAGGTGACATTGGTCCGATTGAAGAAGCGCATGGTCCTTGGTCACTTCACCATCCTGCTCCAAAGCAGCTCGTAACATGTCTTGCGGAACGCCCTGCCATGCAATCCAGTCGCACGGAAGCCCTTTGCCGTACGTCTGTTGGTCCCAATGGGGAGTACCCAGCGCCAGCCCATTCTCCGGATGCTTCAATCTCCACCACATGCATACAGCGAAATGGTCGTGTAGATTGCGCCCAACCTCTGGGCAATCGACCGTCTGAGGGACTCCACAGGCTGACAGCTCCTCCTGTGCGCCAATGCCTGACAGCAAAAGAACCTGCGGTGTTCGATATGCACCACAGGACAGAATAACTTCCTTGGACGCGGAGATGACTCGGCCGTCCACCAGCTCGACCCCGGTAACGGTCTTGATGTCCGAAGACTCCTGGACAATGACACGACGGACGATCGTGGAAGTCAGAACCGTCACGTCTGATAGATCGTACACTTGGCTGGCGCACTGCCTTTTGCCGTCTCTCCATGACTCTACCAGCTCTGTGATGCTGCCACGTGCACCCCCCTGAAGAGCCTCAGACTTATTCAAACCAAGTTCCGACCATGCTTGCTCGATAGGACCGCGCAAAGGATACACTCTGTCGAGGTCGCTGTCCGAGACTGGCACCACATGGATCGGGCCGTCAACTCCATGTTGTAACTGGTCGATGGAGCGGCGCGTTTCCAGAAATTCGGTTTTTCTGAAATATGGCAAGAGGCCGCGGTAGCTCCACGCATCGTCGCCTACTGTTCTAGCCCAGTTATCGAAGTCCACGGCCGGGCCTCGCGTCCAAGTACCGTAGTTGATGCCAGAACCTCCAGAAAGAAGCTTAGCTGCCGCTGCATAGCACTCACGGCCGCCAAGATTCGCTTGAGGCACCGTCTGGTATGCATAATCAAGATCCGAGTAGTGTGCTCCAAAGCATGCAAGCGGAAAGGAAGTAAGTGGGTGACCTGTTTGGTCATCGCCTGCTTCAATTAAAACCACCAACAGAGAAGGATCTGCTTGTTTGAGCCGCGATGCAACCACGCAGCCGGCAAGACCCCCACCAACGACGATGTAGTCCGCCTTTTCAGGGTATGTAGAGGCCATTTTGATTTCAAAAGGATTGCCTTGAGGAAGGATCGTTTTCGGAACTGACTTTGCTAGGAGCTGAGCTCGTAGGTTGAAGTTGGGACAAGCTGTGTGCAGTGAAACGAAACGCGGAATCGCAAGCTTTTCCTGAGGGGAAGAACTGAAAGGGCCAAGGGTTGGCGACGAGGAGCAGGATAGTAGGCAGACTGTATGTGATTGACTTATCTTGAGCTCTAAATTGTATAAATTGTCAACTGCAAGAAGATGTTGAACCATCCTTTATAGTCGTCGCTCAGGGGTACTAATTATGGTCAGATCCCGACACATTGCCGAGCTTGTATTATCCATAGGCAAGCATACAAACCATACTTGGTATGAGGGTAGGAAGGATGACCACTGTATGTGGAGCTGACACCGCACTGTTTCATGGCCGCTCGCACTCTCGCATCGTCGCATTCTCGCATCGTCGCATCCTCGTTACATATCACCCTGGCACCGTTCCACTCTAGTTTATTTTATTAGTGTTGGACTTATGTATTATTTGTTTTCTGAATCTTAATACGCTTCAGCTTTGATGCAATTCTGCACGTTACAGAGGACCCGTCCTCTCAAGCTCGATGCCCTCTGCTGTCTCTGAAGATCAGAAAGGCCAGCTACACTCGAACCGAATGAGGAACCTCATTCCAACAGCCATCCACCGAAACGGGGCCTTGCTTGCCTCCAGATATTGCTTGAACAGGAGTTTTAGAATGATTTCACTCGGTGCTAAATCCACCGAGGCCATGACCTTTGCGAAACAATTATTCAATAATTCGAGCCAATTGGTAGGCCAATACTATGCATGCAGTGATTTTGCTGCACAATTGGTCAGTTGCAGTTCCTCCAGCCATAGTGACAGGCCAACTTTGACCAACAGCTATTGCGCAAGGTCAGGCTACGTAAAAAGCCCCTGATATCCTGGTGATGTGTGAGAAAGGAAGGCTGAAATCTCCACTGTCATGTACGAAGTTAGGCCCAGGGAATGACTACTTATCAAATTTCGAGCACGATCGGGTTGCGGAGTGTGAGTTCAAATATTCACAATGTAACATTGCCTGAGTTTGAGTCCGACGGGGTCGAACTTGAGCGGAAGAGGATTTTTTGCACATTGAGTCACCCTCGTGAGATTGTGGGTCACAGTCAACTTGTTGGGCCCTTGTGTGTATAAGCGTGGTTAACTTTATAGGTCTGAACGTATTAAATTCTTTATTGCTGTGTAATACAGAACGCCAGAAAGCATATACGCCAACGACGTCACCTGTGTACTTGGCCTTACATACGGCTCAAGATCAACAAAATGGTCACTGGCTCTTGGAGTCAGGGAAGCGGTAGTGTAGGTGAAAGTCCACGCCATAAATAGCCTCTCCACCACTTAAGTGTTCTTCGTTGCGGAAATCTGAGTCATTCAAATAAGAAGGCATCGCACACTTGACGAAAGCTTTCATGAGAAAAGGTGTTTCAGTGTATAGTGATATGATTGGGGCAGGGCCGAGGCCTGCGAATCAAACAATGTCACGGGGCTTCTAGCATTAGAAGTAACACATACTGCGACATCAAGGCAGCTGCACGATATAGGCACGAGGGAGATCAACATGATTTAGGGTCATGATTTGCGTCGGACGGCCGGCCTGATGGCCTGAGAGCCGAACAGGCTGGATTCTGGCGGGAATAGCATGAGAAGTGCCAATGGCCAATCTGCATGCATACAAGTGTAGGCAGTGGCACGCAGCTAATACCCGATATATATCAGGGGTACTTTAATAGGCGGCTTGCATTGTTTTCTAATAGCTAGATTAGTTAAATAGATTATATATCTTAATAGTTAATAGCTAGATTAAGTCTTTAGTAATTACTTATCTTAATAGAAGATAGCTAGATTAATTAAATAGTAATTGCTTATTATAATAGAAGATAGCTGGATTAATAATATAGTAATTATCTATCTATAAGAGAGATAGAGAGATCTAAGCTACAGAAGGGTCTATCTTTAAGAGAGATATAAAGACCTAGCCTTAAAGTGACTCAGATAACCCCCCCAGAAGCCCAGGTAATAGGTTAGGATTAGGGTTAGGGTTTTTTATTTAATGAATGAAAAAGAATAAATAGATAAGATTACGAAATAATATTATCTGGTCTCTCCTTATTTGTGTTAGCAACGGCGTATGTTGAAATAGCTTCAAATTTCAGTTGTTCCGAGCTATGGAAACTCCCACACATATTGTTATCCCCTAAATGAAGAGGCATCAATCATATTGAGTGAAGACAAATTATGAAATGAATGGGGTGAGTAGCTTTTCAAAGAGGGAGAATTTCACAATCGGTAATTTTCAGATCAGTCTAAAGCTAACCTCTTTTCCTTCCCTATTTGTTACTATTACTAACATGTTCAATTGCCATATGCTTATATCTTATTTACATTTATCCCAAGAGAAGAAACTTCTATTTGATCCTTATAAAATTATATATAGATCTTAGTATAGCTTTCGAGTTAGGAAAGTTTAGCGATTTCGAAGATCCTTTGAGCCGAGCAAGGAGGTATTCATAGCAGAAACGATATCAGATGTGACAGCGACTCTAAAACCTGCTCCTAGCCTCCTATAATAGGCTTAGAGGCATTTCAAGTATTAAATAGTCGCCGGTCTCACCGAAAATCAAGGCGATCCTTCCCTATTCGCCAATATCTTTAGACATACGGAGTATTGGTTCCACTCGACTTCACTCAATTCTCTTTTTCAATCACAGACGTCTTTAATATTTTAGATGTTCTTACCATCTCCGATCGCTGATCTTTATTGGAGGTCTTTTTATATATGTTCAGAGGGCTGGTGTTGCGAAGTATTGCCTTTCAACCGCGTGAATTGCCCGCGATAGAGAGCGAGGACAAACTGTGCAGCTATTTATTCACTACTCGATCTCTCCAAACCCACCCTCTATTTAGTTTCCTTAAGTCAACTTGCCCAGCAAAGCATCGGCACATTGTGTGCACAAAAATGGCGGTAGAAAACACATTGTGGTCTGAGGGCCCAGTAAAGTCGTCTGTTGGTTCTAAAAGCAAGAGATGTTGGCTGCCCAAACTAAAGCAGCTTTTAGTGCTTATTCGGGCTGAAATAACAAATGACTCATCTGTAGAATACCCCGCATCTGTGCGGTATTAAATAGAGCAATTGAAAGAAGTCTACAGACTCACATTCTAACCTCAGATTCACCTACTCTCACGTCGGACTTCAACCGTTTCACCACAACATACCTTCACACCCGCAAACAAAACAATCAAGATGGTGTATCTTATCTGTATTCCAAGCCCATTCGCAACTGCGGGCTTTATAGACGCGCAATCCGGAGAGCTTTCCAGCAACCAAGCAATGGTCGACAAGGAGCCTAGCACTATCTATAACCCGCATTTTTCCTCTGCAAGCAATGATGAAAGTGAGCCATATATGGGATAATTACATCTTCGCTATGTCATTCAGATGCTGATTCTATACCCTCACAGCTGTGAACGACCAGGCCTCTCCCCCTGCCGACGAGGAGGAGCAAGATGAGGATGATTCTGATCGGTAAGATTTATTTTCTTTTTGTGACGTTTAGCTATGGTCCAAATGGGAGGACTTCAGATCATAATTCTTAACTATGGCTGTGTGAGGCAGATTATTCCACATTGTTACACCAGACCCAGAGGAGTACTCTCCAGTTACTCATTCTGAAACCAAGGAGTCCTATTATTTCCTCAAGCTTGGACGCGGACGCGATTATGATGACTATCAAGAAGCCAGAAGGCACAATCCTGTGATTTCCATTGTGGTTGGAGACATCCCACAGGCAGAAGAGGAGGAGGAGGAGGAAGGAAAACCCGGTAAGTTCTCTATTCATATTTCTCTCACACGTACTATCACCTAATTCCATATTATTTCTAGACCTAAATGAATGGTACAAAGTTATACCGAAATCCGAAGATGAACTTGAGGAGGAATATGAGGAATCCGAGGCTCCAGAGGCCTGGACTCATGATGACCTGCGCTCGAACCTGTAAGACTAAGCCATCTTCCCCGTCAGAAATATGAGTGATTTGACACTAATTTGATATACAGGATTGCACAGCAGAGAGCTCTTGCGAATGAGGAAAACGAGGAGTATGAGCAGCTGATGCAGCAGTTGCTAGAAATGTGCAATATCCGACATGAAACCGACATTGATCGTCAGTAGATCAGCTTGCTCTTAGAGATGATAATCCACAAGACACCCGTTCCTATCAAGTGGCCTCAGTTACTATGATAGAGAAAAACTATAGCTAGAATCTCTGAATTTATAGTTGACGTTTTCTCTCTTGGCACATGCATGCCCAACTCAGATATGACACAATAAAATGTTGTAGATCTAAATGGAAAGGAAAGATATAAAGTTATATCAAATATAATGCAAGAGTATTTCATTGTTGAAGCTAGGGCTAACGTAATTCAGGAAGGACTGCTGAGCGAATGGATGGATCAATATGATCCAAAACTGTTCTAGTGGTGGATTCTGTTTTCCGGGAGCATAGGCCAGGTTACGTGTCCATTGCCGCCAGCCAGTGTGTTGTGGGTAGTAGACTCTTATAGATAGTAAGTGGTTGCATCAGAGCGTGAGCTGCCATATATGTTTTGTGTGTATTATATTGAAATGCCATGGAATTCCGAGGTTATTGACACCTACCTGTATGAATTTTTGCACCAAAGAGGAGCATGTTTCTATAAGTACTATAATCTTAGGTGCGTAAACCTAAGACTAAACTTCATGATTTGCCCCCTCCCCCTTTGAGAGATTCCTGATTGGTACCCCAGGTTAGAGCTGACGATAGTTGGTAAGCATGATTATCTATCCCGCGCGGTTAGCTCCACAGGCTTGATGCAGGGTTGTGTTCGGCCTTCGCCTTAATCGCATGTCCGAGGGTGTAACTATTTCGCGTGTTAATGCATGCTCTACTGGTACCACTTCACCAGATTTATTACGTAGGGATACAACATACAGTATGTATTCAAAAGTGAGAATGAACCGCGCGGGTCTGGTTCCCTGCCACTAGGGTTACAACGCCAAGCTGCAACCAAGAGCTGGTCATGAATTAGAGAGCTACGCACACTGGGCTTTTGCATAGGATTGCCTTGAAAAGGACGATGGAAAATTGCTGATGAGGGAAATTATGTATGTCCTCAATTGGTAATCAGGCGAATGAGCGGTACAGAGGTCATCTGACTCGCATGGCCGAATTTGAATAAGCAAAGGTGCATGTTGAGTAAGATTGTGGATTAGCATAGGGAAGACGACTAGAATCACGAATCAAAGGGTTATAAAACCGTTGAAAAGGTTCACAAAAGCCTATCGATGGTCTCTAGCCTGTCTTACAACCATCACACAGATATACCGTCTTCCATGACCTCAATCGAATATGTCAAGCCAAACCGCCGAACAATCTCAAGGCCAGCCCATTGAGACAGATGTTCTCATTATTGGAGCCGGCCCGGCCGGTGCCAGTCTAGCAAGCTTTCTCGCAAGCTATGGTAACTCTTTCTCTGAGCTTTCTAATAATCGCTGTTCTGACATCACGGATCAGGCGTAAAAGGCATTATGGTGAGTAGAGACAGCACAAGCGCTGAGACTCCGCGTGCGCATATCACAAATATGGCTACGTTTGGTGAGTAGCTGCCAGCTATGAGACGCATTGCATATTTTCTCATCTTCTTGTCGTTAGAGTGCTTCCGTGATATCGGGCTAGAGGATATCTTGCGGAATGTTTCTATTCCTATCGACGAAACTGATCACCTCTTGCGATGGTGTCTATCCATGTCCGGTCGGGAACTAGCTCGCAGGTACACCCTCCAAACAACACCTCAGAGAACAGTAAGTCCAAGTAAAGCATCTTTGAAGCACACGCGGGGCTGATTTTCATTTCAGGGCGAGTACAAAATTGCCAGCCCTTGTGAGCATATGGACCTGCCACAAACCAGACTAGAGCCCGAGCTCGTTCGTTTTGCCACTTTGAATGGATTTCAGGTCCGCTGGGACACCGAGTTCCGATCGATGGAACAGGGTGACTCAAGGGTGACTGTAGACCTTTTCGACAAGGTCACACAGCAAATATTCTCCGTCTCGGCAAAATACGTCTTTGGCGCCGATGGTGCCGGATCTCGAGTTATGAGGCACCTTCAGATGCCAATGGAAGGATTTCCGTCGACTCAATGGGCCGTCAACGTGTTTCTCAAAGCGGATCTTTCTCATTTGATGAAAAGCAGGCCAGCGGTCCTGAGCTGGGTGTTGCAGCCTCATCGTGACCACGCCGATTTCAATATGGTCTGCGTCGTACGTATGGTTAAACAGTGGGATGAATGGGTTTTCTCTTTCCTCCCTGCCCCGGGTGCCAAAGAAGAACTGCTGTCTAAAGAGCAATATCTGGAAGAAATCCAGCAGGTGATTGGTGACGATACACGCGTGGAGATTACCCATATGAGTCGATGGCGTATCAACGAGGCGTACGCAGCTCATTTCTCGGTTGGTAGAGTGTACGCTTCACAAAACCCCCTGATTCTCTCCACGTGTTATTCTGAGATCTTAATTTATTTTTAGATTCTGTCTTGGGGATGCCGTTCACCGCCACCCCCCTGCAATGGGGTTGGGCTCCAACACAAGCGTTCAGGATTCTTACAACCTTGCTTGGAAAGTAGCATATGTCCTGCAAAGTAAGATGAAATTGCTTAAGTTGAATGTTCGATAGATATTATTTGCTGAATCTTCGCTATAGATAAAGCCAGCCCACGTCTTCTTGATAGTTACTCACTTGAAAGGCAACCTGTCGGAAAGCACATGGTGACCCGGTAAGCAGCGCTTTCCGTAATTTAACAACTCTAATTGACTTCAATATTTCTTTCTAGCACTAATCAAGCACTCCGGCGACACGTACCTATTTTCGAACTCTTGGGACTGGTTTCTCCCTCCATTCCCGAACGACTCGAAGCTCTTTCGCTACTCAGCGCCAACTCTAAGACGGGCGAGCAGCGCCGTACTGAATTTCAAGCTGCTACAGATGCCTGTGTAGAGACCGAACTGAATGGACTGGGGATCGAGTTCAACCAGGATTACAGCGATAGTCCGGTAATTTGCGCTGACACCAGCGACAGTGCTCCTGTGAAGCCCGCGCTTGGAGGAAACCCAGATCCTATACGGTTCCACACCCGAACCACCATCCCTGGTTGGAGGCTTCCACATGTTTGGCTGAACAAGGCCGTTCCTGAGAAGGAAATCTCTACCATTGACTTGGCGGGAAAGGGCAAATTCGCTCTTTTCACGGGTATTGGAGGTGGTGTTTGGAAGGAGGCAGCAGCCAAGCTCTCTGCCGATTTGAATGTGCCCATTCGCACTATTTCGATCGGCTATGGCCAGGACTTCGAGGATTTGTACGGTGACTGGGCTCGGATTAGAGGAGTCGAGTCGTCGGGCGCGGTGCTTGTTCGGCCCGACAACTTCGTCGCTTGGAGACATGGGAAAGCAGACGGCGACGAAACATGGGCTGTAGAGAAACTGAGCTTGGTGATGCGAAAGGTTCTTGCCCTCGACAACTAATTTTGGACATAGAATATGGTTAAAAGATCAACACGATTCATGATGAAGGCCTACGCAACTTATCTATGCCAATAAGTGTGGACAATGGTACAACGTTAAAAACACGACGAAAGATAGCTATGATATAGTCGAGCCCTCCTCTTTCTTGAATTTATCATCTGGTATCATCTGGAAAGGAGATTTATTGGCAAAAGATGAGAAGTTTTTTTTTTTTCTTTTGAAATGTTTGAATTTCAAAGGATTATTTCCGTTAGAGAAACTTATTTACCAAATGAAATGCTAAGTCAGAATACCCCAAAGTCGAAGCAACAGCAGTGAGAGTGTTTCAAAGCATCCAGACGGGATAATGATTTTTGTCGTTTACTCGACAAACGTATCAGGGTCATCTCTCCATGTACACCAGACAGCCTGATAGTCAGAGGCACCTCGTGATCTTAGATTGAACTGTCGACAATGCGGGGCGTAAATTCGAGACATCGTGTTACGGTATCCTTCCCTATCCGCAAGCTCTTCGGCATCTCCTTCATGCAAAAAGCGGGTTGTTTTGAGAACTTCTGGGATGCCTTCGCCTAAATCGTGATAGAATGCATTATGGCTCTGGATGCCCATCTCCAACCGCACCTTGGTACCATTGCAGCGCAGCGCTTCAAAGGCATTTAGGTCATCAGCCTCCTGCATTAGCCAGCCACTAAACAGCAAACCAATGTAAGCGAGCCTTTTGAAGCGATATCCCTGTTCGATAATGTTGAGCAACTCGGCCACCTGTTCCAGGATCATGATTCCACATTCGGAGATTTTGAGATACTCTAGACCTTCAGGAAGACAATCGATGATTCGTGCCGATCCTTCGATCTCCAGTGGCATTGGACAATCGTAGGAATCATCACTGCGACTTTCTGGTTGAGATGGAAGCATTCCAGCAAGAGCTTGCATACCCAAAGTGAGCCTTTTCAGCTTGTGCATCTGACGAAGTCCTGTTCCCATGTACAGCCTCTCCGGACAGGCTTTCCAGCTCCACTGTTTGTCAAATTCTTCTTCTAAACTGAGGTAGAGATGTTGAATCGTGTCGGCATGAGGCAGGATAGCATCAAGAATATCCCGCGGCATCATAAACTTGACAGAAGCGTCCTCAGAATGAATCTGGAAGTGAGATATTTCAAGCTTCTTGAGGGCTTTGCAGGCGCCTAGCATGCTCTTGAGCATCATTGCCGAACAATGGCAACTCCGCAGCGTTATCTTCTCAATAGAGGAAGACCTGGGTGGTAGAGCTCTGAAGTTATCAGCAGCCGCTTGGTGTCCATATGCCAAAATACATTCATAAGACTTTATTTGGGGGAATCTGAATATTGATGGTCCTTCAACAGAGAAGGTTGTGTAACCGCCCTTCCAATCAATTGTCTCATGGAAAACGTCTTGGACATTCGAGAGGGGAATGACCATCCTGGGAGAGACAGTCCAGACAGAGCCAGGAGAGTATATTGATTCATGGATGTCCCGAAGATTGTGTACCAATTGTAGTAAACGGATGAAGTGGCATGAGGTTGACGGTTTCTCGAAGAGTAGTCTTTGGATATTGGGGCAGGTAAGTAATATCAAGGCGGCCTGAGCGTCAGACGAAGCACCTCTTCTGAGGTCTTCAACCCATCTAGAACACCACCGGTCGTTAAACTCGGAGGGCAATTGACCCAAGATAAATCTGATATGTTGGTGATAAACGGAAAGTTCCGATTCCGTAACGTCCTGCGGCAGATTTTTGCCATCCGCGTCCTCTCCATCTTCCGAAACTCGGCCCAAAATGACGGTTTTGACATGCGCAGCAAGCCAGGGCTTGGAAACCAGAATATATCGCAGGAATTGTGCGTTGCGCACCCGTGAGCATGGTCCTTGGCCTCTCGGGTGCCGGACCGTGTTTCGGAAGATGCTCACGGATAAGGGCAGCGCGACTTCGTATAGCTGCTTGCAGGTTCTCAGAACTCCTTGCAGATTTGAGGTGCCAAAAGATACCGTAAGATTGGAGAAGATCTTCGTTTGGATCTCAGGAGGTAGCGTTAAAAGCGCGGTTGATTTGAGCTGTGCTTGTGCCATTGTCCCGCTTTCTTTCTGCAGGATGCATGATGGTCGGTGTTGGTGCAATAGGATTGTTCCGTTGGTTGGGGCACTGAGAGACTGCCCAGGTTTCTCTTGCTTACGTATTTGTTATGTCACTAATAATAGAATAAAATATGGCGATTGATCTAAGCGTCGATATACTGGTTAAAATGATTCCAAGATGAAAATAAAAGGTTTCACAAAATAAGATTCGCCTTCGATTGCATGCGGAAGACTGATTCTCCATCTGCAGCGGGTTATAGTGTCAAATTGACGGATTAGTAATATAAGCAAGGCGTGGTGGCAGAGTGGTCTAATGCGCAAGACTAGAAATCTTGTTCCTTCGGGAGCGTCTGTTCGAATCAGGCCCACGTCGACCTCTTCTTTTTGCTCTCTTTCCGGAATTAGGCATGATAAATACAACCGAAACAAGCGCATGTCAAAGAGAAGACTTTTTTCCCCTTCTCTGTTTTAATAGGGAACACCCATTTTAAGACATGTCTCATGATTTCTTGAAAGCTCTTACTAACTTAGACTTTCAACAATCTTCAGTCTATCTATTCGAAGTTTTTGGTGACTCTACATGCAATTTGATCACCTACCTGTAAGAAGTCATATACATATTGTTACCCTTCTGAACGGTTTACGCGGAGACACTTTACAACTTATGTAGTATAATCATATATATTTATATGAAATCTATCCTACTACTATCTTTTCTATCTACATTTTTCTCGTAGAATTTTTCGCTCGAGCCGGATGATGTTCAAGTACGTTCACCAAAGCCAAGACGGCACACTAGGCCCCTCAAGATTAAGCCGAAGCGAAACTTAGATGAGGGTGTCCTCGCCGGGGACGATGGTACCGTTGGAGACGGCAGCAGCATGAGCACGAGCAAGAGTGCCCCAGACAGGGTAGTAGGTGTCAAGCCAAGGGATCATCTCCTTGGCACCAGGGACGGAGCGCCAGTCGCGCATGAGGTCGCAGACGATGGAGAACAGGCTGACAATCTGGACACCAGCGCGGGCCATGCGGTCGTTGGAGATGTCACGGACAAGAGCAGAGTTGGTACCGGAAGCCTCGGCGTTGGCCCAGACGGAGTAACCCTCAGCGCGGAGAGAGAGAGCGAGGAAGGTGGTGCAGACGTCGGTGGTGATACCAGCGAGGACGATCTGGGACTTGCCGTAGCTGCGGACAACATTGCGGAACTCCTCGCTGTCCCAGGCATCGACCTCGCCCTGGCGCTGGACGAGGGGGGCGTTGGGGTACATGTTGATCATTTCCTTCATGAGAGGACCGTTGGGGCCTATGAAGTAGACATATTAGAGATTGATTATCAATTACAGTTGTGGTGCTAACTTACCGGTATCGGCAGAGGTGGTCATGACAACAGGCAGGTCAAAGGCCTTGCCGAGGGCGGCGTGGGCAAGAGCCTGCTGCTTGTAGAGGGTGGGATCAAAGTCGCGGGTGAGCTGGTAGAGACCCTCCTGGATATCAACGATGAGCAGGAGAGTGTCATTCTTCACAAGTCTCTCATAGTTGTACTCTGTGTAAGCACGGCAATGTCAGCATTTGAAGGAAGATTAGGGTTGGGTTTGGGATGATCATACTGTCGGCGTGCTGGGCAGTAACAGTGGCAGCAAGGCCAGCGAGGATAACGTTGAAGAACTTCATGTTGACTGAGCGTGAAGAAGGTGCGGACACACAAGTAGACAAGTGAGATCGTATCTAAGAGATTGTATGTAGAGGAGATCTAGGAGTCTGTTTGAAGATGTCGGCAGTGGTGATCCAAAAAGAGAGGAATGTTGCGGCCATGACTGACCTTAAATAGATTTTTGAAGAAGAGCCTCCTCGTCCTAGCGTAACGGTTTTGCTTAGTTTCTCAAGCGGTTTCTAACCTTACTTCACAGCTTGATTTTGGTGTTGATTGCGATCTCCATACTTGGTAAGCTACCATGCGGTGCTGACCAAATAATGCTTCATGCCGTCATAAATTACTAAATCCAGCCTTTATGGGTACCACTGCAGAGTGTTACCCACCGAAGATAACTCAAGCTTGCAGAGTAGCAGTGACCCGCCCAACCTCTTCGTATTGGATGGACACTCCAGAAATATTTTGCCAATTTTCAGGTTAATAAAACATGTTTGGCCAGATAACTCGCCGCGGCAAGCAGAACATGAGTTGGTCGGCCAACCATGAGACGAAACGTTATCAAATGTGCCACCTCTACTATAGCCTTTTGTTCACTGAACAATTGAAGTGGTGTGCGACAACAACGGGACCCCAGAATCATACTACGCCATCCAACACAGATCTTAACCGAAAAGATCTACCGAGCCTTGCTGGGGGTAAAAGCAGGGACTTTCACTCCGTTAAATCTCACGGGGACGCACATGCATAGGCATGAAGTGGGGGATAATTAATCCACTCGCACGCGCCCAAGCCGTTAAGCGAGGGCACATACCGACACCATGTTCGGCTTCTAACTTCCCGCTCCTTCTGACTCCCTGGCAGGAGGTATGTTTAGCTCGTGCCTGGCGTGGTGAGAGGAGGCTAAGCTACCTAGGAGAGCCAGCTACAGCAAAACATAGGGACGGCGCGATACTTAGCTCTGAGTTTTGCCTTCTAGGCTCAGTACATAATATGGGGTCAATCATACACATCCGTCCTTCACCGTGTTCATCGTATTTTCCGCGCCAAGGCCACACCGGTAGCAAACATGGTTCATACACCGTGGCTGCATATTTCTAAGAATTCATCAAGCACAGTCGGCAGCCGCCACAGCCAGGAACCCTGGTTGAGAGGGGATCGCATTGATCAATGCAACATCGTACGGAGACCCATCCTCGGTAAAACAGGGAAGCAAGGACAAAGGGCAGTGCCGAGAAAACTTCAACGGCTGGCCCACTGCTTAGAATTTAGGCTTGGCAAGCTTGGTCTCGGCGCGTCTTATCTGGCGCTGCTTATTCCTCCATGACAAAACAATATCACGTGGGGAAAGGAATGGTTCGTATGCTTAGTCACGGCAAGGTGAAACACGCCAGCGCTTTGGTGCCAAGATGAGATGGCCTTCCAGGCATGGAGGCGTTCAATTGATATGATGGAGATGGAGATGGAGATGCGGTGACCTTGACTATTTGGAATTCTTGCTCTCAAGGGTCTCCGATCTGTTGCTCTGAAAATTCGCCTATTGTTCCTTACATAAGTCCTGGTGAAATTGTGCAATGCAATGGGTGAATGGGTGCTGCGGGGAGGTGGTGTCAATCATAATTGAATGGCAGAGTTGACCAATGGATATTCATGCATCGCTTGTGCTCTTGCGTCTAAAACTTATGAGCGTCGCAGAGACCCTACTTAGAACACCCATTCACTATACTTCTATTTTCAATCAAAAAGATCAGTAGGAATACACGTTGGCTGATGGATTATTCCAGTATGCATTCGTGTTTAGGGTAGCGGCTGTGGCTTGAACTGTGGCGCAGTCAGGAGAGGCTGCTGAAAAATCTTCTCCCTTTCTCTTCGCTGTCCTCTTTGTTTTGCTTGGTAACAAGTAGTGGCCGGCTGTGTGGTTCGATCAGCCATGTCCTCTCCTTCCTATTGCCTTTCTTGTCCCTCTTTTCAATTGTAATTGGTCGCTTTCGATTCTTTTTTGTCGTTTTCTCCCACCCCCTTGTTGTTCCCTCCATCTGTCTCCAGTGAACCCCCGTCGCTTCCCCATGAGGCATTAGGGGGATCACTTCACTATCATCGTGTTATTGAAAATAATAATTAAAAAAAACCCTATTGGGATTCTCCTCAATCCAGGGGCATGGCGCTCTATTTCCATGCGGGCGGCGCAGCCAATCTCCCCTTCCAAGAGTATGGCGTTGGCATCTTGAGAGACGTCATTCACCGATGGTCGGAGCTGGACATCACCCAGATTGGATCTCTCATCGCCATCGCCGGCACCGCGCCCGCCGCCTGGAGGCTCCTGAAGCGCGCCTGGAACGAGACCTACGACTGGGTCCGCAGATTCTTCCTGGCGTCTGTCACAATTCCAGCTGGCGATCCCCTCAACCGGAGTGTCGTCAAATGGGTTCTCTTCAACCGATCCCGAGATTACCGATCTTTCACCGGTCGCACCCGCCTGGGCCACACAGGCAGCGACCGAGCCGCGGCACTCAAGAAATCGCGACATTCGGTAAATTACTCTCCTCATTGGGATGCGAGGTGGATTTGGTATAATGGGAATTTCTTTATTGTTACACGCACAGTCGATCATTACGCCGCCTCGTCTTCTTCCGACCCGAGCGATGATGGCATCGGGGGCGAGGAACTTACCGTGAGCTGCCTAAGCTGGTCGATTGAGCCAGTGAAGAAGTTCATTGAGACGTGTCGCGATTTCTCCGACAGGCAAACCCAGTTCTTTGTTGTCATCTACGCGCGGGATCGGTACGGGCTTGCGTGGAAGCCCAAGGCCCGCACCCCAATCCGGCACCTTGACACTGTCCATTTTGACAATGGAGTGAAGCAGGAACTTCTCTCTGACATTCGCAAGTATCTTGACCCCAAGACTCAAATGCTGTACCAAAGCCGGAGCATGCCGTATCGACGAGGTTATCTCTTCTACGGGCCTCCTGGAACGGGCAAATCATCATTATCAGTGGCCATCGCTGGGGAGTTTGGGCTAGATTTGTATGAGGTCAAGATTCCTAGCGTCGCCACCGATGCCGATCTGGAACAGATGTTTCTCGAAATTCCCCCTCGATGTGTCGTCTTGCTTGAAGATATTGACGCAGTGTGGTTGGAACGGACTAACGCAGAAAACAACAACAAAAGCAACAACCCCAACGGCAATACAAACACTACTAGCTGCACATTATCTGGAGTGTTGAATGTTTTGGATGGGGTTGGCTCACAAGAGGGGCGAATCGTCATCTTGACAACCAACCGGCCCGAGCAACTCGACAGCGCGTTGGTTCGACCAGGTCGCGTTGACATGAAGGTTCTCTTGGGGAACATCAGTCAGAAATCTGCGGAGGAGATGTTTGTTCGCATGTTCTCTCATGACCTTGGCTGCGCATCTGTGTTTTCCCCAGAAGAAATTCGAAAGCTTGCTGCCATCTTTGCAAGTAAAATACCAAACGATATCTTCACGCCTTCTTTATTACAGGGATTCTTCCAGCTTCATCTGGATAGCCCCCGGGATGCTGTTGCCACTATTGATGCTTGGGTCGAGAAGCAGTTGGCCAAGAAGTCTGACAGGGAGTTTGAGATGGTTAATGGTGAAAAGAGGTTGTGAGCTGTATCAACGACTGTATAACACGGATTTTTGGATAGATGTATATTTGGCCTGACGGCCTCAGGTTATTTTAAATTGTTTTGATTATAGCGGTTAGTTGTTTTGAACGCTGATCAATAATTAGAGAAAGGCGTTTTTCACTTCGTGGATTTACCTGTTGCGAATGGCACAAGTCACAATAGCATATTTCTCACATGGGTGTCTCACTTCTGAGGATAAAACCCATCACCGGACAGTAGCATTCAACTAAAAATGGGTGTCGCACGGCTGAGGGATGCACATGGCGGTAGCGTGTGATGGAGACATTCCGCCTTGCTTCATTTGGTGGGTCATGCGGTCGTTCTGCATCTCCAAAATCTCGGAAACACCAAACAATAAATTGATCTCTCCGCACCAGACAAACCGTCATGGTTTTCCTTTTTTTTTTTCTTCCTAGACAAGAGCTACAAATTTTCATCTAAAGTACCTTCTATATTGTTGGCGGCATCATGATCTTCGGAACGGTACCGAACTGGGCGAGAATGTACCTACCTGCCACTGGCTGCGCTTACCCTCACTGGGCTTTGCTTTATAACCGCTGACTTTTGACTTGCGTATAGAGTCCTTCTTGTCTTGAACTGGGGCTCATTCATACCCCAGGTCCGTCGGCTCAGACGTAAAAGAGAGAGTTCAGGCGTGTCTCTCGCCTACGTTCTATTTAATCTCATTAACGCAACGGAGCAATTTGCTTTCGCCACTTTCCTCACAGTTAACGACCTTGGAGGTCTCCTCGTGGGAAATCCTCATTCTAGAGGAGACCAGATCAACTTGGTCCAGTTCGCTGGCGTTTTCTTCTTGTGGTCGCTGATGTTAGTGGAAACACCCCTTTATCTGACAGACAGTTCTGTTCCATTGCTGACAGGCATATTAGCTTCGTATCAAGCGTCAGATTCCCTTCCAATGATAACCTCCGAGGACTGAAGTTGGCCATCTGTCCGACCATTTTTGTTTTGTATCTGCTATTCGCCGTTGTGCCACTATTCCTTCAGCGCGCCACCCTTAGTCCAGGTGCTCCCGGGGATGCGCCTTACGAAGGGTGGATAGTCTCATGGGCTGTCCTAATCCATCAAAGCTACCTGTTTCCTCTCACCTCAATACTTTGCCTCGCATCGCTGATACCCCAGATGCACTTGATACACTCCCGCAGGCGTCGTGGATCGCTGAGTTTCAAGGGGCTGGGAATTCAAGGTACGGTCTTTTCTATCGAAGCGGTGGGATGGGTCGGAAGACTGGCGTTTCCCTGGGATGATTTTAAAGGACAGCCGAGATTGAATGTTCTCATATTGTGGTATCAGCGAGTGGGATGGATTCCGATCAACTACGCTTTCATGGCTCTCGTACAAAAAGCCTTGTTTTGGGTGCTTATCTTGCACAGGCTTCATGGAAATGGGAGGTCTCGGGAACGGGAACGCAGACCTCTCTTAGGGTGGTGAACCTTTGTGGTTTAACAAATACTTTTCACTATTGCCAAAGAAGGTTATCAGTACATATAGAAATCAGACCCATACCAATAGCATCATGAAAACACAATCCCAGAACAACGAACATGCTCCCGTCACCGCATCAAGTGCTGATACGAGGACCACGCGATGATTACCATGGCGGCTACAGCGGACGACGCCCCAGTCAGAAACACGATTCCATCATACTGGCCAGCCGAATATGCTCCGCGAACCACCGGCTTCGACATCAATGCCGCGCTCAGTGGACCAACCATGACGTTGCCAATGCCTTGCAAGAACACGAAAATGGCATATGTTGCAAAGACTGTTGACGGGTCGTCACTGACAGCCCGCCCCATCGCAACGCGCAACGTCCCAAACCCAAAGGCGAAGAAGCCATACACAATAGCGAATGGCACCAGCATCGCCATTGATTTGCTCAGCCCCCAGAGGGAGAATGTGGCTGCGGCCGCAGCGATGCACGCTACCATAGATAAAAGGGTGACAGAGATGGATTTGTCTGATAAATACCCAAAGAAGAATTGGCCCAAGACTTGGGAAATAGACATGACCGCCAGGAGCAGCGCACCATTCAGTGATGAGATACCGATCGCTGAGGCATAGGAAGGCAGAAACACCACTGGAAAGAAGAAACCGAACCCTTGGGTCAAAATGGCAGATCCATATACCCAAAACAGAGGTTTCGAGAAGAAGCTCCAGTCCATTTTTGCTAAGCTGGCCTGATCAGATGTGGGCAGCCGGCCCTTGAAGAGTGGAATTAAAGGGCCCGTCAAGATAACCATCGCAACTGCGCAGGCACGTAATGTCGTTTTGTGGCCGTATCTTTCAAGGAGTGCCTCAATAATGAATGGCATGACAGCCCCCGTTGCTCCTGAAGATGCGGATATGAGACCGAACGCCATTCCCTTCTTCGAAATCCACCATTCGTTAAGCATGGCGATGATGGGATAGGTAAGCGTCACGAACCCAAGGCCATAGAGGAAGCCTTGGGTGAGAAGAAGTCCATCTACCGAATTCGTGAAGGATGCGGCAAGAAGACCCAGCACGCACATCGGCCACCCGAGCCAGATCTGCTGTCGCTGATATTTTGGGAATCTCTTCGTTGCAAGCGCGGACAGGGGCGCGCCCAAGTAGTAGAGACCTTGGGCTAGAGCACCAATGAGAGCGACCTTGTCTTTGTCGCGCTGAAACTCTGGGACTTGAGTGGTGTAATAATTCTGAAACACCCCGTAGCACATTGGGAACCCTGTGGTTTGTTAGCTATGTTATTCAGAGAAAGGTTTCTTCGAATATTGAAGCAAAATTCAACCCACCCCAAAAGAGGGCTTCAAAAACAAAGCCTGCGATGAGCACAATCCAGGCATCTCGTCCTCTATCAACCGGCTTGAGCTCTTGGGGATGGAAACTTTGGGAATTCTGTCTGTCAGGAGTGCTCTCATGCTGTTGCTCCTGTGTGGCTTGTAACTCGAAAAGAGTCTGTTGTGTCTCAATTTGAGTTTGGCCACCCATGATAGGAACTTGAGATTGTTTAGTGCTGGGTACGGGGAGGAATTCCCGGAGGCCTGGCAGATGAGTGACAGCGAGTCAATGGTGTTTTTATATAAAAGCTAGATGGAGTTGGTCAAGGTTCCCACCCAGACTTAGAAGCGTGAATAAACTGTTAATTGGCTCGATCAAAGCCAGAAAGTAGATTGTTAGTACGTTGATATCACGGAAGTTCGGAAGTTCGGAACCTCGGGAGTTTGAGCGAATCAGAAGGACCGATAAGTAGCTTGGGAAAAGCAATTGAGGTCTGGATGAACGAAGATGATTGATGATTACGTCTACATTAAGTAAAATAGTGAGAACTAAGAGAAACAAGATGCTTTCCATAAATCATGGTTTGCTCACTGTAGTACTAAACTTTTGCCAGTCCACGGTACAACGTGCACTCACATTGCCTCAAATGTAGTGTTCTGAGACTTGTGAATTTGGATTTTCCTCATGGCATAGAAAAAGATTACTTGCATTGATAACTGGGGAATGTTGTTGAGTATCAATTGTGTTGAGATCCCGGGTTTAGCACCCTTTATTGCTGTTTGTACTGTGAGTCAATCTACTCGAACTCTCACACCCCAGGAATTTTGGCACACACATTATCGTCTGAATACCGATTGTAGTAACAGACTGGGATCAGAGGAGGGATTTGTAGCGGATAAAAGATATCCCCGTGAGTATTTTTAGTCTACCCCTGGTGGAGCTACCATCAAGCGCTTCTATCTACACTTAGAGGCCTGAAAGGCTGAGAATACATCACACCCACTTTAGAGCCTTACACTTGAGCCAAGCCTTACCCTTGAGCCAGCTTAAAGTCCGCAGAAAAGAGGCTTGAGACTTATTCCGGGGTTGACATCTTTCCACAAGAGTCGTCATGGTAAAGTCAGTGATTCAAGAACAATATATATCTCGATACTGCGCTGTGTTACGTCCTGGCATTTCTCTATACTGTTACATGACAGAAATCTCTTGCAAATAGTATGTCTCGAGGATTACATGCCTTCCTTGGAGAACAAGGATCTAAGCACATTATGAACCCACCGAACTAGAGAATGAAAGAAGTCTTGGTGTGATTTATATATTTTCTTCTTGTCAATAACCTACAGGAAACCTCAACATCACTTGAATGAAATGTTCAGCTGAAGACATGATACACAATGCTTGAACACGGGTTGCATGATGTTGAAACATTAGCTCGGCTGGTTTGCTAGTCTGATCTAGTCTACGACATTACAAGAAAAATCACCCACCAAGCTGAAGTTAGGCCAGCACGTCGTACAAAAAGATCAAAGCGTTTGGGTTTCAGTTGAAAAGTGGACACATGATTTCAAATCACAACTTCATGCCGACGATGGGATCTATGAGAGTACCGATACTACTATGTACGCTTCATTTCAAGAAGGTAGCCCCCTGAATATCCCTCCGTTTGTTCAATGTGGAGATCATAGACTTTCATTGCCACCCGTTATTCGATCCTTCCTGGATCCTTGCTTGCATGGGGTGTATCGGATTCATCGAGCCACCCGTCATTGCCCAAGAAGGCGACCGAGGAAAGGGTTGGTGGGGTGATAGATAGTTGACATTTTTCTCTTGGGCACACGTGGAATTTTGGAAAGTGCTTTCTTTTTTGGGCTAAGATATAGAAAACCATAGAGGGGTGTATCTCATGTTCCTAGGTACCATTGTTAGACTGAGGCTGACTCAAGGCTTTGGGGGGCGTTGGAGGCCGCTCTAAACATGTGGCCTTTTCATGCAAGGCACGGGGAGCTTGAGTGTACGCCACCTTCCTTTGGGATGAATTACAGCTGAACGTTTGATTTGAATTTGCAAAACCTGGTATACGTTTGATTCGTTGCTTTCTCAGTAATTCTTTACTGAGTCGTTGCAGAAAGTGAAATACACGTAGTGATTTAATCCAACTCAAAGATGCCTAAAACGCCTCCGACAACACTACAACAAAGTACACAGTCGTTCCTTAAGTTTGCTTTTGATGTTCTAGTACTATGAATATCCGTGTGTCAATTTCGAGATACTCAAGATGAGTTACTGTCCTGTTGATGCCACTAACGGAGTGTGATGCTCGATCAACAGTCCGTCGGACATCAAATACATCCCACGTTGGTCAGATTTATCAACAGATCCTATGCGTCCTGGATTACATAGCTGTTTCTTTGAAATCACGTAGTGACATATCGATGGAGTGGAGATGATGCAATTGGTGACGCCGCCAAGGCGGACAGCAAGAGGTTTCCGTGATCTTCTAAGCTTCCATACGCCCTGCTATGTGGTGTAATTGAACCCTCTGAAAAATCTGATATGTCTCAGACAAAAAGGCCTTTCTATCGGGCTCCATGAGGAGCCCGAGGCCCCGTTGTAGGCCGGGTTGGCCACCAGCTGTGAAATTCAGTCCCCTCGGTGGGCCATCATGGCTCATCATGATTCACCCAGGCGCTGACGACGGGGTCCAACAGTGAATGAGAATAGTTTATTTGCTGGAGGACGGCGTGGCAGGGCTGCTGGGGCACTTCCGCGGCCCACTTCAGGGGCTCCGTGGGCCGATGTTCGAATATCAAAAAACAGGGGCCAGCTGGTCGGATTCCCCGCTTTATTCTGTCCGAGAACCCTCGACCCCCCGCAACCTTTAACCTCAGCTTCCCCCCTCCTTCTCGTCTGTCCTGCGGTCGAGCAGTTGGGACGTATGGTTCGTTGTCGACTCACAAACTACATGCAAAGTGGTGATGATATGCCAGTTTCAACGCCTATCTCTTCTGTATTATTTTCTTACAACCTATGGCTGGGTATATCGGGTACTATTAACTAAATATCGTCATTATTTTGTTCGTTCCGTCGTTATTTACATGCTCCTGCATCCTTCTTTGGTGGTTATGGCCCTCTGCCCATAATCGGGAACCACGACGAGTTGGGAGATCGTGGTGGACGATGGCTGTGCAGTTCATGCATATTATCCGGACCCTCGATGCTTCGTATTACTCCCGGCCTTAGCTGGAAATCTGACAGCATACTCGACGTAGTGGTGCTTATTTTGTTCTTAATTATGTGCGCCGCCGGGTATGGCTTGAAATGCTTCTGGATATTTGCGTAAGAGCATGGTGGCGGGCTTGACGTTGATGTTGTGGTAGCTGTGGTTGTGGGCGAGCCGGGCAACTCTGCTGATTCTGCTCTTGCCGCCCCCGATGTTGTTGTCGTCGTTGTCGTTGTCGCAGAGCCATTGTCTGACGGACTAGCTCGAGCTACTCGGGCGCATCCATCGGAAGCAACCCATTGCATCAAGAGAGCTTCACAGCGCTCCAACCTGTCTATCATTTCTCTCGTTTTCTTCCGCCGTTTTCGACGAGGCGCGGGCGTGCTTGGCGTGCAGGGGACATCAAGCTGTTGCCTTTTGTCAGTCTATGCGCATATATGGCAGTGGTTGCAGTATGGTTCGGCCCATCAGCCACGTACTTTGATGCATAAGGAACAAGGGCTGGCTCTGTCGCATTTCTTTTTGCGGTGTTGGCAGTTCACACATGCTAGAACCTTTTCCGTTCGCTGTAGCTGTGCTGGTCGGGGGGGATTGTTGAGTGACATGGTGTGTGACTAGGCGCGAAGCATGGAGCCTTGGAGGTGGTGGTATGTGTACGTTGGTGAAGGACTCATGGACTCTGGAGAGTCTGATTCTTTTCCCAAGCTGCAATTAAACAAATGAATATCGACGGTACCCCTCTTCGAGGGCAGCTGAGATCTGGCGGCTATATCCTACAGAGTCGTAGAAAAAATCATGTCATGTGCCATACCACCCAAACACCAGGCATCCTAGCCATCCCTAACGAATGATATACATAGTAGTGCCAAGGGTTCCCCATCGAGAAACCGGAAAATGATCGGTCACGAGCGCACGCCCCTAACGATGCCCTCATCGGAGCCCGTCAAGGTTCCTTACGTTTGAGATGAATATCTCATGGGGCGGATATGGGCTGGTGACATAGGCCTCTTGTCAATGTAATAATAATGGATGATTCTCCACAAAGTCCTGGCCCACAAAGTTCTGTCCAAGGCGGACGGTATGTTCTCGGGTCAGTCCGACACTTTGCCTGCCCGATCTGAGTGGATGCCCGCGGCGGACTCTTTCGGACTCCTACAAGGGCCCGTCTCTAGTCAGCGATATCCCACCCATGGGGGATGCCACACGTATCCAGATTCATGCCGCACCCCCTTTGGGCCCCATTAGTAAACATACAGCGATTCGGGTTCTTGATTGCAGACATTGTCCGATCTGGTTGCGACATGGCGGACACTGGACAGATACGCATCCTTGGCCATCGGCCCCTGCGGGAAAGCTTGATTTTTTTTATATTATATTCGCTCAATCCTGGCTGGATACAACCTTTTTCTTCTTAATTCTTTACGCTAATATTTGCAGTGTTTGCCTTGTGCAAAGTAATACTAGCTTTACCTGCAGAATATTGCGCTCTCTTCTCTTCTGACCCCTTAATCCAGTTCATCTCCGGGTTTGTTGTCTGCCTATGAGGTGAAGAGGACTTTGGAGCTCGAAGTCATCGCCCTCCTCCGTTCTATCGGAGCCAAGGATTGATTGAATTCGACATTATTACACCGTTATATTTAATTGATTGTTCTCAACTTCTGTAAGTGCTTCCTCTCGTACTAGTCAGACAACACGCCACGAAGGATCGCCGTCTAATCTACTCAAAGATCTGAATTTTAATCTCGACAACATGAGTGAAAAGCCTACAGGAGGCTTGGGTGGCTTCCACGGGAAGTCGCTCACCAGCAGCCGCGAGACCATGATCGACAGTGCCGCGTCACAGAAAATCCAGTCTTCCCCAAATGAAAAGGGCCACAGCAAGAGCGAAATCGAGGTGGGAACAAATGGGGAAGGCTCTGACAGCGAGGAGAGTGTCGGATCTGAGATGGAACGTCGACACTCGGCCATCCAAGAACTTGCTCGCCGGTTTTCCCACCAATCTGTTGGCGATATCCACGGCAATGCGCGAAACCTCTTCGCCAACGACGACCCGAACTCGCCCCTGAATCCTTCTGGGGAGCACTTTAGTGCCCGAGTATGGGCCAAGACGCTCGCCAAATACTCATCTGACAATGGTGTCAACTTTCGCAAGACCGGCTTCTGTTTCCAGAACATGAACGTCTACGGTTTCGGAAATGCCACGGATTACCAAAAGGATGTCGGTAACATTCCCCTCGAACTCCCAGACCTTGCCCGCAACCTTTTCTCGAAGAACCACGGAAACAGACGAATCGATATCCTTCGCAACTTTGATGGAATTGTCCGTTCTGGTGAGATGCTTGTTGTCCTAGGCCCACCGGGTGCCGGCTGCACAACCTTCCTCAAGACTGTTGCCGGAGAGCAGAATGGTATTTACACCGATAAGTCCACCTACCTCAACTACCAAGGTGTGACCGCAGACGAGATGCATAGCCACCACAGGGGTGAAGCCATCTACACAGCAGAGGTTGATGTTCACTTCCCCATGCTCTCGGTTGGAGACACTCTGACGTTTGCCTCGCGGGCGCGATGCCCTCGAAACCTCCCCGAGGGTATTTCGCACAACGAATACTGCGATCACCAGCGAGATGTTGTCATGAACATGTACGGCATTGCCCACACTGTCAACACCCGCGTTGGAAATGAGTATATCCGCGGCGTGTCTGGTGGTGAGCGTAAGCGCGTGACCATTGCTGAGGCTACTTTGTCAAACGCTCCTCTCCAGTGCTGGGATAACTCAACCAGAGGCTTGGATTCTGCCAACGCTATCGAGTTTTGCAAGACACTTCGCCTTCAGTCGGAGTTGTTTGGTCAAACCTGTGCTGTCTCCATCTACCAGGCTCCCCAGAGCGCATACGATCTCTTCGACAAGGCGGCTGTTCTCTACGAGGGTCGCCAGATCTTCTTTGGGCCTGCAACCAAGGCTAAGGAGTACTTTGTCAACTTGGGCTTCGAATGCCCTGCGCGACAGACTACCCCTGACTTCCTGACCTCGATGACTGCTCCATCTGAGCGCGTCGTGCGTAAGGGCTTCGAGGGCAAGGTTCCCCGCACCCCTGACGAGTTCGCCGAATGTTGGAAGAACAGTGAGCAGTACAAGGCCTTGCAGCGTGAGATTGAGGAGTATAAGCAGGAGTACGCACTCAATGGCCCCCACGCTGAAGAGTTCCGTGCTGGAAAGAAGGCCGTTCAGAGCAAGGGTCAGCGTCTCCAGTCCCCTTACACCCTTTCCTACGGACAGCAGATCAAACTCTGTCTTTGGCGTGGGTGGAAGCGCCTTACCGGCGACCCCAGTTTGACCATCTTTTCCCTGATCGCAAACACTGCTACTGCCCTTATCGCCTCTTCTCTCTTTTACAATCTCCAGCCTAACACTGGTTCTTTCTACGGTCGTACTGCGGTGCTCTTTCTTGCTATCCTTGCCAACGCCTTCTCTAGCGCTCTTGAAATTCTTACCCAGTACTCTCAGCGACCTATCGTTGAGAAGCACTCCCGTTATGGATTCTATCATTCATCTTCTGAAGCCTTTGCCTCGATTCTTGTCGACATGCCCTACAAGGTTCTGAACAGTATCTTTTATAATTTGACAATATACTTCATGGCTAACCTTAGGCGTGAACCTGGAGCGTTCTTCTTCTTCTGGCTTGTCACGTTCTTGATGGTGCTGGCCATGTCGGGCCTGTTCCGATCGATGTAAGTCTACACCCCCTTGGACCTGGTATGGACCAAAGTTAGAATACTAACCCTCTTTAGTGCTGCTCTCTCGCGTACGCTCTCCCAAGCAATGGTACCGGCTGCAATCTTGATCCTGGCTATGGTTATCTTCACTGGTTTCGTCATTCCTGTTCGTTACATGCTTGGCTGGTGCCGATGGATTAACTGGCTTGACCCTGTTGCTTATGCATACGAGGCCCTGGTGATCAACGAGTTCACAGGTCGCTCCTTTGAATGTATGGCGTATGTTCCGATGCGCACTGCCCCTGGCTACGAGAACACCTCCCTCGAGAACATGGCCTGCACTGTCGTTGGCTCGGTCCCCGGGAGGACTCACGTGTTGGGAGAGGACTACTACGAGCAGATGTACTCCTATCACCCCAGCCACAGGTGGAGGAACGTAGGTATTCTGATCGCGTTCGTCGTCGGTCTGCATCTGGTCTACTTGTGCGCAACCGAGTGGATCGCTGCTAAGAAGTCTAAGGGTGAAGTCTTGGTTTTCAGAAAGGGATATGTCCCCAAGAGCGCAGACAATAAGGGCGATATCGAAGCTGCCGTTTCAGGCCCTGCTGTCATCGCCGACCGAGCTGGAAGCGATTCCGAAGGAGGAAACATTCAGGGCTCCACCAGTGTTTTCCATTGGAACAATGTCTGCTACGATATCAAGATCAAGGGCGAACCTAGGCGTATTCTGGACAATGTTGATGGATGGGTCAAACCTGGCACGCTCACAGCTCTTATGGGTGTCTCTGGTGCCGGCAAGACCACCTTGCTCGACTGTTTGGCTGACCGTATTTCCATGGGTGTGATTACGGGTGAGATGCTTGTTGATGGAAAGCTTCGCGACGATTCATTCCAACGCAAGACTGGTTATGTTCAGCAACAGGATCTGCACTTGGAGACAACAACTGTTCGTGAGGCTCTTGAGTTTAGCGCCCTGCTCCGCCAACCTGCCGGTACCCCCAAGGCTGAAAAGCTCGCCTATGTCGATGAGGTTATCAAGCTGCTTGATATGCAGGCCTATGCTGACGCCGTCGTCGGTGTTCTTGGAGAGGGCTTGAACGTGGAGCAACGCAAGAGATTGACAATTGGCGTGGAGCTTGCTGCAAAGCCCCCTCTGTTATTGTTTGTTGACGAGCCAACCTCTGGTCTTGACTCACAGACATCTTGGGCTATCCTTGATTTGTTGGAAAAGCTCTCAAAGGCAGGCCAGTCTATTCTCTGCACCATCCATCAACCTTCCGCTATGTTGTTTCAACGCTTTGACCGCCTCCTCTTCCTTGCAAAGGGCGGTAGGACGGTGTATTTTGGCGATATTGGTGAAAATTCGAAGACTATGACTTCCTACTTTGAGAGACACGGTGCTCCAAAGTGCCTGGACGATGAGAATCCCGCTGAATGGATGCTTGAAGCCATCGGCGCTGCCCCTGGATCCACCACGGAGAGAGATTGGCACCAGACTTGGCTTGAGAGTACCGAGTACCAGGACGTGCAGACTGAGCTCCAGCGTCTCAAGTCTGAGCGTGTAGCCCGTGCTAGTGTTGCGGACGAGCGAAAGGGTGATACTCACGATGAGTTTGCTTCGCCCATGACCTCGCAGCTCATGACCGTTACCCACCGTGTGTTCCAGCAGTACTGGCGTACCCCTTCATACATCTACTCCAAGTTCATCCTCTGTTGTTCCGTGTCTCTGTTCATTGGACTGGTCTTCCTGAACGCTCCAGTCACTATCCAGGGCCTGCAAAACCAGATGTTTGCCATGTTCAACATTCTCACTATCTTTGGTCAGCTCGTGCAGCAACAGATGCCTCATTTTGTCACACAGCGGTCCCTCTACGAAGTCCGTGAGCGCCCGTCCAAGACATACAGCTGGCAGGTCTTCATGATTTCGCAGATCATTGTGGAAATCCCATGGAACACTCTCATGTCTGTCTTCATGTTTATCTGTGTCTACTACCCAGTTGGTTTCGACAAGAACGCTGCAGTAACAGGAACACAAGTCGAACGAGGAGGCTTGATGTGGCTTCTTTTCTGGCAGTTTGTTATCTTCACCTGCACATTTGCCCACGCCTGTATCGCCATCACCGACACCGCCGAGGCGGGTGGTAATCTGGCCAATGTCCTCTTCATGCTCTGCCTCTTCTTCTGCGGTATCCTGGCTTCGCCGAGCTCCATGCCCGGATTCTGGATCTTCATGTATCGCGCTAATCCGTTCACGTATTGGGCCTCGGCTGTGTTGTCGACTGGACTGGCTAATCAAGACGTGCAATGCGCTTCAAATGAGCTTGTGAAGGTGACCGCTCCCGATGGCCTGACTTGCGGCGATTGGCTTGGGCCGTACGCGAAAGCTGCCGGGGGCAAGCTTTGGGATGAGGCTGCTACTGGTGTGTGCGAGTACTGCCCCGTGGCCAGCACAAACACTTTCCTCCAGCAGATCAGCGCAAGCTACGAGAACAGGTGGAGGGACTTCGGCATTGGCAATGCCTTTATTGTGTTCAACATATTCGCCTCAATCTTCCTTTACTGGTTGGTCCGTATGCCTAAGGGGAAGAAGAAGGAGTAAGGGGCGATGGAGTGGCAGAGAAGATTGTTATTGAGGGGAGGGGGTGGTAGAGATTGGAGAGGAAACAATGATTTAGAACATTGAACTGTTGAATCTGGACTCATCAGTTCAACTCACGCTTAACTTCAGCAATTAGAATATACACAGTATAGAGTTTTTTTGTAATTCGTATCAATAGACCCAGCTCACCTGAGCATTTCTTTCGTCAGCAATATCAGACACCAAGTGCACCATAAATTAGGCGATTCCGAAAAACCTTTGGCCTCGATATACTTGGGGCTGTATTGAAGGTTCCCACCTTTTGTTTACAAACGTGAGTCAATCTTCTTCTGGCTATCAGCAAGTGCCCAGTCGCTTCTGCTTGTTTTGCTTCGGACCCTGTCAGCCTCTGCCTCTTTGACACCTCTTGCTTCAACAGCGGGGTTATAACCGAGCCAGCTTGACTTGGCAATCTCCTCATCGCTGACCGGACCATTCTTGTTCCCATCAACACGCTTGTACACGGTGACAACCGTTGCACCACCAAGTCCCAAGTTATGTTGGAGGGCGACGTCAATGTCATTGACGAGCCGGTTGTTAGCCCATCCACGTAGCTGCCACACCAACTCTGCGCACTGGGCAAGGCCAGTGGCGCCCAAAGGATGTCCTTTCGAGATGAGACCTCCAGATGGGTTTATGACCATCTTCCCGCCGTATGTGATGTCGCCATTCCGGACCATCTCATGAGCTTTGCCCACCTCTGAGAATCCGAGGCTCTCTAGAAGAATAAGCTCATTGGCTGAGAAGCAGTCATGTAGCTCGCAAAGCTTGACGTCTCCCGGTGTGATTCCAGCCTCTTCCATCGCACCCTTTGCAGCAGCCTGGGACATTCCATAACCTATGAGATCCATAGAGCTCCCTGAGTAGAGGCTGGGAGTATCTGTTCTTAGCTGCTGGCCAGCGATCAAAATGGCCTGTTTCCACAGGTGTGGCGAAGCATTTAGGAAGTCTTCAGACACCAGCACAGCTGCTCCTGCCCCATCACTTGTGGGACTGCACTGCAGTTTTGTCAAAGGAGGATAGATCATTGGGGCATCGAGGACCTCCTGAAGAGTGTAGGAATTTCGGAACTGCGCATAGGGGTTGCGCTGAGAGTGTTCGTGGCTGATTCGGCCGATCTTAGCAAAATCTTCCGCAGTGGCTCCGTATCTATCGAGTCACAAGTAGGTTAGCCTTATACGTGGTTATGTCTTGGAACGGAATGAACTGACTTTTCCATATACTCTCTGCCGGCATTCCCGAAATACTGGGCATTGAGAATGCCCGGCTCTAGCCCTCGGGTCTTCTTCATCATCCTGGAACTCAGCTGGGTCGGTGATGCCCGGTCATCCCACTTGCTCTTGATGCTCCCTGGCTGCATCTTCTCAAAGCCAACAACCAAGGCGCAGTCTATGGCACGATTCTGGATCAACGTGCGGGCAAGATACAAGCCGCTCGAGCCGGTCGCGCAAGCGTTGTTCGTGTTGAAGATGGGGATCGAGGTCATGCCAAATTGATAAAACACGCGCTGGCCAGCACCAGAGTCGCCGTAGCAGTAGCATCCCACACCAGCCTGGACTTGGTCATAGTTAATCTGAGCATCAAGCATTGCCTTGATGCCGGCTTCATATCCCATTTCAGGATAGTCGCGAAGGCCACGAGGCTTGATGAACTCGGTCAAGCCCACCCCAACAACGTATACAGGCCGTTTGGAAGAGGTCGTAGCTGGCTCGGCCATTGTTGAATCAATATGGCTAAAGCCTGTTTCGAGTTGTATTTTGGGGCTGATGGATATTTCTGGGGTTTGGAAACCAAGCGGATCGATAAAATGATAAACCAACAAAATCCAGAACTTGCAACTACTATATAATGGAGGTCCAAATATCTACAGATAAACTGAAGGTGTACTTTTGGACCGAGGGTTCACTGCCGCCAAATGAGGAACACACCCTGGCCGTTGAAATCTCATTCCCATGTTGCTTCACAAACCCCGCTTCCCCCGCGCTCTACCGAGGCCTTCTATCGGCACTGACGTAAGATATTATCGCGTCTATTGAGATTATGAGCATATATTTCAATAGAATCCGTTGGCTTTCCAGACTTATAGGGGTACCTTTGGGTAGACATAGAAACTGAGATTGGTTCCAATTAATTGAGTCCCCTCTAGTATGTAGTAAATGAGATGATGGCACTGCAGGGCTCGGTTATTCATAGCTATAGTTCCATACGGAGTGGAAACAATAATATGCAATAGTGTTGAATAATATTTCACACTTGCCTAAAGTCTGTCAACGAGACACCTACATAATGGTCGTATGCGTACATGGCAGAGTCCAGACCATGACACGGAGAAGAGATTACTAGGGACTACCAGGTAAGACTCGGAGCCCTGTATTGCATATTTTCTCTCTTTAAGCCCTTCGTTTCATTGCATATGGGTAATCACGGTCAGTACCTCTTACATTGTTTTCGCTGCCCTGGGTAAACGAGGACCGTGTTACTCTAAATCACCTTTTGGACACTGAATTCGTTGAATGAAGCCGTTTTATTCGAAAGACTTACTGTCTTGAAGTGGTATTTATTTAATTTCAATCTAACTTTCACCATTCACCTTCAAAACCGTCTTCGTATCCTTTATTTTCAAGTGGTTCGCGGCGAATTCCACCGCCGCAGTGTATCCATGGGCGCCCATGCCGCAGATTACGGACGCAGCCTTGTCAGAAAGGTAGCTCACATGGCGAAACGACTCTCTTGTGTGAGGGTTCGATATATGAAGCTCGATGAAGGGAATATCGACACCCAGGAGGGCATCGCGAATTGCGACGCTGGTATGGGTATAGGCGCCAGGGTTGATCACGATAGCATCGACATTCCCACGAGCCTCGTGAATGCGATCAACGATGGCACCTTCATGATTTGATTGAAAAGCGACTAAGGTTGCTCCCAGGGACTTGGCCTGGGTGGTTGCAGCGGCAGAAATGTCCTCAAGTGTAGCGTGGCCGTAGATGTGTGGCTCGCGTGTTCCAAGTAGGTTCAGATTTGGCCCGTTGATGAGTAGGATAGAGCGACCCATGGTGACAATTGATGGCTTGAGCGAAAGTTTAGATGCGAAAGGTCATGTGAGGATTTGAACGAGGCTGTTTTGTGTTAGGAAAGCTCAGCAGTTCATTACATCGAGTGTAGGCCATTGTAGACAGACATGGGCAATAACCCGGAAAGACAATCCAATGGGGTCCCGGCCGATACCACATGTATTCCGAATAAGCAGATTGACAAGCTAGCATAAAGCCGGATATTATTGCAGCCGCCGTCGTATTTTGGGGTTTCAATGGTGCTAATCACTGACGACAACGCGGATCCGCTTTAGGATAAAATCGTAGCCGTGCGTGTAAGTGACCAAGCAGCATGATTATCCCGAAGGACATGTGCCTTTGCGATCTGATGCTCTCAATCAAATCACTTTGATAATCATTACGACTTTACAGTCAAGATATCGCATCGTCCCCCTATCAGCTCAACCAATCATGGCGTTCAAACCTGCAATAATGAGTGTCTCCCTTGGCCGGGGATGGCTACACGACTTCGACGAGAAGATGGAGCAAGCTGCCAAAGCCGGTTTCCAAGGCATTGAGATGTTTGTAGAGGATATTGAATACCTTGCACGAAAAATTGCCAACAAAGCTGCCTCGGAAGAACCCACGGATAGCGAGCTTCTGACTGCTGCGAAACATGCTCGGGCAACCTGCGACAAGAATAATCTTGTTGTAATCACACTGCAACCATTTTCGTTCTACGAAGGGCTTCTTGATCGTAAACAGCACAGATACCTTCTGGACACCAAACTCAAGTTGTGGTTCCAAATGGCCAAGATCTTCGGCACGACTATGATCCAGGTCCCTGCCAACTTCTTGCCAGCCTCGCAAATCACCAGCGATCGAGACGTGATCGTCGCCGACCTACAGGAACTCGCAGATTTAGGAGCAGCAGAGAACCCTCCTGTGGAATTTGCCTATGAGAACCTCTGCTGGAGCACTTACAACAGCACCTGGCAAGACGTCTGGGAAATAGTACGGCTCGTGGACCGGCCAAACTTTGGCCTATGCTTAGACACGTTCAACATAGCTGGACGTGCTTGGGCGGACCCGACATCTCCTACTGGGAAAAATCCAAATGCAGATCAGGATTTCCGACGCAGCATGGCAGAGCTGGTGAGCTCTGTAGACCTGAAGAAGGTGTTCTATATTCAGGTCGTGGATGCTGAGCGAATGGATGCGCCTTTGATCAAGGGCCATCCATATCATGTTGATGAGCAGCCCCCTCGGATGAGTTGGTCTCGAAATGCTCGATGCTTCATGTACGAGTATGACAGGGGAGCTTATTTACCGAGTGAGGAGGTGGCAAGGGCTATTATTGATGGTCTTGGATACAAAGGATGGGTTTCTATGGAATTATTCTCAAGGACTATGGCATATGAAGGAGCCCATATTCCGACAGAACATGCACAGCGAGGTATTAAGTGCTGGACGACATTTGTGAAGCGGTTCGGTATACAGTTGGAAGCCCGTATCTAGCCTAAGCCGAATAGTGTCTAGTCTTCGGCGGATAAGTCTTTTTCCCCAGCTTGGTGCCCCTTTGCCACATGATAAATTCCGGAACGTTAGCCTCGCTTGATGGATTGTAGTTTATGGGTGTTACCTTACCGGACTAGTCAATAGCCGTTTTGATTCTACCTGTTATCCTTATTACCTTCAAAGATTCCATACACTGAGACTTAGCCTCGCCATCACCAGTTAGCACACCCAGTGACCTTTCATTCAGTATACCTCACCATTTACACCATGCCTTCAAAAGTAGAAACATCTTGGCCTTCAGGCGATGTTCTTGCTCCACATGAAGTCTCTAAACTTGACAAGCACGGATACGTTTTTGGGAACAAGTTGGAGAAGTCGCTAGCTCCTTTTACCCATGACTTAGTCTTCAGAAGTCTGGATCTCCGATGGGGCCAGGTCCGACTGGAAAAGCCTACAATTCCGGAGTTCCTACAACTTATTAGACACCCAGATTGCTATGGTAAGTCGGTAAATAAAATCATCATCAATGGAATCTTCATCAGCTAATTGAAGCAACGTTAGGCTCTGCAGTTACGATGCCACACAAAGTGGCGATTCTTGAACATCTCGATGAAATGACCGAACAGTGTCGTGATGTGGGTGCTTGCAACACGGTTTGGTTCAAGGAAGTTGATGGTCGCCGAATTCTCTGCGGCACCAATACGGATGTCATTGGCATCCGGGACTCCTTTACTCGGAACGTCGCGGACCCGGATCAAGTCTATCATGGCCGACCTGCCCTTGTTATTGGCGGCGGCGGCGCAGCCCGGAGCGCCATATATGCACTCCAGAAGTGGCTGAAGGTTACCAATATCTACCTCGTAAATCGTGATGACGAGGAGGTGAAGGTAATGCTTAAAGATTTCGCCGACAAGCCATACAGAGAAAGACTTGTTCATGTTGACTCCGTTGAAAAGGCACTGGAGCTTGAAACCCCTGGTGCTATTGTGGCCTGTATTCCTGACAATGAGCCCAAGTCAGAAGGGGAGCTTCTTGCAAGGAGCATCACAGAGGAATTCCTCCAGCGTGAGAGGAAAGGTGCTATTCTGGAAATGTGCTACAACCCTACACCCTTTACAAGATTACAGGGCTTGTCAAAGAAAAATGGCTGGAAGGTCCTCCTGGGTACAGAAGCATTAATTTGGCAGGGAATTGCACAGGATGAGATTTGGGCGGACCAGCTTATAGATAGTGCTGTTATTGAGAAGGTTCAAGCAGCAATTGCTGCAAAAGTTCAGGATAAATAGAAATTATATTAGCACAATGTAAACTCTGCCTATCAAACGACACTGACTGCTATGATTCTATGGTAAATTTTCTCCCTCTCTCCTTTGACAATCTCGCCATATTTGCGTCAACAGGCTGCATGGCTAAGTATTATGGTCTTCATTACAGAGTTATTTTTTTTTTTTCACACATCGTTTACGTTTCTCTAACTCTATGAGATAACGAGCGAATCATGCGGGAGAGCCTCTAGGATCATATGAGATGTGCAGCTTTGAATTTGCTATGGATTTGATTGAGGGAATCTTGGCTTCATCCAAATATATTGTACAAAGAAAACAGAAATAAGTAGATATGATAACGAAAAGAAGCTAGCTTAGGCCAGATCAATTGTCCCTGCGGCTTTCGGTGCCTAGATTCCAATACTTCTTCCATCACTTTTCATGCTGCTGACTTGTACTCGGAATGAGCTTCAGAAACCTTCTCATCATCACCCTTCATCCCCTCGATCACATCATTCGAATCTCTCTGAGTGGAGGCCAATTCAGCAAGAAGACGCTTGTTCGCTTTCCAAACTGGCTTGATTTCGAACAGTCTGTCCACAGACTCCAAGGGAATGGCCTTGGTCTCTGGAACGCAGAAGAAGACGAAGAAGACAGAGAGAACCATGAGGGAGGCGAAGAAGAAGTAGACACCATAGCCCCAGGCATTGAACATCTGCTCGGTGAATCGGGCAATGATGAAGTTCCAGAACCAGTTGTTAGCCGCGGCGTTCGCCTGGCCGAGAGACCGAGTGTTCTGGTCGAACATTTCCGAGTTGAGAACCCAAGGAGTTCCGTTCCAGGATGGCGTGTAAAAGGCCGTGTACAGGTAGAAGAAGAATACTGCGGCGATGCCTCCAGAAGAAAGACCAGCATTGGCCGAGCCCGCAGTTGTCTCTGGCTTCGCAATCTTGATGTAGGCTCCGATAAAGTACATGCAGAAAGCGCCACCACCAGCACCAATCATAAGAAGGTTGCGACGTCCCACATGATCGATCAGAATCATGAGCCAAACAAATGTAAGGGCGGTCTTGACTACTCCGAAGATACCGGTCGTAAGGAAGCTCGTGTTGGAGCCCGTGATACCAATGCTCTTAAACACGGTAGGACTGTAGTAATTAATCGCGTTGATTCCGGAACCTGCATGTCTAGTCAGTATATTGTCTCTGCTTTGAATGGAATTGGAAACGACAACTTACCATTCTGGCAGACGAAAAGCATGCCACCCAAGAAGAAACGCCACTGTGTCTTGCGATCCTTGAGGGCCTGGAACGGCCTCCAGAATCCCTGACCAATTGCCGTATTGAAGTGCTCGATTTCGGTTTCGATGTTGCGTATTTCCTCGGCAAGGTACACGTGGTCAGAATCGAGCTGCCGCATCCAAGTGAGGGTCTTGACAGCCTCCTCCCGTCTACCCTTGGAGAACAGCCACCGGGGAGACTCTGGGATAAACAAGGCACCCACAAGGAGGACGCCAGCAGGGATGAGCTGCACAGCAAACGGGATAATCCACTGCTTGTGGGAAGGTGCCATTGTTTCGGAGAGGCCATAGTTGATCCAAAAGCCAACAAGACCTCCTGTTTGCCAGCCTAGTTCGTATAACCCAACTAGTCGGCCTCGAATAGCCGGGGGAGAAAGCTCTGAGATGTAGATGGGTGTCATGTTGGAGCAGCCTCCTACTCCGATGCCTGCAAGGACTCGTCCGCCGATGATGAGTCCAAGACCTCGATCGCCATTGGCCCCCAGCATTATTCCAGCGCCAACCATGAAGATGGCTGAGAATAGGATGAGGGAGTAACGGCGACCGAGGTAGTAGCTGCTTCCATAGGCGAAAAGACTGCCAAAGAAAGCACCTGCTTGGTAGACGGACACGATGTTCTGTTTGAGGAGGGCGAGGTTGTCTTTGCTATACTCGGCAAATTTGAATTCGGAGGCGAAGGAGGGAAGGGCTAGTGTAGTGCCGATAAAGGCAGAGTCGTATCCAATCGTACACGCTGCGAAGGAGGCGATGGAGGCACAGACGTAGATACGCCAGTTGTAGACCTCCTTTGGCGTCGGCCGGTCTTCTTTCAATGTGAGGATGCCCATGGCTTCTGGACTCGTCCTCCTAAGCGAGGCAAAGAGAGAGAAAAAATTAATGTTGATAAGGGTTGTGAAGACTTTTGGACCAAAAGGGGGGCTTGGTGTAGTGAGTTGGAACGAAGGAGGACTTCTGAGGACCGGGCTTTATATTCCAGCGTGTTACCGTCAGTCGTAGCCCTGGCCTATGCAAGGTGACAGATTTGAAATTACCCCAGTCCCCCTACACCGTACCCTGCTTTCTCCACGGAACAGTTTTTTGCCGTACCAGGTCATCTGGGTGTGGGGGAGTTTGTGCGGGGAAACGGACCCGTTCATTCTCTGGGGATCCTGAACCACAGATGCCAAATGCAACGAGTCATTTTTCGCCACAAGCCCACTGTTGCTTCCCTGGTCCGAGAGTCTAGGCTTACTGGCGGGTTGATGAAGGCCTGTGGGAAACGGCCCTCGGCGGCAGCAAAATTTAGCCGGGTTTTGGTTGTGCCAACGAAAATCAGTTGTCATGAAATATACGTAAGCCTAGATACAATTGGTCCCAAACCAGTTCATTTGATGCAACGGCAGCAGAAGTATGTAATTTATCGTAGAGGTCCTCCGTATGGTACACGCAGGCATAAGCGGATGAGACGGGACGAATGTTAGAAGAAAGCAGAGATATATGATAATATTTTGCAGGGAGTTTGTATAGCAGAGTTGCGATGAATGCCGACGTAAACTTGTTTGACTAACAATGCTATAGGTGTACAAAACAGGTTTAATTCCTATGATAAATATGTTTCAATATTCTTTGAAGTTGTGATAGAGTTAAGCCTATGCGTCTATGACATATTACTTCAGAGGAAGGTTTATGGTCACTTTTAATCCAAAAGAAAATAATCTCTACAATTCCTTGAGGTGAAAATTGTTTCTATTAACTCGAAACTTCCCGCTTCAATGTGACAGTTCCCGTATCACTTCTAATTGCGCTTCTAATAGCCTCGCACACTTCGAGTGCGCTTAATCCTTGCTGTCCAGTACAGTTCGGTTCATCCTGTCCTAACACAACCTTGACAAAGTGATCTAGCTGTCTATCGAACGGAACACGTGGATCTTGGTCAATCTCAAGCTTTTCGTGTCCAATAGGACTGGTCCAACTTTTTTCAGTACCTTCATGATACCTCCAGAGCCTCATATCCGGCACACTTAGCGTACCTTCAGTACCAAAAATACGGTACACATCAATTTCATCGCTTCCTTGGGGTATCCGTACCCGTGGCATAGTCGGATTCTCCCCTGTTCCCATTTCAAAGTTGTGCGGGCTTACAACAGCATCGGAGATGATGAACGTGCCTACCACGCCTGAAGCAAACCGAAGAGTTAGAGCAACTCCCTCTTCGGCTGCATCATCGCCATCCCCTTCAGCTGTAGTTACCCGCCGTCGGAGAGTCTCCTCTGCGTGAATCCGAATGATTGGCCCAAAGAGGAACTGCAGGTTATCAACTTCATGGATCATGTTGATCAACACCACACCTCCTCCCTGCGATTTGTACTTTCTCCACGCTCCAACAGGGCTGGCATCGAAATAAGGATCAGGCTTGAAAACTGCCCAGATTCCTGATATGGCGGTGGCCTTTCCCACCTTGCCGGAGTCCAATGCCTGTTTAGCAGCGATTATGTACGGATTGAATCGCCGGTGATGCCCGACAAGTAGAGGAACTCCTTTGCTCCGTGCCAGATCTACCAGCCTTTGGCCAGATTCGATGTCATTGCTGAGTGGCTTCTCAACTAAGACTGGAATACCGGCCTCGACAAGCTCTGTCGCCAATGGGACATGGGTGTGATTTGGAGTACAGACGATGGCGGCATCTGGGCGAGGTACGCTGGAATTAAGCATTTCCGCGATAGAGGTAAAGAGTGGGACATTTTCGATGCCGAGCGAGCTCGCCACCGCTGGAGCCGTAGGAGATGGATCGACGGTTGCTACAAGCTCCGTTGAAGGATTCGCTACTACATGAGTGGTGTGCCGTTTGCCAATCAGGCCTGAAAAGCCAATGATTGCGACCCGAATGTTTAGGTTCGTCATTGTGCTAGTTATGTTTGGGAAGATGGGACGGGTGAACAACAAACTGCCCAAGGCCAATGGCCATATCATCTCCTCTAATATTCTTCCTTGTGATGGAATTGCGGACCCTTGTTGTACTGGTTGACGCTGTAATGTAGGATAAAGATTGTTCCGGGGGACTTGTGTTGGGGAATCATTCGTAATAGCAGGTTTTATGAACCGCTTACGGGAGGCTATGTGGAAGATGCAGAGGTGAAACATGCAGTAAAATCACCAACCACACGCTCAAAGAAACGGAATTGCACTATACAGGTGCATATTACGGGAGTATCTTAGTTTTATACTTCCAGCCTGTGAGATGGAGAGGTCTCTTTATTGATAAACACCGAAACAGCCCGCTGTCGTAGACGACTGTTTCGCCACATGATTCTGCTTATACCTACTTGTAATCACACATTAGGCTAAATTGGATTATGATCTGGGTAGTTTTTGATAATGAGGAGGCTGATAATGAGGAGGCTGGTTGGTATAATCTCTTGGACCCATAAAGTTCTTTCCCATTCCTCAACACAACCAAATATTCTAAACGTACAAGAGCTCAAGATATACAACCATCAATGCTCGAGAAATATGGCATGGAAAAAGTACCATCCGAAAGCCATTTCATGGATTGGGCTTGCCAATTGGACAATAAACATGGTGTTTGGGGAACATATACGGCGTCATGATGAGCCCATGTTGTATTCGCTCACGAACAGTTCTGCCAAATCGTATCCGGGATCATACCCCAGATTAGTCATGAACTGGGAGTCCGCGCTGGCTGTATCTGCATAATCGATCGAGCCTAGCTCTTCCAGAATTGCACTATCCTCTACATTTTGGGATTGTAGAATGTCTTGTGTGATAGATTGTGGCAGAGAATGCAATGCATGGTTATGTTGGGGGATATCATTTAGTGTAGTTTTACTCGACTGTTGTGGTGACACGAGGGTTGGGGGATAGTTGGTCGTGAACCTCAAATTCGACGATGGTAGGAATTGCCTTCCTTGAGCGGAACCTCTCTGAATGCCCGGCTCAAGGAAAACAGTAGAAGCATGAGACGCGATGCTAGGCATTTCTATGACTGGCTGCGGATATGCGGTGCCAGCATCAGCTATGCTAGAGTTTGCTTCATGAATATGGATATTGGTGTTCACGGTGGAAGCAGCCGCTTCTGTCGGAGTCGTTGTCCAGACATGGTATAGAGAGCTGGCTAAGCTTTTCCACCTGTCTTTGTCTTCATCAGGAAGACGTTTCTCAAATCCTCTCTTTTCTGCTATCCCCATGAGCGTAACGATGAGAGGAGGCAATCCAAAGGCGCCTAACTGCTCAACACCTAGTTCAAGTAACTCCAACAAACTGAGTATCAGAGTCGACCGAGGGCGAGAGGAAAGATCCAGGGTGATGGTCAAGAATATACATTGAAGCAAGCATGTCGAGGGAACAAGCGTAATGCCACTTTCGGGCACCAGAGAATTACAGAATGAATACTGAGGATCCAAGCTTTGTAGAAGTCCTCCAGGCGTGATATTCGGCTCTAGAGGGCCGTGGCGCAGACCGGATCGCATCTTCGTAATCCATTGTTGACAAAAGACAAAGAGCTGCTGAAACAGAGGGATAGGAGGTGGGGAAACGCGGCCGGAGGTATTGGTTGTTCCAGGGAGAGCGTGTAGGTGCCTAAGTGGTCGAAACCAGGCTGCATCGACTTCCGTAGTACTTGTGAACGTCTCAGGTGGCAAAGTAAGATAGCCATAGCCGACCGCTTCGGGGTGACCCAGGAGAGCAGAGGTCAACGTGTCTAAAATAAATGAGGCGGCTAAAAGCCTATTCATTTGTGTCTTGTGAGGACTAGGACCAGGATCAGCTGTATTTGAGCCATCAATGGCAAGCCGAGTCGCTTTCCCAATCAAACACCACGCCTCTTTGGGTTTTCTCTGACCGAGCAAAATCAGAGATTGGACCAGGATTGCAGTTATATATGGGGCCTCGCAGCTCCTTCGTGTTGCATCAAAAAGATTCCAAGCAATATGGCATATGTCAGCAGGGGCCATGCGGGGGTTTTCCTGTAAAGACGAGGCAGCTGCATCCTGTATTGACGCAACAGCCAAGACGGACCACAACTGAGAGTGCAAAGCATTGGGGGAGTCACCCGATATGATAAAACCAGTTGGTGCATACAATAACGCGGTGCTGTTGATCGAATCTCGATCCACAATGGGCAGCCAAGGTGATGTGTATGAGAAATAAACATCGACGAGGTGTTGCCAGTTCAACGGCAGAGTTAGTTTATTTTCGGGTCGTGGATTGAGGCCGCACTGGGAAATGGGAGATGGTAGTGTTGGTTGTATCGGATGGGGGCAGTCTTCTTGAGGCGGAGGTTCCGGATCATCGGGCATCGCATCCACTGAGCTCGCTGCAACTGTCTGTATCTCAAATTCATCGTCTGATGTGCTTGTGATCTGCGTTGTATCCTGGGCAAGAAGCTTGCCAATGTCTTTATATACACGACTTTTGTTCCACTGTCGGCGAAGGCGAGAACTGGTGGAACTGTTTGAAGCGAGGATTCGAACACCCTCGGCGCCCTCATTCTGCACAAGCGCGCGGTGAAGGGCTGCTTCCGACCCTGGATACTGCTCAAAGAGCCAGGATATGGAAAGCTCGATAGACCTCAAGTATCCAGATCGAACGCCACGCTTGCGCGAGGTGTGCGAGTAGCTACAGGCTCGTTTCTGAGAAGTGCAGGTACCACACGCAGGTCGGTCACCATCACATTTCGCCTTGGCCGAGCGGCAGAAGTCGCAGGCAAGGGCGACGCGCTGCCGCTTAGGAGCCGACGTCCTCGCCGTCGCGTCGGAAGAGTCTTCATCTGCATTGTTGTCGTCAGGCTCTTTGCGCCGGGAAGTAGGCATGGCAGGCCATAAAGACGCAGGAGGCCACGAAGGCACCGAACCAGCGAGATACAGGGGGTAGCTCGACGTTGCGAGGGAGTATGGATCTGGGAACGAAACCCTGCGGCAAATCTCCCGCCAGCCCTGTTCAGCCCAGTCTCGTAAGAGGGATTGGTATCAGAGCCCTAGCTCCCCAGCACAAGCACAAGAGAGTTCATTGATCACCAAGAGACACAGTCGACACGGGTCAAAGCCTCCCAGGTATCAACTCGTGAGGATGGTCAGCCAGCTAGCTCTCGCGGCTGGTCTGGATGCAAGGCCACCAGCCCATGACAAACTCTGGATGACGGTATCCGAAGAGCCATATAAGTGGGGCGGGTAAATACTTGTCCGGACTGAGATTCAGCTGGCCGATCGCCAAATTCATACTGACTTGCAAATGGCTCTCTTGGTAATGCACCACCACATGGGCTGCGCTGGCTCCCCAAACTAGGCACATCTCATTTGGGCTGAGGAAGCCATCGTGAATTGGCTCATGGCTGGGGTGAAGAGGCCTTTCGAGGCCGTTCTTGATCATGACAGGGAGCTTGCCCGGTGTCTCAGCCCGCCCTGCTTAGGAGGTGATCTGTCCAGGAGCGTCTCTCCCAGCCCAGGGGCCTTCTTCTCGCCCCACGAAGCCAAGTCCAGGAAGCAAGATGGTACCGTCACTTCGCTGTTGTCGCCCTTCATGCCGACAACCAGGGACTTCAGTCCAGATGCGTCCATGCTCCTTGTCGGCATCCGGGGCGCTGGCAAGACAACTCTAGCCGTGATGGCTTCAACGGCCATGAATAGAAAAGTCATCGACCTAGAGATAGCTTTCCTCCGTACTACAGGCTTCTCCAGCACCGAGTATAAAGCGAAGTACGGCATCCTGGAATGCCACCAGACGCAGGCCCAAGTCCTCAGGACCATGCTCAATCGGCATCGCCAGGGCTACGTCCTGGTGTGTTCGTGGATGCATGGTTCTGCCCAGAAGGCGTTACGTGACTTTTCTACGACGAACCCCGTGATTCACATTCTACGGGAGGGCGCTGCCATTGAAAAGCTGTTGCAAGTCTCGGAGAAGTCCAAGGTTTGGAATCTTCTTCGCGTTAGCAATACCGTCTTCCGGTCCTCTACAACTTTTGAGTTTCTCAATATCTCGGAGGCATCGCCCTCTTCGACCAAAAAGCCTCCGCCGCCCCATCTGGCTCTAAAGCATGTCGAGAGACATTTTCTCAAATTTTTATCCTCGATTTATCCCGCCGGCAGCTTTCCGTACAGCGAGCCTGTATTGCCCTTGTCTGCTGTACCTCTTGAAAAGCGCAGATTCACATACGCTGTGTCCTTGCCACTATGCGACGTGTTGCAGGATCATTTCGATATGGAGAAGCACGTCATAGGTGCGGACGCCGTTCAAATCACAGTCGATACTCTGAGCAAAAGCCCGGTTACCGACCAGGCACAGCTAAGCCAACTCCCAGATAGCCTCACGGCCGCCGTTGGTCGAGTGAGGCGGGATACGGTACTTCCCATTATTGTCCATATAATTTTGCCCAATGTTGAAAGCCAAGAGACCGTGAAAACCTACCTAGAGCTCTTGTGGCATTCGATACGGCTAGCCCCCAATATGATCACGGTAGACTTGAGAGTGGATATATCCTCCCTGTCTGCCATTGTTGCTTCAAGAAATCGAACTAAGATTATTGGACATCTTTCTACGGAGCATTCCGAAAATCCTCGCTGGAGAAACCCGTTGTGGATTTCATTTTATGGCAAGGCTCAGGAGCTGGAATGCCATTTCGTTCGGTTCCTACGCCAGGGAGAGTCAATCGAGGACAACTTAGAGATCACAAGCTTCAGAAACGCAGTCGCTGAAATGAAAGGACCAGTAATTCCGTTAATTGCATATAATCTAGGACCTTTGGGTTGGCACTCAGCCACCATGAATCAGTTCATCACTGAGGTCTACCCAGATTCTGCGGCCGACACATCTCAGGAACCAACTTCGAGCAAGATAGGCATCACGGCCGTGGACGCAACAAAGGCCCTTTTTGCATCCTTTCTCTTTCACCCACTGCAATTTTATGTGTTTGGTGCTTATGTAAACAAGAGTCTATCCCCTGCTATGATCACGGCAGGATTCCAAGCTTGCGGAATTCCACATCGATACTCGCCACATTCCTCCAAGTCTCTGCAAAACCTCGAAAATCTTTGGAGACACCCAAACTTTGGGGGGGCTTCTATCGGGCACCCTTTCAAGATTGAGGCCATAAGCTTGACCTCCGCCCTGAGCGATCACGCCAAAGCCATCGGCGCAGTAAACACCCTCATTCCCATCCGCCATCTCAACTCCGATGGCACCGTTCCGGAACAGTCCGAGCTGTTCAAGACCAGCACAAATCAAACCGGGGCGATTAAAGCCTTATATGGCGAGAACACGGATTGGATCGGCATTCGTGCTTGCATTAGACGAGGTCTGTCGCCTGCGAACGCGGTATCGGCGAACACCTGCGGACTTGTTATCGGTGCTGGTGGTATGGCCCGCGCAACCATTTATGCAATGCTCCAGCTTGGCATCAAGGATATCGTGATTCACAATCGTACGCACGCAAACGCCGAAGCAGTCGTTTCTCACTTCAGAAGTCTCCTAGAACAACAAGATCTTCCGACGCCACTCTCGGAATCCGGGCGAACCAGGTTCATTATCCTATCACTTGATGAACCTTGGCCAGAAGATGTTCGACTTCCCACAGTCATCGTTTCATGCATACCAAATAACAGTATTGGGTCAGGCTTATCACCTCGCCTTACGCTCCCTGACGCGTGGCTGGGAAGCCGAACGGGAGGCATTGTGATTGAACTGGGATACACCACCTTGAATACATCTTTACTTGAACAGGTGAGGGAGAAATCTAAGGCATGGATTACAATGGACGGTTTAGATGTACTGCCAGAACAGGGATTTGCTCAATTTGAATTCTTCACGGGGAGGAGACCGCCTCGGAAAATAATGAGGCGCGCGGTTCTGGAATCGTTCGAAGAGGGGAGCCCCAAACCTGAGGCCATGCAGTTGCGACTAATGCATGTTGACCACCAGGAACAGTATTAAACTAAATATCATAAGCAAACTGATCGCATCATTTTGAGTCACTTGCTCCCTATCTATTTGAATTGCCATTGCCATTGCCGGTTCCTCAAACTCCACTTCCCGTCCACTCCCCCATACTCCCCGACCGCAATAGCCGTAACTCGGGATCCCTTCACAGTCGTAGGTTGCCGGAAGAGGTTTTATCCTGTATTTTGGCCTAATAAATCTAACCGAAAAGCCCTCGTGGATCGATTCTCTGCCCTTCCAATTCGTTCTGGAGCCGTTCAAATTATATCACTGATATGTCATTCTTGTGACAAAGGTACAATCGAGCATACTTCATCTAAGACCAGTGAGAAAGTAGCCTATAGCACGAGAAGAATAAATGTGGAATAGGCTCACGAAACCACGGTACGAGATATTCATAAAATCTATAACTACGGTCAAAATGCACAAGCATTTCATAACTTAACGATAAATCAGAGGTATCACATTTCTATCCTACTCTGGAACGATGAGACCGTTGACAACCTTCAGATGGCAGTCCTGACGCTTTGCCTCTTTCCAAGCCTCTTCTTCTTGTACTTGCTTTGCTTCCTCCTCCGTTATCAGAACGAAATCATACCGTAGCAGCTTTGTATCTGGTGATACTTTATATTTATCTGCTAGACCTTCAACATCCCCAACCTTACCAAGTTCGATTACCAGCGAATCCTTGACACCAAATACGGCGTCCGAAGTCTCGAAGGGGTCTCCCCGGAGGTAAAGAGCTCTGCAAACAGTTAACGTATGTTTTCAATAGTCACGCTAAGCGCAGCAAGGTTTCATTCAAACGTACGTAATGAGCCGATCAAAGCCTTCCTTCTTGAACATGAAATGCATGTGGCTTGGGCGATAACAGTGGCGATTTAAGCGCTCCAGAAGCTTTCCAACGGGCCCATCGTTAGGAATAGGATAAGGCACAGGGACAATAGCTTTGAACTGGATTATTCCGTTTTCGTCGCTTTCCACAATGGCACGGCCGTCTGGCGTGGTCCGGTCCTCATATTGCACATCATAGAAACCTTTGGAGTCTGTTTCCCATACATCGACCGCCACATTTGGAATTGGACGCCCTTTTGTATCTTTAACAGTACAGAAGGCAAATAGGGGCTCGCCTTCCGGATCGTGTGAGATTTGGTGGCCATGCTCAACATGGTGCGCATCCAGAGTGTGGAACGGGCCGAGGACTGTGCCCTCGGTTGAGTTCTTGAGCTTGGGATGATTGATCCCGTCGACTAGCAGCGATAAACCAAGAACGTCGGATAAGAGGACGAATTCGTGGCGAACATCAGTGCTGATCTTGCCAACGTCGACAAGAAACTCAATAGCCTTCTCCCACTCAGCCACACTAAGTCGTGTTTCCCTTGCGAAATCATGTAGGTGGTTCACTAGCCTCTGAAGGAGGAACTGTAATCGTGGATCTGGGCATTTGGAATTGATTGTGTGGACATTATCAGTGATGTTCTCAATGGTGAGGTCCTTCATAGGAGGAAGATCGGGTGGTGTATGTTGTTTCGGCGGCATCTTGGTCTGAAAATTGTCTAATAAGAGATGACATGGGAAAGGGGGCTAAACCAACGAGAAAAGGCGGGATACACGAGATGAGAAACGATAGATGAAGTGACCATTACTGAGGCTCAAGACCGGTCATTTAAACCGATGGTCCAATAATCTGCTCCAAGAATTGACTTTGGTCAGCAGAACCACGGCGCCACTTGAGGTTACAGCCCCGTGGGGAATGAATCGTGCCAGACTGCTAGTGCGCTTCTCCGGCTGAAATCTTTGCCGCCTCTCTATATCCGAGTACTGTTGTGATCTCATTTATCCTACGACTCTCCATGGAATGGTCTGATTCGACAAATAAAGCTCCGGTTACGGGCTTCTATGATGATTCGAATTGGCAAACGACTCTTCCAATCCAATCCACTCGTCCGGGGCGCTCGCAGCCACGCACCAAGATCAACCATGGAGGCCTTCGAGTATCAGTCAAATCCAAGCCGAATCTTCTTTGGCAGCGGCACAATCCAGAGGGTTCCTGATGAGCTGAAGAGACTTGGGTTCTCCAAGCCGCTGGTATTATGCACACCTCAACAAACCTCGCAGGCCAAGTTGGTCAGCGACATCTTGGGAGGCAAAACCGCCGGAACCTTTACTGAGGCAACCATGCACACTCCTACCGACGTCACAAACAAGGCTGTCCAGTTTGCCAAAGAGCGGGAGTGTGATTCTCTCATCTCAATTGGTGGTGGCAGTACTATTGGTCTTGCCAAGGCTATGAGCTTACGCACTGGCCTGTATCATTTGGCCATACCAACAACCTACGCCGGAAGTGAAGTGACTCCCATTCTAGGAGAAACTGAAAACGGCCGCAAAGTAACTAAATCAGACCCAAGAATTCTACCGGGAACGGTCATCTATGATGTCGATCTTACGATGACTCTACCTGTTGCCCTCAGCTCAACGAGTGGAATCAACGCTATTGCACATGCCGTTGAGGCTCTCTACGCTCGCAACGGAAACCCAATTATTAACCTGCTTGCACAAGAGGGTGTAAGGGCTCTAGCTGAGGCTTTACCTGAAGTAAAGAAGGACCCTCAGTCGAAAGAAGCCCGATCAAAGGCATTATACGGTGCTTGGCTTTGTGGTACTTGCTTAGGCAGCGTGGGCATGTCCCTTCATCACAAGTTATGCCACACCCTTGGTGGAACCTTCAATCTCCCCCATTCAGAAACGCACACAATAGTTCTCCCTCACGCCTTATCTTACAATGCGCCAAAGATCCCATCCGCGATGGTCTCGTTGGCAAAGGCTTTCCCTGGATGTGATGGAGATCCTATCAAGGGCCTGAACACACTCTTGGACACATTGGAGGTTAAGCGGGATCTCAAGTCTTTTGGGATGAAGGAGGAAGATATCGCTAGGGCCGTGGAGATTGCGTTGAGTAACCCTTACTGGAATCCTCGGGAGATTGAGATGGCTCCCATCCAGGAGCTGATTCGTCGTGCATGGGCTGGTGAGGATGCCAAGGCAAACCTCTGATATAGAAACCAATTAAATTCTTCCATTATTATTGATGATCGTACCTATCATGAGAATGAAGATCGTTACTTACATTGTGGCCTTTCCGCTCCATCGTTTCACTAATACTATCCTAGCTTTGGTAGACCTCTCGGCTTTGCTTCACATCATTATCCCCAAGCACCAGTAGACGTTTAGCGGATCTCGGAAGCAGGGAATTGGGGTGAATATTGGATACCGGTGACGGTCAACCGCGTACAGCCTACCACTCCGGGTAAATGCTATCCCACCTGGGATGATGCCTGAGACGAAATTCTGGCCCTTTCTCCGCTAGCTTTGGGCAGTATCTCTATCTCCCCCCGCAGTGTCCCCCGCAATTTTCCCCGCAGCTGAAGGAGGAACCCCAATCCACGCAGGATATGTGTTTACCCGCCATCCGCTATCCTCCGTCTTTCCGTACATCCGGAAATGGCGATGTCTGTTTAGCCAAGACTATGCAGGTCGTAGACGAGTAGGTCTGGATATAGCAAGTGTGTAGGCTGTTTGCTGTACACGTAGGAACCAGACATATTCGAAGTTTATGCAATCATGAACTGATCAACTTGTCTACTAATTTGAAACCATGCCAATAGATATTAGCTAGCAGAGAGCACCTGGCCTACAAATTCTATCTGCAATAGTAGCCTTGGTTATTTGGTGATTGAAAGGCTCAACTAAAGCTTCGTGAGCCTGTAGGGAGAGCCTTCCTATGTTGACAGATGGCCTTGCTACAGGGTAGTAAAAATTTCGACGAAAAGTTCCAACACACAGAATATTGTTGCCAATGTGTCTATCTTCCTAGAGATTGATGCAGAAGCTAAATTTAGATTCTGCTTCTTCTCAGGAAGATCGAAGGTCACTGTGGTGCCCGCTTCGTTCGACATTGGTATGAGGAAGACAACATAGTTGATCCCATTGATTCGAGAAAGAACCCGAAGCTGGATCAGGAGAAGCTAGATATTTACCGAAGAGGACGCAGATCTCATCAATGCCGGTAAGGAAACAGTGACTCTTAATCCTGGTGCTTCAGTTGTTTGGCTCCGAGGAAAGTTTTGGCATGAATGGAAGCGGTCGTATCGATCTCACATTATTGGGTGCGATGCAAGTTAGCGCTGTTGGTGATTTGGCCAACTGGATGGTACCAGGCAAGATCAAGGGGTTCGGTGGTGCTATGGATCTTGTCAGCAACCCAAGCGAAACGAGGGTCATTATAACGATGGAGCATACGGATAAGAAGGGCAACCCGAAGATTGTCAAGAGCTGCAATCTACCGCTCACTGGTAAATCCTGCGTTTCGAGAATCATCACCGGTTTAGTAAGAAAACTTTCTGTCCTCTGTAGAAAATGTCAAATCGTGAATACTAATACTATTATAGGGTATCTTTGATGTGAAGCCTGGGCAGGGCCTCACTTTGATTGAGATTGCCGACGGAGTTACCGTTGATGAAGTCAAGTCAAAGACCGAAGCGCCCTTCATTGTTGACTTTGCCTTAAAACCAATGCTTTAAAGCCCGAATTACTTGATCCAAGACTTAATCTTTGCCCAGACGATGGTATCAAAGTTATGATTAAATTACAGTTTAGATTTCTAAAAGTATGAGAACTTGTCAACTCCATTATTGATATTCGTTATCTAATGTCGGGATGAATGTATGTTCATGATTTACATTCTATATCAACATGCCCTTCAAATTGAATTGTTAGAGCCAAGATGAGATCGGTGCTAGTCTATATATGCGCTTATTTACTCTAAAATGCGAACGCTCAGCCAAACATTAGTTCCTTCTGCTGGCAGCCGAGCCACCTAGCAGATAGTCCGTAGATCTTCGTTCCTCTTCATCCTCTGAAGCTCGAACACCATTTTGTGGAGCAGCAGAAGTCTCATCGCCTTCTACCTCTAATGATGCTTCGTCTCTTGCATGCTCAGAGACTTCTCGTGGGCTCAGACCATACCAGGCCACGAACAGAGTACCTGTGATTCCTACAATGCAGCTGATGACAAAGGCCACGATACCCTTAGTGGTAAACCTAGATATGACTGTTAGCTGAGATTCTAAAACGACACCGAGTTTATTGAGATGGAAGGAATACTAACCCTGCAGGCAGAGGAGGCGGGGGAGCATTCTGGCCCGTCAAGTCCAAGAGGTTGTCCTTGTTACCGGCAGCGTTTCCAGCGAATGGAAACCCCCCAGCCTTACAGTTGTCCAGGTGGCTGGCTGGCAGCTCGATGGTCTTCTGGAGCTCCAGGGGGGCCTCGACAAATGTAGCCAGCAAGCCGGAAACGATGTGCCACTCGATGTGGCAGTGGAAAAGCCAGACGCCAGGGTTGTTTGCCTTGAACCTGAGCACGACGTTGCCATTCCCCTCGACGACGATTGTGTCGCGACGCATGGGCGTTGAAGGGAAGGCGAGATGCATGTGGTTTGCTTCAGCGAAATCGCCTCCGTCCTCGTCGCTGCGGTGGATGACCTGGAAGTGATGACCGTGGAGATGGAATGGATGGCGGCCGTCATCGTGGTTGTTGATCACGATCTGCACAATTTGATCCTTCTCCAGGACGAACGAGTTGGTGTACTCTCCGTAGACCTTGGGGTTGGCAGCAAGCTCGCCGGCGGTGAGGGCGGTGTAAAGACTGGGGACCTTGGGCTCGCGATATGTGTTGTTGTTGAAGAAGGCGTAGTTGGCACCATCTCCGAGGTTGTCCATCTTGACTTCCAACTCGACGGTTCGATCTGGCTCCGGAAGAAGTTTCATGCTGTCGTAGGGCGATAGTTTCATGTCATCGGCTGGCTCAAATTCAGACACCAGAGCTGGCTTAGGAAGGTCCTTTGACTTGTCGTAAACGAGCCAGCTTGTTACGTTCCAGTCCAAGTCATCAGGCAAAACATCGAAAAGGTCCTTTTCTGGTTAGTCATGCTCCGTGCGGTATCACCAGTTCTGACTCACAGTATCCATGCTTCCCACAACAGCAAAATTGCTATGGGCATCGTCCTTGGTCGTCACCAAGACACTGTAGCGCTGCGCGGCAGACAAGTAAATCATGTCTGTTTCGTAAGGCTTGGTGTAAACGCCGTCGACCTCAACAATCTTCATGGTGTGGCCTTCAATCCAGAAGTATTGCCCAGCAAATGCACCGATATTGACCAGACGAAGCAGGTACGTGGTCTTTGGCTTCACGGAGATCTGGAGATTCTGGGTGTCGTTCATAAGGGCAGCCTGGGGAACAGGTTCGGCACCAGTGGGGTTGCCCTTGCTCATGAACTGGGGGATGAGATGGGCCATTTGGTCATGGTACCAGTCTGACAAGGTCATGACGATTTCCTCATCATATTTCCCATTGTAAGGAGACTTGGGGTCATGGATGATGAGTGGCCCTCGGAGACCATCTGGGTACTGACTCTGGGTATGAGAGTGATACCAGTACGTGCCAGGTTGCTCAATCTACACAGCCTCAGGTTAGTTCTAGCAATTAGAGAGAAGTACCTGCGGACAGTAACGCGACTCACGGTGAAGTTGTACGTAAACGAGCCTCCTGGGGGAATGGGGCACTGGGTGACCTGGGAGGGGCCATCCATGTGGACGGTCCCGTACATGAAGAGGCCGTGGAAGTGCAGCGAGGTCGACTGGTTGCCCAGCTGGTTGTGCACATTGATGACGATGTTGTCGCCGACATTTGCATCGATGCGCGGGATGGGCCACTGGCCGTTGATGCCGATGGCGGTGCGGTCGAAGGCGCCGTCGGGATTGACCGTGACCCAGCCAATGTTGAAGTCGTGCGACACGGTGGCAGCCTGGGCCAGCAGACACACCAGCTGGCCGGGCACCAGCAGCCAGAAGGCGAGTCGTTGGAGGGGATTCATGATGACGATTCCGTTCAGCATCAAGTTGAACCACCGACCATCAGGTAGGGCGAGGGCAGAAGGGGGGGTTGGAAAGCGGTCGTCAAAATAAAATAAAATAGAATAAAATCAGCCGGCTCGGTCCTGCGCGGTTTTCGACGGCGCGTGACAGAATTTGATACGAACTTATCAGATCCGATTGATAATTCAAGACACGATCCTGGTCCCAGCCTCGTCTTTGATTGGCCTGAGCTGCGCACGAGGGATTTTTAGTGGAAAACCACGTGTGTGAAGATCTCGGCAAACGAGGCAGAAATCCGATTACGGCGAGGAGAAAAAAAAACACATCTCTTCAGACAGAGATCGCTAGTGGATCTTATTTTATTACTCGTTTCTTCCCTTCTCCTTTCTGCTCATCTTGCTGGCCTCGTTCGTTCCTGGTGGTGAGCGGGCGAACGATCCTCCCTCCCTTCTCCCTTCTCCCTTCTCCCGGAACCATGGCGTCGAATTTTATCTCGGTCCCAGTCTTTCTGGTTATCTTCCGAGAGACACTGGAGACGGCCATCATTGTCTCTGTGCTGCTGGCATTTCTGAAGCAAACCCTGGGCGGGCCAGATCAAGATGCGGCAATCTACAGATCTCTCTGCAAACAGGTAAGAAATCACGATTGGCAATTTTCTAAAATATTTATAATTTTATTCTCCGGTCGCATGCCATAATTGACATGTGAATGAATGCTCCAGGTCTGGCTGGGAACCGCCGTCGGCTTCCTGATATGCCTGTTCATCGCCGGCACCATCGTCAGCATCTTCTACATCTACGGCCGCGACGCCTGGGCCGCCCACGAGTACTACTACGAGGGTGCCTTCTCGCTCTTCGCCGCCCTCGTCATCTCCGTCATGGGCGTCGCCCTGCTGCGCGTCGGCCAGATGCAGGACAAATGGCGCAACAAGCTCGCCAAGGCCCTCCAGGCGCCGATCCAGGCCGACTCGGGCAAGAGCTGGCTGAAGCGCCTGGCCGAGAAGTACGCGCTCTTCTTCCTGCCCTTCATCACGATCCTGCGCGAGGGCATCGAGGGCATCGTCTTCGTGGCCGGCCTCTCGTTCTCGGCGCCGCCCGCTGCCATTCCCTTCTCTGCGCTGGCCGGTCTGGCGTTTGGCGTCGCTGTGGGATACGCGATTTTCAAGGGAGGCTCCGTGATGCAGATCCACGTGTTTCTTGTCATTTCGACGTGCTTCCTGTATCTGGTAGCCGCCGGGCTCTTCTCTCGCGCTATCTGGTACTTTGAGACGCAGGAGTGGAATATCATCGTGGGCGGCGACGCGGCTGAGCTTGGCGACGGCCCTGGATCCTACGATATTGACCGCAGCCTTTGGCACGTCAACGTAAGTACCTCGTTGTTGCTTCTTTCATCAATCAAGCCCAGGCAAAAACTAACTCATCGAAGTGCTGCAGCCCCGAGGTGAATGGCGGTGGCATCTGGGCGGTTTTGAACGCTGTTCTGGGATGGACCAACTCGGCTACTTACGGCTCCGTCATTGCATACAACGCGTACTGGGTGTGTGTCATGGTCGGCCTCGTCACCCTGCGATTCCGTGAGAGGAATGGCCGTCTGCCTTTCATGGCTGCCAAGAAGGCTGCATCCAAGCCAGACCGCGGTACGGAGAGAGAGGCTGCACCGCTATTGGATGGAGGCGCAGAGTAGAAGAGATGGCCAAGGTTGATGGTCGGTTCATCGCAGTTGGCAGGCGCCCTGAACATGGATCTATTCAATGCGGCCAGGCCAAACATGTTTATATACCCAGTTCTCCTGTGCATAAGATTTAGAATGTCGGTCTTCACTTGGCGTCGACACATCAGCATATCAATTGAAGAAAATTATGAAATTCAAAAGCAACTTGGACCTGATCGGGTGGAAAGAATGTCCCAACACGAAATAATCAGTAATGCGCCTCATTGCCACAGCATCATCAGTCATGCCACTTCGTACCACCATCGTTTCACTTTAACCAGCACAGTGCCTCAATGGCCAATTGTTACAGCGCCCCCAAGTACTACCAGAGTATCACATCCCTGCCAGATGAGCAAGCAGCTGAAGTACCTGGTTACAACAGCAGATAATCGTGAATACAACCCCGACTATGGCGATGTTGTATTTTCATCCATTCTCCTGCCTATACATCTATTCCAGGTTCCTATGGAAACCTGAAGTGAGCGACTCTGTGACAGCCTGACACGTGTAACGGTGTAGAAAGGTGTGGGTGTGGCCGGTTGGTGAGAGCAGGGAAGATGGCATGGTCCGTCCGTATATTGTCACCTCATTTTCCCCCCTAATCCCTAATGCCTCCCTAAAACCGTCCCGTCCGTCGCCCTTGGCTTTTCCCATCTCTCACCAAATGTTAGACCGCGTAGGAAGGGGAAGCATTCATTCACACACAGCAGACGCAGCATGACTCTGTCCTTCACTGACATCTTCCGCGGCAGATCCAGAAGGGTTGCAAAGGATCTCGAGCCACACACACGCTCCCGCCAGACCAGCGCTTCGTCCCGCGACCGGGCCAATCTGCCGCCTACAGAAAACTCCACCAGGCCGCCATCCTCCTGCAGCATCGTCCCACCTGTCTTCGAGACGGGCAAGATTGGCTTATTCATCACCCATCCAGCAGATCACTCGGGTAGCATCGAGGCTCAAGCAGATGCCGAGTACGCCGGCCTTTGTCTCCATCTGCGCTAAGCGCGCAGCCTGTTAGAGGAAGTTGCTGACTTGAAGTAGCATCGTCGCTGTCCACGGGCTCGGGGGGTCCATCAACAGAACATGGGGTGAGACCCGCAGCTCTCTGGAGCGCCTTCTTCCCAGCTCCTTGCCCAGTTCGCGGCTCTTATCATATGGCTATGACTCTGCTTTAGCCTTTTCCAAGCCTTCGTCGGGGCTGGACAATTGCGCCAGTGACCTCCTTTTGCGCCTGAGGGCCATAAGAAAACGCACACAGGTGAGGTTCACCCCAAACTTAAGTCTGTGGCCTTCAATATTCTAACTTGTGTGATAATAGGCAGGAAAAAGGCCACTAATTTTCATCACACACGACCTGGGCGGTGTCATTGTAAAGAAGGTACAGTCAGATCCAGTTCAAACAATGATCATTCCACACATGATTCACATGCTAACTTGTCTTTCAGGCACTTATCCTGGCCGAGGATGATCCTCAGAAGTACTGGAACATAACCAAATACGTCAAGGGTATCGTTTTCATAGGCACGCCGCACCGTGACTCTGTGGAAGAGCCGTTGGCAAACATACTCCAGCATTTGGTTAGCCAGGCTAGGCTCAGACAAGGGATGAGAGACTCCATAGTTCGCAATCTAAATCAGAATATCGAGCTCATTTCAGATACATCTCGTCGATTTCTCCCTCTGACCCCTTGTCTGAGCATTGTCAGCTTTTACCAAGAGCACGCCGAGGCGTCTGTAATGGTGCCCAAGTTTGCCGCGACGCTCGGTATAATCGATGAGAAAACCCATTCAAGGCACTCGGAACGCCATGATGAGATGTGCCATTTCAGCTCTAGCCAGAGTCCGGAATACCTGCATCTCACCGACTCGGTCAAACATATCATCATAGAAGAGGAAGCTAGCCATGACTCAGGACTACTGGGCTTGGACCTTCTTCCAACGAGGCATAATTCTCTTCGCCGCCGCGGGTCGCGACTTATGAACCGGCTCAGCAAGAAATTCTCCGAGTCCACTCTGAAAATCTCAGCAGAAAATCCCGGGCGCTTCCTTCACTTTTACCGAGACGGGGAGAGTTCACGTCCTCCTTCAGCTGCGGTGTCTACAAGGAGCGCTGCGAATCCTGAAATTACAGTGAGATTCAACGGCCTGCGCAGGCTGTCTATGGATACCGAATCAGATGAGACATTCACTGAGGTACTGCAACTCCCCAAAACCACCTTAATCAAGGATCTCGGAGGTATACTCCGCGGTAGGATTCCAGGTAAGAAAGTTGACCCCCCTCCAAAGCAGTAACATCCCACGTAGCTAACTCATCTCCTACCTTCAGATATTGACCTCACGGGAGGATGTCGAGATATCAAGAGATATAAGCACATCGACCCTGCACAGGTCGACTCCGAATGGGCCAGATTCGAAGCCTTCGGGCACGAGGTCAAAGTCACTTGGCTTGACGTGTTTACAACACCCGTCATGGTCACCGAAGGAAGCTCCTGCTACGACAAATCCCGGGGGCTCAAGATCAACCATCGCCAGACAATCAGCTCTTATCTCAGCCAGCTATACCCGAGCCCCGTTGAAGCCAGAATAGACGCCGTCCACGCCGATGGGACCAGACAGCCATTTACACTCGGCACTCCCAGCAGTGCGGTCGTCGCCGGACAAAACGGTACTCCCGACCTGCGGATTTCTCTTCGCAGGAAAATCGGCAACGGCGAACGTGAGAGGCTTACGGACCTCCCTTTTGGTCTTCAGAGATTCCCCATTGTCGACGTAAAGCCCTTCCGTGACCGCCTTCCAGCCTCCGTGGTCGCACAAGGCGGCGTCTTCGTCCCAGTCAATTGTATGTTTCTCAACCAGATTCCACAACAGATAGTAACTAATATATGAGTAGCCGAAATCGAGACGGTGAAGTTGGGGTTCCAATGCAACGCATCCAAGAGGTTCCTGATCCGATTTCTCGCCAAAGGCGAAGGCGCGGTGGCAGGCGAGCTGGCCGTGAGTGATCAAGGCCTCGACGTCGTTAGCTGGAACAAGAACATAGCCCACGATAGGAGCACACTGATTCCAGACCCAGATTGGTTCGGTACCGAACAAGCGGTGCCGGAAATCACTTACTCCTCTTTCAATGACGAGAGGGACTCCGGGTTTTCATCTCAGGACTCCGAGGAGGACAGCATATCGCAAGACAAAGTCGAGCAACAAAAGCCCAACCAAGTCCACCTGCAAATCATCCCCAAGCTGGATGTTGGGTATCACTACGCATGCACAACCAGAAACATTGCCAAGCAAGAGCTCTCTGGAAACGGAAAGTTTGTCCCCGAGCGGAGCCAGAAAATCTTCACTACTTACTTGCCGGATGTTCCCAGCGGTACGCGCCAGCTCGACGTCCTGAAGACGCCGGAGGAACAAGGACTCTATTTCGGAGATAGCATCCACGTCAAAGACTTTAGAAAGAAGCTCCCTCCGCGATTCAAGACAATCAGGGACTTATTTGCGGAATGTCCGATACGGGGTCAACCCAAGGATAGCATCGATCTATCGCTTTCCAGCATGGAGTGGTCGTACCGGATTTTTGCGAAGACGGTCACCGGCCAAGCCATCCCTCTTGATGTCTTTGGACAAACTACTGTATATCAACTGAAGGTCTGGTTACATGAGAAGGAGGGCACGGCAATTGAGGACCAGCGTCTGATATTCGCCGGAATCCTCCTGCAAGATGGTGAGTATTGCTCCATTCTGACCTGAAACTACCCGGCCTGTCTCTAACCGTTCCAAGATGCCTGTGTTTGCGATTACGACATCCCAAAGGTATGTTTTTCGAAAATCCTCTTGCTGGTTTTCTCTACTAACACTTTTCCCAGGGAGCCCATATACGGCTCGTACAACGCGAGGTGCTTGAGCCAGTAACTGCAATTTTCATGTATCAAGGCAAGATGTATACAACAGACGATCGTTGCTTTCTTATAATTTCACTCAAGCAATATATTCAAGAACAGTTCGGAATCCCCATCGAGGAACAGCGCATAGCGAACGGCTACAAGGAATTAAAAGACGGTACACCTCCCTCTTCTTAACTAGCCTTGTGGTGTTTGAGGCTAACGTTTTCCAATAGGCGATACAATCTCCAGCGAGAATGTATACCAAGTTTCAACAACGTCAGACGGGGGCGAAAGACCTCCCAAATCGACCGATCTTGAAGCCGCCCACGAGCATGGCTCCCAGATCAACCCGAACGACATGCGGAGCTGGGACATTGCAAATTCAAAGATTGTGACTTTGAGTCTCCTAGACCCAGACACTTTCACAGAGACAACAGGATTAGAATTGCCCGAGATTCCAGGAACAAAACCCAAAGCTGCTCCATCTGGTAGCGGCTACTACACCAGCTCAGCCGGGTTCCCGCCATCATCTGGCTACGAAAAGTGGCTGCAGTGGAGGGATTGGGGCGAGCCTGATCCCTGGGCCGAGACGAGCGACGACGAGACGGAGCCCGACGATGAAACCTCTAGTGAGGAAGATGGGGACATCGACACTCCTCCTACCAAGCCAGAACCGCTGCTTGGGCCTCCTCTCATGTTAACAGACATTGACGATTCTACACCCCCGCTTAATTATGAGAGTCCAATTACCGCGCTATAGAATTTTAGAGATCGCTATTTCCTTCTTGTAAACATTAAGATATTGAGTTTTTAGGGATATAGAAGGTTATTATTACTGGGCGGCCGTAACTATATTTAAACTCCTTTCATAGGTTCACGATATACCTTGCTGAATATTTTCTTCTTTGTCTCGATGTTCGTCATGCCTTAAATCATCCATTTGGTCCTCCATGTCAGTTTGGGACTTCTCAATACCAGCCTCGCACTTGAACCGTCGCAGCCACTCGCAATTATCTGCTGGGGTCGTGTTCCAAATATCATCACTATACTCGTATTAGCTAATTTCTCGAGAGCTTTCAAAATATCCAACGTTGACGTACTCATCATACATAATAAAGCGAGCTTGGTGGCGTAGCTCTTCATCGGAAGGAACGTGGAAGTTCGGGTTGTTGGGGGACATTGTTGCTTTGACCCATCGTTTCAGTTCCCGAGTTACATAATGATGAAACTTGGAGTCGTTGAGGATGTAAAAGTTGGTCTTCACCCAAGTTGGCCGTTGATCTATTGGCTGTTGTGCCGTACCGATGGAACGGCTACTTGGATCCCATTGACTCGTAGGATCAGTGGAGATAGGGGCCTCTCCGTTCTCGGGCGAAGGCATACCCGTCATCCCAACGCCGAGGGTTGGCTGGAGATAGGGCTGGGAGAATTGTGCAGTCTTGTCCAGATTTCCGAAGCTGGCCCCAGGCGCGGCGTCACCAGACACATTAGGGATCTGTGCATCTCCCACGTTATCACTGGCATGAAGCACACCATCCCCTAAAACAGAGCTCATCCGCTGTCTGAACTCCTGAAGCCACGTTTGCGAGATGGCAAGTAACCCTACCAGCCACTTCTCCATGAAGTCATATTCTGGCATGGCAAATTCCTTGTCGATCCGCATGATGATCCGATACGCCTCAGACTGAAGCTCATCATCCCCCACCACCAGTTGTCCAGACGTCCATGCGCGGAAGACAAAATCCTGCAGCTGAGCTTCGAGCGGACATCCATGAAATAAGCTCTTGGAGATATTACTCGGCGCGGCAGACACACTCTCCGCCTCCGATCGGATCGGACCGAACTTGGCCTGCTTCATGATGTCCTCGTGGCTTGTGATGAGATCTCGAAGCCACGATGCAGCACCCGGCTCGGTCAGTGCTTCCTCTGGCGTCCTCGACTCGGAGGCAAATATGATTCGGCACGCCTCTAGCTGTAGCGCATCGCTATCTGGTATCTCACCCGTCTCATCACTGTAGCCTTGCATGTACCATAGCAGCTCCAATTTGATTTTCTCGTATGCACAGCGCGGGCTTTCTACCGCCGGAGCACTCGCCACAAATGGGAATGGAGTGCTGCGCTCCGTGGAAATCAAATCTTCGTCTTGTCAGCATACGCGGCCACACTCATACGAGCAAAGAATCGGAAACTCACATGGAGGAATTGCATTCTCCACCATATCCAGAACGGACTTCTCAAACCCCCAATCGCCCTTCCAATCCGCGATACTCTGTCCCACCTTGAAGTGGTCAGCGAGGTGGTCGACCCGGAAAGACCACGAGTCCAGCGCAATCCCACAGAAGCCGCACCGCGACTTGACGGGTGGCGATGGAGCCTTCCAATGCTCTGCGAATGAATCGATCAGCTTTGCACCGTGTACCAGGCGTAGATGCTGCTTCAGATGGTCCTTTCGGCTGAATATGCGCTGCTGGCACACATGTGGATTGTGAGTCTCCAAGTGTTCAGTGTCCGGGTCAGCCTGCCCGCAGAAGATGCAGTATGGCCGGTTATCTTCTCCCTGGATTACTCGAGACTCGTCGGGGGCGCACTTCCATCTATCGATGGATAAATGCAGTGACTTCTCGTGTCTCTGCCAGTCGTGTTTGGTCCCGAAAGTGTCCGTACAGAATGTGCACTGGTATGGTCTGAAGGGCGCTTTGAGTGGTTTCCTCTCGGCCTTCGGGTTTCGGAGATGTCTTTTTCGATGCGGTCTTGGTCGTGCATACTTTCTCGGTGCCGACGATGAGTTCCACGACACAGCTGATGAGTTTGACATGACAGAGCTGCTGTCGGAATGTGACGATGCAGCACTGCTTGCGGAGGAGCTACCGTAGGAGATTCTATTCTTTCCACGGTCTATCGGGTGTCCTTCACTTCCGCGATGTGCCATCGCCCGAGCAATGGCTGACGCCGCTGCAGGCTCATCTTCGGGCGGCGAGTCGAACCATCGCTGTATCGGGTCTGCGTGTGGTGAGTTGCCCACCATTGGGGTTCCTGGGCGAGCAGGAATGGGAACTGGACTGGTCGTCGATGCGCCTGGATTGGGCGTTGATGATCTGCTACCGCGGGTCTTGTTTTTCCGCCGGCGTGCGTTGGCTATCCAGTTGGTCACCTGGATCTCGGTGAGCCCCGTCTGGCTCTGAAGTATGTGTTTGTCCTCCTCGCTCAGATACGGGCTGCTTTCGTGGGTCGACATCCAGTTTCTCAAGATTCGAACAGCTTCCTTGGAGAACCGATTGCCGATTTTGGCGGGAGGCTTTGAGGAGCCGTCGTTGGGCACACTAGGGAGGGAGTCCAGTCCTCCAGGGTTGGGTGTATTCCAAGAGAATGATGACGGCGACGGCGAGACGCCGTAGTTGACGGTATTGGCAGCAGCAAGCGGAGCATTGAAGTCAGTCGGCAGGGTGAAACCCGGTGTCGAAGGCCCCACTGGCGTATCCAGTTGATGGGACTGGGGGAGGTCACCAACCAGCCCAGGCATCGGGTTAGGTTCGATCAGTGTCATTCCCGGGGCTAAACCTGTGTCGAAAACACTTCCTTGGATCCCAAACTGCACGGGAAAAGATATCCCCCTCGATGATTCGCCTGGGAGACCACCAAGTCCGGTCTCGGTGACTACCGGAGGGGTCGACTGAAACTGAGCCGGAGCAAGGCGCAGTGGCGGCCCAGAATCAGAAGAAGTGGCCTCCGCATGCGGGACCGAGTCCTGTCCATGACCATGGATATAGGCCATTAGATTAACGGATCGCTGGTCCAAGCATGGGGCCAGGCGGGAGTTTGGGTAGGAGAAGAGGTCGAGCCTGGAGGGAGCCCACTCGCAACTAGTCTCGATTGACTCCTGTCTTCATCCTGACGGACGCTGATTCGCTCGTCTAGGTTCCACCGGCGCGTCAAACACGCCTTACATTCCGGGATTAGTCGTGCTTGGATTCAGGTGTCTTTCGTCGTGGCTCATTAGGGAGAGCTTCGAGACTTACATCTCCTCCGCCAGGCTGCTGCTGAAGGTATATTCATCCCAGGCTCGTGACATGCAAGATCGCCCTTCTCGTGCAACATATCATCTCGCCACTGACAGTTTTCCATACATTGGTCTTCGCTCATCTCGCCCTGATCCTGCAAGCTAAAGGTTCTCGACGCCCTATAATTATAGCGCTGTTGATGCCGCCACTAGCCGAAACACCGTCGGATGTCCTTACCTACTTACCCTATACCTGTCTGTCATTCACGAGATCTATGTGATCAAACCTGAGCTCTAAGGCGTTGAGAATCACTTTGTATTTACTCAAGGTTAAGCATTTAATGATTTTCAATTCCGCCGAATTAATACTCGTGGACCACTGATGGCAGAAGGAGGTGTATTAGATTGTTCTCCACTAACGGTTCAGTCAGGTAATGATAGAGTATCACATGAAGAGTGCGTCGACGTTTTAGGTAGACGGCTTCGCCATCATGTCAATGTGAGGGCACTTGAAACTTTGGTCGACTGAAAGAAAGTCAATGACTCTTTTCACCCTGTTATGTAAAAGCTTCGCTTTTGGGATAAGTGCTGAACTGTACTTCTATTTACATGAGTTATTTCAACCCTTGTCATTGGTCATGGCTGACTCGAGTAAGAGCTAATTAATCAAACAGCGCCAAGTCCGGCCGGTCAGTCTGTGTGATCTCCTTGTCATTAATATCAACGTAAAGAAAAACAGAAAATTGATAAGAATTTCGTATTCATGCGCCCAGTGGTTAAAGGAAAATTCTTCTATCACTTGACAGCAAGTAGACGGTTCCGGCTGGGAAGTTCAGTCAGCGAACCTGTGGAGTCGCCCATCTGCAGGATGATCAATCACTGGGACCTAACTTCGTTGTTTAGTGCTAGAGTCCACTATATATTACCTGTGCCTTGTTATACGAGGCATCGTCTGCTTCTATCGATTTACTACGTTGATCTGATTCTCACAATGGCTGAATATCGACACTATGCGAGCCCTGATCCGCAATGGGTAGACGTACGTTGGCGAAATTACACCGGCGTCTAGAAATGGGCTAATATGATTGATAATAGTTCCCTAAGAATTTGCCTCAGGATACCCTCGTTACGCGTGGTATGACTCGGGCGCATGATCCCATCAAATCACAACCAGGACTGGATATTACCGAGTTTGACGTGAAAGTGCGCGATGGAGCACCCATAACCATCAGATCTTATCGCCAGACGTCGCTTGCTGATGAGGCACTCCCGTTGTTTTTGTACATGCACGGGGGCGGCTTCGTGACTGGCGGACTTGAGACAGATGACTCGACCTTACGCGCAATTGCTCAAGAGCTTGGCCTTCTTGTCTTGAGCGTCGAATACCGGCTGGCACCGGAGAATAAGTTCCCGGTTGGTTTTGAAGACTGCTTTGACATTGTGCGCTGGGTACGTTAAATTATGTTTGGGGGCTGCACATGTTTCTAGGCACATGGCTTATACAGGGACAGGTGACGACGACAGCAAGCCAAATTCGGTTGAAAACAGATTTATCAAAGGCATTCATTCTGGGGGGAACATCAGCAGGAGCTAATTTCACGGCGGGAATCGCCCATCTGGCGTTGGAAGAAGGCCTTTCGCCCCCATTGTCGGGCCTTATCTTCCTGGCTGGTAGCTTTTGCCACCCGGACGTGCGGCCGGCCAAGTATCTAGACCGCATCCTTAGTGTTGACGAGATCAATGACGCTCCTGGTCTGACAAGAAAGTCAATTGACTTCCTTGCTGGTAAGGGCTCACGGTATCCAGGCCTAATCCAGATATTCTATATTGACATGCTCTAGGTAAATACGGAGCACCACCACCTGACAAGCGCCTCTCGCCGCTGCTCTTCGATTCCCATGCAGGCATCGCAAAGAAGGTTTATTTTGCTATATGCGGATGGGACCCACGCCGAGACGAGGCCCTGCTACTCAACCAGCTGCTTAACGAGGTCCAGATCTCAACCAAGCTTCATGTGTACCCTGGGCTTCCTCATGGATTCTGGACCACGTGCCCGGAACTACCCGTGACGAGGCAGTGGCTCCAGGACCTGCTCGAGGGCATACGATGGTTGCTGGAGTGAGGCTTTTTCCTTCTCAATTTTTTCTCTTTCGTTTGGCTGTTCTTTTTTGTCTGAGGGAAAACACCGCATGATGACGAGGATCCATGACCATTTTGATGGGACTAACATGGGACCGGCTCGAGTTTTTGGCGTGACTACCACTTTGTAATGCCTTAGCTAAAGGGCAGGATTCGGTACAGAGCCCTGCCTTTCCCGCCAGTCAGACGGGAATAAGCTGCCGTAGCTCATTGAGCGCCAGGGTGAATGCACACAACGAGTTTAGCATGATTGGTGGGCGGATCAGATTAGATTAGATTGAGAAAAGTTCGTGTCATGAGCTGCTCCACGCCTCCACCACCCCTAAGTGATCCTTCCGAACAGAGTGTTACTTTCCGGTCTTGGCAGAAAACTTCGAAGTAGGGCTGGGGTTCCAATGGGGTGACAAGTTGCTAAAGAAGAGGGGCAGGAGAAACCTCTTCCGATTTTCTCATTTGTAAGGCGGGCAACAGTTAAACCGAGCAACTGGGTACACTCAGCTTGGCCGAACAAACCAGGATATAAAGCTCGTGTGGCCGTGCCTGGATTAGAACATCCATCACAACACACTCTCTCCCACAGAGCCTGGGAAAATGGCCTCAAGAGAGCAGCCCGAGTTGGTCAACGACAAGGCCGCCGAGGCGACCGAGTCTACTTCCCCAAGAGATGACTACCAGCATGACCATGCTTCTACGGTCGGCGATGTTGTCCAGTCCCAGGGTGTCACCCGGATGGAAGCCGTGTATCGGGAGGCCAAATCCAACCGGGTCTCATTCTTTCTCGTCGGCGCGTCCGTCCTCGTCTGCGCCTGGGCGTACTCGTTCGATTCTTCAACCACATCCTACTACAGTGTCGACGCATCATCCCACTACGAGCAGCACAGCTCAGTGCTGTCCACACTGAGCATTGCTACAAATATCATTGGGGCGGTTGCGAAGCCCTTCATCGCCAAGATCTCCGACATCACCTCCCGTCCCTACACCTACGTCTTGGCTCTGTCCTTCTACACCGTGGGCTACATCATCGCTGCCGCATCACAGAGCATTTCAGCCTATGTCGTCGGCGAGGTGTTTGTAGCCGTCGGCGGTGCGGGTCTAGATCTCACGAACGACATCATCGTGGCCGATCTGACACCTCTTGAGTGGCGTGGCTTTGTTTCGTCCTTGCTGTCTTCGCCGTTCATTATCAACACTTGGTTTTCCGGCAAGATTGTTGATGCGCTCTCTAGCAGAGGACAATGGAGATGGTAAGTACTTGGTAGTTTTGTGGAATTCAAAGGAGACACGACGGCTAACGGGAAGTTCACAGGGGATACGGTATGTTTGCCATCATTATGCCTGTCGCGCTTGGCCCCGCCATCGTGATCCTCATCTGGCTGGACCGAAAAGCAAAGAAGGATGGTATTGTCAACATGGCGTCCAGTAATGCCGCCCGCCGAGCAGCCAAGGAAAAGGCAGAGGAAGACGGCCACGATGCCCCCAGTGGAACTGTCGTCGCGCCAGCAGCTGAGATGTCCAGGACTTGGAAGAGCCGTGCGCTGAAGAACTTGGAGGAAATTGATGCCTTCGGGTTGATCCTACTTGGTTTCGGCTGGTCGCTGCTGCTACTTCCGTTCTCGCTCAAGACATATGCCAAAAATGGGTGGAAGAACCCGTCGCTCATTGCAATGATGGTAGTGGGCGGCGTACTTTTGATCTGCTACGTGATCTATGAGATGAAATGGGCCAAAGTCCCAAGCGCACCGCGACGACTCATCTTCAACAGGACATTTATCATGGCAATTATCATCGACTCGATGTACATGCGTAAGTTTCCACTGCCTCGTGTGAGATATTGATTGTTGTACTAAAATGGAAATGTTCTACAGTTGCGGGAAATATACGCGGCCTCTACTGGAGCTCCTACGTGTTGATAGCTAAGCCATGGAGCCAGCAGAATTGGGTGTACTATGGCAACACCTTGACCTTGGCACTGTGCATCTTTGGCATCATTGCCGGCCTTTTACAGCGTTGGACTCATCGATACAAGGCTATCCAGCTCGTTGGCCTGTGTCTTAAGATCATCGGCATGGGTATCATGCTTGATGGCCGACGAGCCACGATTAGCGACGCTGCCATGATCATTTCTCTGATTCTGATCGGAGCTGGTGGTGCAATGTCTGTAGTGGGATCACGAGTTGCCTCACAGGCATCTGTGCCACATCAGGACGTAGCTTTGGCCATTTCACTTCTTTCTCTCTGGAGCAAAGTCGGCAGTGCCATTGGAAGCGCCATTGTCGCGGTCATCTGGGCAGAACAAATGCCAAAGCAACTGCTTGAGCACCTTCCATCTACCGCCACCGCGGCCGAGCGCAAGAAGATTTTCAACAACGTGAAAGCGGTGCGGACTACGTATGCCTTCGACAGCCCCATGCGCCAGGGCACCATCGAGGCGTATCGACGGACTCTGTACTATTGCCTCGCCCCCGCGTTGGCTTTGGCGTTCATCCCCCTGGTGGCTGCGTGCTTCCAGACCAACTACTACCTCGGCAAGCAGCAGAACGCTGTGACCAATGTTGGCAACGATGGTCTGCCTCTCGAAGAAAATGAGAAACGCGCAGATCCGCTCCCGCCACCTAAGAATAAGAAGGAGGCCTTTTTGAGGTTCTGGGCTGGGAAGAAGTAAATTCTTCAGGGCGTGGCGCGCAGCACAGAACCATCTCCCTAGTTAGATGCTTCTACAACCTGTCGTGTCGTTCGACTTCTGAACGATGGGTTTGAAGACAATCTTACCCGAGGCATAAACCATATGCTAGCTATATGACCCGTTTGATATGGCTCTGTTGCCATGAGATGCACTCGCTTTTTTGTAGTGCTTCCACGCCGATTTAATTATGTTAATCTCCACTACACATAAAGCGATTCCTTGGATAAAAAGAATGCATTAAAAAGCAGACCCCAGCAATACCAGAATCATGTGTCACCACTTACGCAACACGGCAATGTCTTCATATTGTCGTGCATCACTTCCAAAATATTGTTTATGAGGCTCCTGCCCGCGCGTGCCAACCTCTTTTGCAAACCCTTTGTGGAAAAGGAAAGGAGAACCACCTTTCGAGAATTGTCTTCTTTTGAAGTCTGTGGAAAAGATTTGGGATCGAAAGCGGGTTCTAGCCTTATCGCGTGGAAGAGCGGTCTACCGTATCCAGTGATTCATGTAATATCTAACATTGTGACTACTTCGAATCCTAAATGACCTTCAAATCATCTTCGAGCGGTGAACGAGGCTGGCTGAAATGGAGAAGAAACTCCGGCTTTGGGACATGGGAAGGGACACTCACTTTATGACAGCTTAAGAGTATAGAAACCAAAATGTTAAGCCTTGGGGCTTTGGCCCTTAGAAAGACTGTGAACCATATCCGTATACTCATCCATGCAGGGATTGCTGTACGCTTCCGCGGAGAGCGAGAGAGATATGGCTATCGCAATCCATGGTGTTTCTTCTGTGATCGAAAGAAAGAGGAAGGTACCAAAGACGTGTCTCATATGTTATGGTAGCAGTGGGTATACGAATAACCGAGAAAGAATGCACAATGCTTCAGGCGGTACGCCCCTTCTAGGCCAATTAAAGCAGGTGAAGTTGCCTCTACTGGATCTCCATTTCGGATTGGCTGGGTTTTTATGGCCGTATTAAAGCTCTCCTGCCCAAAGACAGTAGCACTTGTTAAGCTACGGATCCACTGCCGTCTAGATGTCCGAGAGTTCCTTTGCCGATCGCAATAGCTGGACCCTTGGTATTACAAGGGTGCCACATGATGTGAGAGGGCGCTTCTTCTCTGACGGTTCTTCTCTGTTCACCTCGCCTTAACGAGGTAGTCCCAGGAAAGTTTTCACTTACTCAATAGTTCATCTTGAGATACGGCACGACCACACTGAGAGAAGAGACTGCCTTCGACATCTATACCACGACAGTATTTGAGATTGAATCGGGCCGAGCTTTCGAGTTCCCAATAGGAAACCCTTGCGATTCGCCATGCAATATTTCCATTTCATTATAGCTAGTCAATTGGAAAGAGAAGGAGAGAAATAACCTAGCGAGGGAAGTGTGCTCTGTAGTTCTGCTGGCGAATTTCTTTGCGACGTGGACGCGCGTACAACCTCGGGAGGTGGGGGAAGGCTCTCAAGGGGTAGGAATGAGAATAACTCGGCCCTGCCTCTTCCATAGACGAATCAGTGGGAGTGTTTGTTCCTATGTTATTGCGGATAGAATTACTTTTTTCCCCTACCGCCGTCGCCCCCCTGACCGGCTCCTAACTGCGCCAATTCTTAGCATGCAAGCATAAAAAGCTTGATTAATGCCCAGAAAGGGACTATGCCAGGGTACAACACTTTCCGCTTCCCCTCTAAAGCTCGGACGATGGACCAAAGATGCCCTGGGTAACGTAATGGCCAAGCCCAGATTCGCCAGGTCCATGCAGATCGAGGACGCGCAACGATTCAACCACGGATTGCAACAACCCCAGCCAGGATCACCGCTCTTCTAGCCAGGGTGTGTGGGTGGGGAGCCGGTCTCATCAGCATGTAACCTCACAGGAGCTTACGAATCTTCTGGCCGGATGGAACCTCACAGTTTGTGATTCATGCGAGCCTGTATGAAGTCCGTGACAACTCCACATGGTCCGTGACGAATGCGGTTTGGTAGTATTGAGGCAAACTGAGCCCTGCCTATTACAACAGGGTGGAATCTGTCAAACAGGGGATTTATGTAGTGGATATGCTGCGTGCCGAAACAACCTTACAGTTTACTTTACACCTTAACCTACGTGAATCGAGATAACCGAGGTATTCAGAGCTTCAGCTGATGGAAGACTGGTCACAACCATCGAGAAACCAAGTACATTCTCTTTCTCGAACCTCGCCGACAAGTGCTTAAGCGGTACACCCCAAGTCAATGTCAGTTATGAGACTCAAGTGTCAGATTGAAACGGACAAAATCTGGTTTATGTCACTTCCCTTGAGTTATCCCGAACCCACTCGCCCACTCGGCGAAGGGGCTTGCGGCCCCCTGGTCAATCCCGCTTTCTGATGTTTCGGGATCTTGATCTCCCCTGATATTGATGTCACAGATGCCCATTGAATTATTTATGTTGCCAATCATTGCGTGCTGATTGGTTCAGAGACTTGACTGTGCTGGTGAGTTGACTAGGGCCGCGTATCCGCAATCCTTTTTCGGCACGCAAGCATTGCGGAAGAAGGAGGTCTCATGTCTGGAGCTCTGCGCTGGCTACGACTAACGCAACGTCTGATGGTGATAATTGCTGTTCTGGGAATTGGCGCCGAATGAGACTGCACATAGTACAGGAACCGGACTCCCATTAAATGTAACTTCAAGGTATATAAGAAGGGGCCGAAGCTTGACTTTTTCAAAAGCTTCCAACTCACTGCAGCTCAATCTCATCCTCCAACAATCTAAAAGTCATTCTTCAATCATTTCATACCATGATCTTCTCCCCTCTCGCCGCTCTCGCGGTGGTTGGCCTTGTGGCCGCCCATCCTGGAGCAGACCACCATCAGGAGCTTCGCGAACGCAGCGACTTTCTCTCGAAGGTTGAGCGTAGAGATTTGAGCCATTGCGCTGAGTACCGTGCTGCTCGTGGTATTGAGAAGCGAGCCATCGCACGCCGCAAGCAAACCAGATCTCTCAAGTCTAAGCGCGGCCTTGTTGAGCGTGCTCCTGAGGATATCAACAAGTCCCACCACTCTTCTGCTGACTATACCGCCAACACGCCTCTTGATGTTATATTTGGTAGCAACACCTCATGTGTTCTCAGCCCTGAAGTGACTGAGGGCCCTTACTGTAAGTCTGAACGGAGGAGATCCGTACCGTACATAACAATTCACTGACTTAATGATTTCAAATAGATGTTGCTGGTGAATACGTTCGACAGGACATTACTGACAACGAGCCCGGCGTGCCCCTCATCGTCGACCTCGATGTCTTTGATGTGGAGACTTGTGAACCTATCCCTGATCTCTACGTTGAGATTTGGAGTAAGTCCACACTACTAGTATTTCATTTTTCAACAGAACATATGCTTACAGCTTCCCACAGGCTGCAACTCTACCGGGGTGTACTCCGGTGTCCCCAGCGGCGGGGACTACACCGAAGCCCCTGAAAATCTCAAGACAACTTTCCTCCGTGGCTTCCAGAAGACTGATGACATTGGTGCTGTTCAATTCGACAGCGTCTACCCCGGGCACTACTCGGGACGCACACATCACATTCACGTTATGGTCCACCCTAACGCCACTGCTAGATCCAACGGCACCATCGTTGATACCATCTCTAGCCACGTCGGCCAGGTCTATTTTGACCAGGAACTTAGCAACGCTGTTGAGGAACTTGCTCCCTACAACACCAACACCCAGTCCCTCACCCTCAACGCTGATGACTTCCTCCTTGCCTCGGGGCTTGAGACTAGCGACCCATTCCTCAACTATGTCTTGCTCGGCGAGGATGTCTCGGAAGGTGTTCTTGCTTGGATTAGCTTCGGTATCAACTCCACCTATGTCAGGACTGTGAGTGCTGCTGCTACCTATTACGAGGGTGGTGGTGTTTCCAACGGTGACGGCAGTGGTGGCGGTCCTGGCGGCCCAGGTGGCCCTGGCGGTCCATCTGGAACTCCCTCAGGCACCCTCCTCCCACCCTCCGGAACTCCTTCGGTGTAAGAAGATTGAGAGAGTAGTATGAGGAGATTTGTAAAACTTCTTTGAGAATCTTAGTTAAACAAAACGCAATGAGTTAGATGGACAGAAATAGGTTATGAGTGTCGTGCTTGCGAACCTGGATTTTGGTTGCTCTAGGATGGAAGATTTTGGTTGTTTGGACAATCCGAGCCTGATTTCATCCGGTTTGGAGAAAAAGGCCTCAATTGTACCATAGAAAAGCCAAATGGTTGGGTAGTTGCTCTCTCTCTTTTGCTAGGAGGAAAAGGCAGAGGGCCATCAATTCAATCCCAAATGCCTGTCAATGTATTACCCCCTCCTACAGCGCCACCTTCAGTATTTGATTAAGGGATATTTGATTACATGATGTGATCAAGAGTATGGCTTGAAGGACCGTACCGAGTGAATTCTATATGCACGATCAAACCTTTTTGTATTTCATTCAGCGTCCAACGAAAACTTTCAGCTCGACGATCAGTCAATGGTTTGTAATGATATGCACATAAAATTCTAGTCTATTTACTTTATGAGCCAATATAATCATTGTTTGCCGTTCACGTTAATTTTGGTCCTTACAACGAACTCATCAAAAAGTTGTTGCACGTGCTCTTCTCTCACTCGCTCAACACCAGTACACACGCGAATAGCAAATTTACCATTCACAACAGTACTTGTCAGATAGAACTCGCCTGTGCCGTTCACTGACTCATACAGTGCCTCAGTGCGTGCATTAATCTCATCTTCATCGGCCCCTTTGACGCGCAGGGTAACAAGACCGAAACGTGCGGGTGTGAATACTGTGAATAGATCGGGTCGGCTCTTAATCTTCGCCTGGAGACTTTCACCAAGGGCGACCCCGTTGCGGATGTGATTTTGCAGACCCTCGATTCCATAACTGCGCAGAACAAACCACAACTTGAGAGAGCGGAAACGGCGACCCAGGGGGATTTGCCAGTCACGGTAATCCGTTACCAGCTCGTTGTCACTGAATTGGTTTCTCAGATAGGGAGGCTTGATACTCAATGCCTCGATTAACCAAGCTCTTCGACGAACCCAAACCGCCGAGCAATCAAACGTAGTAAGCAGCCACTTATGCGGGTTGAAGTTGAAGGAATGGAAACGAGCCATTGGAGGTGTTAAGCTCTGGTTTTCCTCGAGCAAGAGAGCCGAACCCGCATAGGCAGCGTCGACGTGAACCCAGATATCCTGGCTAGTATCGAATGTAGGGGCCAAAGCTTCTGCAATACCCGCGAAATCATCAATGGCGCAGACATCTGTAGTTCCCATCGTGGCAGTTAGGTAGAAAGGGTGAAGGCCGCGTGACCTCAGATCCGCCACAGTTTTCGACACGGCCGCCCCTGTCAGGGAAAAGCCTTCTTCCTCGGTTACGGAAATAGCAGCAAACCGAACGCCGAGAACCTGTGCGGCTTTTTTGGTGCTCGAGTGAGAGCCGGCGCTCCCCAAAGCAACCAGTTTACTGCGATATGTCCAAAGCGTTTCCTCCTTTTCTTCTCCATCAGGCAGGTCTTTGGTGACTGCAGCAAGATATTTGTCACGCGCAGCACACATGACGGTGAGAATAGCCTCGCTCGCGCTACCATGGATGACCCCGCCTCCATGAGTACTACCGCCGCTAAGATAGCACTCGGGCAGGCCAAAAGCCTGAGCAAGCCAGTCCATGACAATGGTCTCAAGTTCCGTCACCGCGGGACTGCAGATCCAGTTGAAGTGTGCTCCGCTGAAGGTGTTGGAGTACATTTCACCCAAAGCAGCGGGAAAGCTGCTTGAGCACGGGAAGAAGGCCATGAATTTTGGACTTGCCCAGTGTGTAATTCCAGGCAAAATTTTGGACTCAATGTCAGCATGAATCGCCTCCCAGGACTCTCCCTTTGCTGGCGCCGAGGCTGGGAGGAGAGGACGGAGATAGCCTGGCGTCACGGTAGAGAGAACCTTTTGGGAGCCGACATTGTCATAATACTTCGTGACTAAAATGAATGTTAGCATCAGCGCTTCTGATTCGGTGTGTTGTCTTGCTCTCAACTTACTGTCGTCAATAGCAGCCTTCGCCGCCTCACGAAACTCCTGAGAATTCATGACTTCTATTTAATCGCACCTTGGAGTAATCTTGCCGAGGGTAGAAACTGAAGTGCCGCGAAAGCACTGGCGAGAATTATATATCACAAGACTCTAGCAGTTGCAGATATTTAGAGCCAGCCCAGTATCACTCAGACACTTGTAATCATCAGGGTTATCCTTGTGTCAGACGTCCACATATAGCGGTGTAAGGATAGCAATCAGACCTGGTCCATGGATGCGTGCCTGGCTGTTCAATTGAGCGCAATAACACCACCTGCTTCCCCGCCCGCCCCTCTCCTGGTGCTTATATCTCTGGGCCCTTCCGCATTCCGACTGTCAATTCCGACGCGCCTTTCCAAACTAAGTTGCACAGGAATAATAAGCCGTAAACCTTTCATGGCAATTGCGCTTCCAAAGTTTCTCGGCTTATGACAGCCACATTTCTAATTTGTTGCTTCATCATTATAAACAAATCAATACGCAATAATTTATATTTCTTACTGTGAACAAATCGGAAGTTGTTTCACCTTTGGTGGGTAGTTTTGCTTGTCTATCTAACATGATAGTTAGGACTTTCTGGTTCCAAGGAACATGTAAGTAGATAAGTGCCGGAATACTGAGTTGCGACAAAATCGCTAGATACGCGTTCAACCTTTGAGGTTTCGTGATCCAACTTCGTTAAATTTAGCTTTAGATATGTTATTTCCACTCATTCCTTTAGCCCAATCCGAACTCTCAGTTAGTGAGTGGCATGATAGTGTGTCCCAGGAAGCAATATCTTGGCAACTCAAGTAAAAGTTCCGGTAGTCAAGGGACTAGTAAGATGACAAAATCGGCTGACATACGTGGAAGTTTTCAATGATAAATGCGCTAGTGCGTGAAGCCAGGGATCGCGCTCTGGAGTTGGACTCCCCTGGTCCTCGTCATGAGCTAATTCCTCGTGGAGTAAACCGATGCGAAGATTCCGTTATCAGTTAGCAAGTCTTCTCGGCCAGTATCCAGTCGTATTTCGGTAGATAGTCTACCCGCACACGTTTTTCGGGGCCGAATCAACGCCATCCGGGTTCTGCATAATGGCGATACCTGGCGGTTCCGATGTTCTTAAGAATCGATTATAAAGAATGTCAATTGCAAAAGTAGAAAAAGCCTGCGGAGTATGATCCACAGTTGCAACGATTCCTACATTGTATTATTTCGATCTGACATCATTGTGCAACGGTGTGGTGCATGAGGGAAAAAGCTGGAAGGAACCTTTGCTGGGCTACATGCGACTCGGACACCTAACACAGTTATGAAGCTCAAAAAAAATAAAAATACCCTAGCTTACCCTTAGAGTTAAATAGAAGGTTCTTGCCTTAACCTTCCCAGCCGCAGTTACAGCTGGAATGACGGCCGGGGTCGTGAAGGATTCCTTCAGCCCTAGAGGTCAATCTTAGAAAATAGTTGAGATTGTGCAACTATTATATCTAAGTAGCAAGTGTGTTTTCGATCTCGCTCGTAGATGGATCGCGTAACATTTTCCCAAAATTTCCATGTTAGCGAGCAAAAATCCGACATTCTATTAACTAGACGCAGCATCTTCGCATTCCGATACCCGATTCCGAAGATGCTTGCAGGAAGACAATATCGAAATGAGGCCGAAAAGTCCTGAAAAAGGAATATTCAGTCTTGGATATATATTCGTGCACCAAATCTTTCACATAGGGCGAGGAATGCTATTTAGGAGCTCATAGGGTTGTTTCATCAGTAACTGGCCAAAGTTCGAGTAGGGCTTGTGGTAGCAAGAGAACAAATCATGGTGATTCTTGAACTTGAAATTGAATTCAATCCCTCGCTAAGTCTTTGATAGCCTGCATAAGACTGCCGATTAGTTCTATGGATGCTTCAAATTTGATATCATTACAGGATATAACCCCCACGCGAATGTAAAGTTGGACGAGCTTTCTATACAGCGCCCCAGTTGTTGGGCGGGCCGTGACCCCGTTGACTTCTCTGGGTTTTTGGTGCCTCGGCTACTGATATGGATACTTCCGTCTCTTTTTCGATAGCATTGGTCTGCGCAGTCCAAGCTTGTGGCTAACTAGGCGGATGAAGGGTTGCAGAGTCGGGAAACAAGCGAATATGGCCCTCAAAATTGGTCCAAGGCGCCACGGTAGCCATTTTGAATGTTCTACAACGACGAGGTCAGCGTTGGTCTAGCAAAGAAGAAGTTGCCCACTCATACGTATCTATTGTAAAATCAGTGCTGACAATTATGCCCAGTCGTACAATTCCGGTGATGATGGCAAAGATTCCGATGCAGAAGATTAATATCACCTAGACCATCTTCATAGAGAACTTCATCTTCGCGTAAATGACGGAAATTGGGAGGCCGACCAGAAACAAGTCGATGACAATGCCGACTGCACTATCTGTCCACATCATCGGTGCCTCTTTCGACTTATCGAGACACTGTCGGTTCGGTGCTGGTATATCCCAAAGATCTCTATTCCAGAAAGTCTATTAGCACTGGCGCACCTATGAAGGGATATACAGGGGCGAGTATACGTACGGAATATGCTTGCACTCGGTAAGGAAGAAAAAGAAGGCGGCGAGACTAATTGCAACGGTCACGAACGCCACTGCCCAGATACAGCGGACAAAGACCTCTGTACTCTAACATCAGACCTACACATTATCTCTGAAGAGCTTGTGATCTTTCAGACTCACTGTCGCCATTCAAACGTGGGTAGGATAAGATTGATAATCTCACTGTCCCGATCGCCAAAATGAAAATCAGTTGCAAGGTTGGAAGAGTCTTGATCCAAACGTCGTTAGCGATATAATAGATCGAGTAGGAGGGTCATCGACAATCGTACTGCGAAGAATAACGGGATCCTCTCCGGGGCCTGGTTCATATGGGTTCCAGACCCATAGCTGATGGCTGAAGACGAAGAGCTGAATCAGTCACTGAAGTGATGCTATAGGTGGACGTAGACGGGCTAGAATATCGCATACCACGAATTTCCATGCACGAGAGAGCAACGAGCAGGCCCTTGAACAATCATTAACGAACAGCCACACTCGAATTGACTGGCGGTGCCTACTAACATAACCGATGGTCGCAATCAAATCATCAATTCCCATGGCCCGTAGCATAAACATTCTGATACTAAGCCGAGAAATCAATATCACTGTGGAAATGGCAATCAAGGCCACATTTACTCTGTAGAGGATGTGGCCTTGAGAGTCGGCTGGAAGCTTCCACTCCTCCATGCTTGGCTCTTGACGATCTGCACAGTGGGTGAAGCAAAAACACCCAGAGAACACAAACAAGAAGAGCACACATTTTCTAGGGCCTGAGGAGGATTTTCCAAGGTTCAGCTAAAAGTAGCCAAGAGCACTATTTCCCAAATAGCCCGTTGGCATTCCACACCATCCCGTCGGTTTTGATTACCTAGGGATGAATCATGGCAAGGCAGGAATGGCTAGAAGCTTTTTGATGAGCGCGCCGGCTACATTCCTCGCACACTCAATGGGCTAAATAAGGCCAAGTGCTTTGTCACCACCAAGAACTAGGGCATTGTGTGTTGGTTTGGATTATTCATTGCGTTGAGTTGTCGGGCCCTTGCAGCTTCATTGTTGTGAAACTTTATTCTCTTTCTCTTCCGTGTGTTGGTTTGATGTTTTCCTAAAGGCCTCGCAGTAGCAAAGAGATTTCTGTGATTTTCCGCTAGAGGCCACTAATCGGATCTCGAAGACACCAAGAGACGACTGAAGGTTGTCCCCCTGAATCTAAACTTCATGTCTAATTAGCCGAGAAGCGATAGGGAACTAGGACCACGCATAATTGGAAATGCACCGGACGGTGTGGTACCAAAGAGAGAAATTGCAGAGTTGTTGACTACTTCCCAGGAACCGAAACAATTCGTACATTCATGTTGGTGATAAGAACTACCTACTTCAAACAATGTGCTGAAGTTCCTTATTCGCTTGGATCACAGCTCAATTTACGTGTTAAAATGCTGAAGTGGCCGAAGAAACACTTGGTATTCCTGCCCTAAGTGACATCCCCCAGATCTACATGGTACAGTGGCCATTTTCATCCCTGGGTTCTTCAGCTCTTCGTTTCTAGTAAGGGGGTTCCTTGATCTAGTGTGAAGCGAATGACACCGCATGTTTGCAGCTCGGTATGAATCAGACTTGAGAGAGCTTTGTGGTTACAATGCTGCACAGCCGTAAGTATTTTCGTCTCGGTTCTAAACCAAGGTTATTGATTCCTGACACAATATACAGGTACTGGGGTAAGAACCATTTGCGAGCCGCAGTACGACAAGACGGCTGCTAACCGCGTCAGATTGGTCTCAGGACACTGCCTCCGTCGAAGCCTTCCTGGAGTCTCCGATCTTTGACCCGGCCACTGGCTTCGGAGTTATTTAAAATAAGCACCAATTGTTGGAATACGAGTATTAGCTTCGATACAAGGCAACGGCCCTTTTATCGACTCATCCAATGTCAATATCCTGCTTCACGTTCCTGGCAGGACTGGCAGAGGTCTGCTTCCATCTTTTGTCATCGTAATATTGTATGATTCATCAACATATTCTCGTAGGCTGTGTCCAGGATGGGCCATCCAAGAGTCACATTGTTAGCATGCATAGAAGTAGTACCGAATACACTCCTGCCTGCTTGAAGAAAGGCTTTGCTCCCCAGCTTTGCATCGACAATTAAATCAAGCGGCCGTCGATCGTACGATGGAAGCTTCCAGATTTAACGAGGTTGACCGTCGAGTCCAGGGCGCCATTGACATCGAGGGTCTCCCTTACCACGGAGGAGGTCACGTAGGCATTGGAGCTGAGCTCGGAGATGTCAGAATATTTCAGCACTGAGCTGACAAGAAATTTTCAATCTGACATTACCCCCTCCCAGAGTTCGGATTTCACTCTAGCCCTGGAGACCCCCTTTTCTTCATGTATCATGCCAACGTGGATAGAATCTGGGACAAATGGCAGGTAAAGGTGAACGCCCGCACTTTGGATTATGATCCATGGCTTGGTACCTAGAAACAGCTTTGTCAAGAGGTCATTGATACCCGTGGGGACAAGCTTTGCTATACGTACCAATAACCGGGGAAGCTTCTTTTCTTTGTTTCATTTAGTGTAGGATGTATACGTCGTCAATAGATCCAAAACTAATTAGACTCAAATAACAAGCAAAAGATGATAATGAAATCCAATGTCCATTAAAGACTCAGAATGCCACTTGCAATTTGAGTTCTAGGAAGCCTTCATACTTAAGCGATGCTGGATTTTTACTCGGTAAACCTGACAAAAAGCCGTTTCCAAATCTGTTCAGATTCTACGGAACAATCGATTAAAATTTCTACATCCAAGAGCAATAAATCTTAGACCTCGTATAAGGATGTCGGCTACACCATCATATATTGGGACAAGGGTCCAGAGGAGAATCTTTCCTCTTCGCTTTATCATGTGTCGATGGAAGAAAAACCCACACTATTTTAGAGTATTTAGATCCAACGCCGCTTAGTTGACCGTTTTGCATTCATAAATCGCAGAACGTTGTACGCGAAACAAGATACTAACAAATTCAGTTGTTTCAGTGTGTCATAGGCAACGAGGATGAAGAGAGAGAAAATGCCCACGGATGAGCACAAACTCGCCCAAAAGGGGAAACAATAGCAATGCAGCTCCAGAATTCTGACTTTGCTGTACATGCAGGCTACCACGATTACGCAGCGTTGAAAACCTGGCAGCATGATGCGCCTGCAACATGCGTGCGTCAGCCATAGTCGGCACATACACAGCTCCTTCAGCAGATAGCCCTCATTTGCACCTTATTCCACCTCGTTTTAACTGAGATAGCATTTTTGGGCAAGTGGGAAAACTCGGGGCCGAGCGTCAGAACAACGAGCAGCCGTAAATTGGAGAGAGGGGCAGCCAACACCACTCTGTTCGGGATGGCCCATTGAGAGCAGTGGAATATGCTTCTTGCTTTTTCCAAGGTCTCACAGCGGGGTAGGCAAACGTGGTTCACACCTCACCGACGTAACATTCGAGGAGGGGGTGGCTGGGAAATGCGAGCTGACGGCTGGGACGATAATGAGGCTGCATCTGACAACAGCACTGGGACCAGTCAATTACGCCACAGTTGACGCAGGACACCGAAAGTAGATTGTACGACATGAGTTACTGCATTACCAGCCATTGCACAGTTGTTTTCATGCATTGTTACCGAATGTGCAGATGATGTTGCCCTCTCCGTCACAGTCACTGCTTCGCTTTGACCTCCATTTGGGTGGAATTCCTGCCCGAGCTGAAGCAATACGATGTTACACGAATTATTAATGCAAGCGTCCTATTGGAAAGCTGCAAGCCACTGTTTTACACACTTTGAGGGGTTGGTACGCTCCCAAAATTTCCTCGCGGCCAATTTTGCTGAGTTTCCCTCTCGGACCAGACATTCGTCGCCAGCAAGCAGCCAAACTTTCCGCATCCATCCACGTGTGTCAAGCAACATTGCCTCGATTTGATCTCGTCTCTCATTTGCGCCCGTCATGGCGCGCGGCTACTTTTCACCAATCGACTACGTCCAGGGCCAACTGGTGCGGGAGGCCATTCTCGCTTTCGACCAAATTGCCCACATTCTATGTGACAGGTCTCCGTCGTTGACGTACAAGGACAATGGCAAGCAGTGCCCAACTCCGTCGTTCAGTATGCCAGGACTGACAGCGAACTAGTTTACTACAGCGCTAAACTTTCCCCGACTGGTGTCCCCTCATTTGAAGGAAGGCCGATAGGCTTTGACCAGGAGGAGCTGGCTGGCGAGAAGCTAAAGGATGCAGCGTACCTGAACACCATTATTGGGCAATGTATCGAGCGTTTCGAAAGGACGATCGATATCTACAGCTGCCTGCTCCAGCCTGAGTCTCATTTCTGCTCCGAAGAACCAGCTACTGCATCGGCTCCAGCTGAGGAAGACCAGGTGCCGGCGTCGCCATCGCCGGCGGAGAACGAACACGAACAGTCGGATTCACCTAGTTCACGATATGCCACTCCCGCCCAACCTGACACGAGCCCAGAAGTCACCAGCAATCGAGCTTCAGTCGTCGAACTCAACGAACCCGAGTCGCCACGAACAGTGACCACCATCGACTTTGACGACGTGTATCGAGGCGGCACATCCGCGACGACGCATTTTATTCTCGACTACGAATACTCCCTCAAAGCTGCACCGAATGTCAGTGGACGCTGGTGGATTCTGCGCTGCGAGCAGTGCGACTGGCACGGCCTGTCCGAGAGACCTGGGACATTTCACATGGAGCTCCATCCTGAGTTGAGGATTGACGACCTGGAATCGGCGGTCGAGGCATTTGGAGTGCTCGTTCTCAATTGCACACCAGACCTGGCCGATACGAACAATGTTCATGTCCGCAAAGTGATGCAAGACCGAGCTTCCGAACCGACTACGGCACGAGCGCGACACAAGAACAAGAGAAGAAAGGTGGTGAAGATCAGTGTATCACCCAGATCGTTCACGGAGCGGCAGTTGATCGCCGATCCTTCTGTCGGAGAGATGTACCTCGCTGGATGGTCGGACGGTAAGCTGTACGGCGCCGTTGCTCTTCCTCTTGGGGACTTCATGCCTAGAGCCTCCATCCCAGGAAGCATGTGGGATTCGGGACTGCTGTCAAGCGTGCCCAAGTGCTATCGAATCAACAAAAGGGCGCGTCACTTCTCTTGGGCTGAGGGCTTCGAAGACGGCGGTACAAGCGTGGGCTTTCGGCAATTCCCGCTGTTCTACTTTGACAACCCAAAAGTAGAAGACGGACACGTTGGCTGGGCATATGCTCACGACCTCCACCCATTCGACTTGGCCAAGATAGATTCAGGCCTTACAAGACCTGCCGCCTTGTATGCCAAGCACTATAAACATTCGAATCATACACCGTTTAGCCAGGGTAGGTTTACTCCAGGCAGATACGGTTCCTCAGCGGTTCACTGAATATTGCTAATACATCCGCTGCAGAGCTTTTTTCGCACCACCAGGGCCAAATTAAACCTGTTACTGAACACACCCTAATCCAAAAGCACTCGGGAGAGGAGAAGAGCAGCAGTTCCTCTCCCACTCCCCAGACCACATCGACAGAGGCAGATACGGACATAGGCCACGGCAAGAAAACAGTTGACGGTCAAGGCTGTACACCATCATCCGATGGGTCCAGGCACTCTTTCGATCCCTTGTTCGAGTCTCAACAGCATACCGAAGATGCTGCCTTCGATAGCCAGACCTACAATTCACCAGTCTCGATCTACGGTACCTTCCGACGGAGTGTTACCATTGAGCAAGGAATTCCTCTGCCAGATGCCCAGATGACGCCACTTGGAGAGCCTGAAGATGAGGTCATTCATCACCCTGTGCAACCAAGCGACTGCGATCCGTTTGCGACGATCAAGACTGAACCGTGGGATATGCTCGGTGAAACACAGGATGGAACGCCTTTCACCGACGCAATGGAAAACAGTGTTCCTCTACCTCAATTCTTCAGCCAGCTTACCAGCGAGGATTGGATGATTGAGCAAGATGGGGACGAGCTATACAACGACGGCGGTTCTTAGATATGCCTTTAGTTTTGTATGTTCATGGCAGCCTCTGACAAAACTTATCGTGGTCTAGCTTGCCGTTGATGCGCATGAGACTCCTAAGTCATCAAAGCCATTTCAGTATTACCATCATGCAAACAGATAAGATGAGCTAGCGAAGCATTCACTCAGCTTAGGCAACAATCTCAAGTCGTATTGCGAATTCTTGCGTGCGTCATTAAATACCTAATGAGAACAGGTAGAGCTTGGTGATCACCAGTGCCCTGTTTGAGTAGAAGTATCTAGGTGACTATTTACAGATCCATGTCTAAATTAATACAGATACACACGTCGTAAGGCAACGTTCTCGTTATGTCTACTAAGAGCCGAGGCGCCATCAAATAGTCACACTAAGTACGAAGCAATTCAATTCGTAGAGCTCCTGGAGTAATTTCCACCGCTACCTCAATATCCACATGTTAGCCAAAGAACGCCAGTTGGCAAGAACCCAGTGTCAAATTTGGGTCAGGTTCATGTATGCAGCTAATATACCAGGGATAGTTGTAGGTTCCTACCAACGACAATTTCGGCGCCTAGAACTAGATAATAGTTCGAGCTGCTTCTTTTGTCGAATGGAATCTACCAGAAGGGCTCGAAGGGGCATTGCACCATTCGCAGAGTTCATAGAGAATGATTTTCTGCCAGTCAAGTTACGACCATGGCATCTCTTGGATAAAGACTGCCAACAGAAAGTAGAACCAGGAGCCAAGATGGAGATTCCCGCCTCTAGTGTAAACGATTTTCTCAGCGCACAGTCTTCTTATGCGAGTGGTGCGTATCTCTATCCGGTAGCCTTTCCCTGATACAAATGTCCATGGAGTGTTCTGTGTCGTGACAGCTTAATTTACATTCTCCGGTAAATCCTGATCCTTAAGACCAGCTTGCGTGTCTCATCATAGCACAAGTCGATCGAGACTTGGACAAGCACTCAAGCGGAGCAACCGGCTACCGAATGATCCGATGACAGCGGCAATTAATCTACGTGTACCCGACACAGTAGACAAAAATTGAAAACTCGAGTCAGCGTAGACAGCTTTCTTAGACGTCCATGCATCCAGACATCATTGCATCGATGAGGAGCTTCTTAGTCTTGTCCATCACCATGATGACGGACGAAGGCCTCGTCGTCCACCCGTTCTCGACCGATCCCAGCTCATGGTTTAGCAGATCGCGAAACCTTTGCTCTGCCAAGAGCCCTGTCCACACGGTCTTTCCCGACCACCAGGGTTCGGTGGGTAACCCAAGGATGATGATAATTTGGGCCAGGTTGTTGCGAAGCACCTCTGAGAAGAGTGCACCTTGTGGGAGAAACTCAACAATGGGGATTCCAGCGAAACTAGCGTTGGCAGCAGGAGGGACGAGAGGCGCGGTAGGGTCGAGGAGACGAGACTGGGAAATGGAATAGAAAATCTCGAGGTGTTGGACAATCTGAGAGAAGCAGGAGATGACCAACAACGCCGTTGGGGAGTCAAGAATCACTCGATCGGCTTCGGGGAATTTCTGGGTCTGCTGCGGACTACCGGAAGTACTGCTATCACCGGTTGAGCTACTCGAGCTGCATGGGGGGGACTCGCCCATAGGATTATTATTAGAAGATAAAATGAGGCATGCACGGGGCATCCACACAGGTGGCCTCGACTTCACCAAGTCCTGTTTCGTTCCCAAAATCTTATGCAGGGCTTTTATCGTAACAAGGTAATCCTGCAGAACTTTCATGAGCGATTGATAAGGCTTCAGGGCGTTGCCGTCGACCAAGTTGCAGTCGCAGAGAAAGCCCTCGAGCGTGCCACTAGCAGGCTGGGTTCTCATGGTCTCCCACAGCCCGTGGAGCTCCATGTTGATCCTAGAGAGAGAGGCGAAGTGGTCTTTTTTGGTGAGATGAATGACGGCCGTTTGTATGTCCATAGGCGTCTGGGGTTGGAAGATGGAGGGAGACTCGCCCAGCGGCAGCGAAGGGACTACTACTTCTTCAACGGGCTCGAGAAGGAAATCTGACACCTCCGGAAGCATCCAGTCCATTGACTCCATATCAATAGGGGTAGGGGCGGTCTGGTTGGCTTGCTGGTCGAGAATCTGGGGGTCGATGGCCACGCTCGGCGATGGCGGAGTGGCCACATTGTGCTGCAAGCCAGGCGAGCCTTTTCCGGCCTCATCGATGATGGATTTGGTTTTCCCTGCCGAGTCCTTCTTCGACGGGCGCCCGACCTTGCGCTGGGGACCGAGCTGGCAGTCCAACCCGAGGTTCTGGCACCGGGTGCATTTGGCAGACAGGGCTGCCGGCCGGGTGCATCGGAGCTTTTGTTTACGGCACCGCTCACACGCTGACCGCACTTGGGTCGGGTGCGGCAGCGAAGGTTGCATGGCGGCTGAGCTACCCAATTTGACACGAGGCACCGTAGGTGGTTTTCAGGAAGACGAATCTCAGTTTCGGTGCATTTCCAGAATGCAAATACTGGCAGAATGGATGTTGTCCCTTGGCTTGGACCTACACGGCCCAGCCATCGGAGGGTTTCCGCCCATGCAATAAAAGCTGCGTCTGCTCCTCCGGCGGGTTTTGCTCTGCATAATATCGGAGGGTAATTTGCTCTGTCTGGGATGACTAACCCTGTAAACTCCGTCATGTCGGATAAACAAAACTCCCGGAGAAATTGCTGGCTGTTCCGAGCTCCAAACATCGGCATTTTGGGACTGCCTTCAAGTTTTGAATTAGTTGATTCCTCATCATCTAAAATATCTAAAATACTATTTTCCGAAGGACTTTCCATCCCATGTCCCTCTGACGATGTCCCAGTATCTCATCTCATCTTTCCTGGCATGCGATACGTGTTCCGAACCTCGGAATCGCTCTCTCCTAACCGTGAAGCCGGCCTTCTCTGCCTTCTCTGCATGTGCCTCAACGTCAATGGCGCCAACGAGCTTGTCGGTATCGCCATAAATATATGTTCTGCGTTTCTCCAACACGGTCTCGGGATCATTGTGGCGATCGCCCCAAACTACTTGCATGTCCTCCCATATGCCCAAGAAGATTAGGGCCGCGTATGCCGATGCCAATAAATAGAAGAACGGGGCCGCAAGCATTCGTTGTATAGGGGACAGGCCGACACTCAGAAACGCCATTGCTCGTTCTATGCGAAAAATAGACGGCGAGGAGTCAAAAATCGTGATGTGCAGAGGGATCTGTGCAGCCTCCCCTGCTGTTGCTGTTGCAGCGTACTCTTTATACAGCTCCGCCATGCTGGACGAACCGCCATTGGAAAAGATGTGCAGGAGAATTTCGGCCGAGGAATCAGAGGATGACTTGGAGTTAACGGCAGCGCGGATAACACTGACAGCAGGTCGCACAGCAGGGCCAACCGTAGACGGGCTCAGGAAGAGCTTTGATGTACTTTGGATCAAGAGAATTCGTGCTGCAGGGTAGTATTGTTGGTATTTCGCAATGTATTTGGCGATGTGCACATCCCGCGCATCGGTCCATGAGGCAATGATGACGAGCGATGGATCAGAACTGGCAATGCTTTTGGCGGCGCTGGTTTGCGGCTGATAGGTTGAGACAACAGGCGAAAGCTTCTCCATGAAGGAGAGAGGCTTGACGCCAGGGCTTTCGGAAGCATCCGCCATGCTCATAGGTTGACGTGTTCGAGAGGCTCATGTCAGAGCTACAGGCACGGTGTCACTTTATACTCGGTACTTCAATCAATTTACATAGACTAACAAAATAGCATACTTTGATATTGAAACATGGGCGATAGGGGGCAGTTGGCTGGATCGGGGCAATTGAAATTCGTTGGTGCAATTACCCCAGAGGCTATCGTCAAGTCGTCGGCAGGAAATCGGCGGCAACGGAGTCCAATCCCGGCTCTCCTCTTCATTAGCAGCTCGATGGTGCTGCTACTGGCCCGGCAAGGGTAAGGGCTTCGGTCCAACTCCCACGCCGTATCAATGCCTGCCGGGTGCGATCGGTGCTAGTAGACTTCGGAGTGAGATATCGGCTGTGACATGGGTTCTCTACGGAAATATCAATGATGCTGTTTTTTATCTTGCTGACCTATGAAGAGGTACCAGACTTGCGTGATAACATGGTGATTAGCCTGTTCCAACTGAAGGGTGATTATGTACAGTGCTAGACCCCGCGGACGCTACAATTAACGCATCATTTGGAGATGCTCTGTTTTCTAGCCAAAGTGAGCTTGTGCATCATTCCCTGTAGACATACGGCGCAGGCCGGATACACGAAGCCTGGGTCATCTCCGATGATCGTAGAATCGCCACCCCTACAAGATTGCGGATGTCAACTGGCCTGTCGGTCTGTCAGAGCCCAAAGTCAGCCCAAAGTCCGCTCAGCTATTGCTGATTCAAGGCGGGATTTTATATCAAAAAGCTTCGCGATTGGACCTCACAATTGACACGTTTAATAAGTTTTACTCTTACACTCGTTTGATTGTTCGCCATGGATTCGCCTTCACTAGCAGACTCGCCTGGCACGTCACTGTCACTCTAAATTGAAACATCGGTCATATATCCAAAATTTTGAGCGTTGGCTTCTAACAAGGGCAACTTGGCCGAGTGGTCTAAGGCGCTAGACTCAAGATATCATTCTTCTACGTTTCAGTACGTGGTGTATTCTAGTTCAGAGATGAGCGCGCGTTCGAATCGCGCAGTTGTCAATTTTTTTTAACTTTTTCATTCTAAAGTACTCAAATGCTGCTCTCGTCATGAAGTCATTTGGTTTTGGGTCAGTATGCACTATTTCAACGATACGTTTTCTACTCTCGTAAGCAAGGTGACCTCGATCACGATACGCCGCTGGAATAGCAGCCCTATGATTCATCTATTGACATGAACAATTCGATTTGCGTAAATTGGGTCATACTGGCTTTCTCTAAACAAGCTCTCTCAAGTTCATTTGTTTGGGATCTCCATCCCAGGACATTCTAGCATGATCTCGGGAAAAATAACGAGGACAACTCGTTTTGTCCCAGTGGCGTGTTACAACGCCCTCCTCGCGTAAACGAGAGAGACACATCGGCGCTGAAGAATCTCCTCAAGGAATCCGCCACCGCGGCAGTGTCCGGCCGGGCCTCGCAGCAGGATATCCTCAAGATCCTCGACGCCATGATCACCCGCATGCGGGGCGTCAAAGCTGTCCCAGTACGCGGGCGAGATCGCGTTCTCATACTAACGACGCACCGAACGTTGATTGATAGCAGGAACAACAGAATTCTCGTTACGATCAACCTGTAGGCTATCATCATATCCATGTTCGGTAATGTGTGGGTAAAATATAAAATACCTACATGCCTATAGTTGAAGAACTACAGCTGTGTCACGGTGGCTGGTTGCGGAGGAGGATCTTGGAGTGGTGCCTGTCCCAGTTGTCGTAGAAGCGTTTGAAGCCGTCGAGGGCTATTTAGAGCTTTTGATACTCACCTTGATCGATTGATGTATTACAGCCAGGGGGAGCAGCTAATGGTGTAAATAGCGCCTTTTCACCCACTGTTGCGTGCGGTCCTCGGAAATTTTCGAAGGCTAAGTTTGAAGACGTCAGAACGGTATAAGTTTGAGAGTGGAACATCGGTATCTATCCCCTCGAGTAGGAGTGCAGAAATAGACTATACTTGCTCTATTTGATTATAATAAGAGGACTTTACTATCTGGCCATCTCTTTTAACTGAAAGCTTGAGCTCATGTCGTATCTCCTGCGAAGAGCTGAATAAGCATCGGAACAGCACCACCTAGAAGATGAAAAGGAACATGATCGTCTCATCAATGAAAAGGCCCATTGCACAATTGACTCATCTAACTGCTATGTCAGAACATGTAATTCTGGAAATCTCCATGCAGGATGGGGTGTCTGTGGAAAAGATCATGAGCTACTTAATTATGGAGTGTCGAGGCTCTCTATTCTCGAGGGAAAATCATGCAATGCTCGCTGGTAGGCTCACAATCAATTAGAGGACATTAAGATCTTGTGCAGGCTGCAGGGAGCATTTCTTCTCAAACCCCAAGAGGTTTGCTCCATAGCAAAGCCACTTTGAGTAACCAAATTTTCCCCGACTGCCACGCCTTAGCCACTTGCCCATAGTGCCTTGATTGGTGATGAAAGGACACTCTCAAGCACTCCCTCAGGTCACCTTAAGCAAATATTTGATCTGATATCTTTCATAGCTAGCCATGAAATTACCAAGATAACGATAAGAAAAAAGAATATGAGGACAAATATATGAACATGAATAATCGATAACCTCTGCTTAGAATTAGCTATTTATTTAGGTCTTTAGGTGTTGATTTGTGTGTGCCAATTCCCGTGTCACTCACTTGGCACTGTTCGGATATTCTCGCTGCATTGGACTGACACGAGAACTTGCCGTGCAAGCCGTGGTGGTTCCACTCATCCGTCGATAACAGGATCATCTCAGCCGTAATTCCACATATCCAAAGGTGTTATTGGTCTAGCCTCGCTCCACGAGCCCGACTGTAGGAAAGTCTCGCACTAAAGCTCCAAAACAGCAATGCAAAACGCATACTTTGTGGCTGATTCATTGCGCCAGACCGGAATTATGCCACTGGCCGGATTTAGATTCAATCTACTTCCCTGTGGGGTGCTGAAGCAAACTGTAAGCCATCTTAGGATGTGCTGCGTATAAATTGCCGTGCTCATCAATCAATTATCAATCTTGTCAATTGATTACCCTAGCATACATAATTCCACACTAATCCCACCTCACCACTATATCATCTCGGATCCCCCAGATCTCCGACCACATGCAACGGTCTTGAGGTTTCAACAAGACATTTCGGTACAATATGGCTTCAAATCAAGAAACAATGAAAGCGATCAGGCTTGAGCGCGACTCGCCCGACACGCCTCCAACGGTGAGCCTTGCAACAGTCCCCAAGCCCAAGCTCATCCCGAACCACGTCATCGTCAAAGTCCGGGCTTCGGCAATCCACCCCAGCGACCAGATGAATGCGCGTGGCGGATTCCCCTACACCACGTTTCCCAGAATCGCAGGACGTGACTGGGCCGGTGTCGTAGTGGAGGGCAAGCCGGCACTCGTTGGGCTTGAAGTTTTCGGCACCAGCGGGAACACACACGCCTTCACCACCGATGGCTTCCAGGCCGAGTACACTCTCGTGCACGAGGATGCCTTGACGCAGAAGCCAAAGAATCTCAGTTTTGTGCAGGCGGCGACCGTCGGCGTCCCCTACACGACGGCGAGCATCGAGATCGAGAAGGCGGGCATCAAGAAAACCGACACAGTCCTTGTTATTGGATCGTCGGGGGCGGTTGGCTCCGCGGTCGTGCAGCTGGCCAAGGACACGGGGGCCCGAGTGCTGGAGGCTTCTCGCCAGAACAACACTGATGTCAACACTGCGACTGATCCTGAGCTGAAGGCCCTGGATGAACTGACCAACGGAAAGGGAGTGGATGTGGTAATCGACACGGTCGGGTCACCTGCTCTCGTCACCAGCGCTCTGGCGAAGCTGGCCCTCGATGGGCGATTTGTTTTCATCTCGGCCCCCAAGACTGGCTCAACCGAGATCACCATCGACCTTCGCTACTTTTACAGAAAGGACCTCAGCCTTTATGGGGTTAACTCACTCAACGCGACAACGCAAGAAATGGCGGAGAGATTGGATGGGATGCGTGAGTTTTTCGATTCGGAGTTCTTCCAGGGGCGGAGCAATTGGAAGACAGTACCTTTAGCTGAGGCTGGGAAAGTTTATGAGAACATTATCAAGAACGGCGATACAGGAAAGTACGTCGTGGTTATGGAATGAGGGTGAAATCCCGACGCTCAATTATGAAAAGTCGTGGTTGGGCCGGATGTTTTCTCCCACTGCCACGGGTTGTTAATGGGCAATGAATCTTCAGTTATGACAGTCAATTCAAGTAAAATGGAGTTCTTCTATTACAACAGTAACAAATCATCACTATATCCAGCGGAAACACAAGGTAGCATTCTTCTCATGGTGCTTATCTATCTCGGGATCTCGGAGATTTTTGACTTGATTGGCGATCCGACAGCGGAGCATGTCCGAAGCAGCCGACTTGACATTTCTCGTGTAACTTTGCCCGGATTGTCAATCGCACCCTACAATCTTACATGAGGGGAGGATTTGGCGTCTTCGTGCGGGGGATTGACGAACTGGAAGCTCTGAGCGGGGCATTACAGCGCTGTTGGCGAACGAGCGCAGGGGGATTAATCAGGCAGCCAGCGCGTATAGACGGGAAGCCAGCAGCCCTAGCACACCACCTCGTCTGCACTCTTTCATGCAGTGAGTCAAGTCAGTCACGCCTTTCCCGTCTCAATAAATATCCCAGGGCCTGCTGCTCGCCCAAGCTTTACTCTCCCCCCCCAAGACAAAATAAGCCCCGGCCACCGCTATAGAAAGATACACATCGAGAGTCATGGCTGTACCGGACACTCTAAGCGAGGCCGAGCGTGCTGCTGCCTTGGTAGACGCCGAACAGAAGGCGGTGGCAATGTTCAACAAGATCGAGCCCCTCGTCCGTCCCGGTGTCGGCGAGAAGGAGCTCAGCGAAACGATCCACAAACTCGGCGTCGAGCTGTACGACGTCAAGACGCACTGGCACAAGCGAGTCGTGCGGAGCGGCCCCAACACCCTCTGCCCCTTCAACGACAACCCCCCCGACAGGATCATCCAGGAGGACGATATCGTCGTGGTCGACCTGGGCCCCGTCTTCGAGCAGTGGGAGGCCGACTTCGGGCGCACCTACGTCCTCGGCAACGACCCGGAGAAGATCAAGCTGCGCGACGCGCTGGAGCCCCTCTGGAAGTCGGTCAAGGCCGAGTACCAGAAGAACCCGGACATGACGGGCGAGGAGCTGTACGACATCGCGTGCAAGGCTGTTGAGAAGGACGGGTGGATCTTTGGCGCGCACCTCGCTGGGCATATTGTCGGGTCGTTCCCTCACGAGCGAATTCCTCGTGATAAGACGACTCTCTATATCAGCAAGGGGAACGACAAGCCCATGACAACACCTGGAAAAGACGGGAAGAAGCGGCATTGGATTCTTGAAATTCACCTGCGTGAACCTCAGCAGAGGTATGGTGGATTCATGGAGCAGCTGCTCACGGCATAGTGAATCTAAAATGAGAATGAATCAACTGGCAAACTTTCAGCGATGAGTACCTACTATGGCAGGTCCCTCAACTCCCACCGATTAAATATGTGATTAGTGGGCACCAGGCCATAATTCTGGCAAGCGAAGGATGGATTCGCATATGCGAGCTAGGTATTACCTTCAACAGGCCCGGGAAAATGCATGATGAAGCAAAAAAATAAAGAACTCGTGAGGTAGGGAGAAAGTCGCTGGTGCCTTACGGAGAAACGAGCAGACCCAGAGTATTTGAGTAGTGCAACCTGATCTGCAATTTAGACATCACAACATTCGGCATCTTGTGCGATTGTGGTCGCAATAGTATTAAACTTTATCCTTCCCGCGAAGAGTGTGCTATCCGGCCGTATCCGGAGTATGGGTGCGCGATCCGACGCATGGCCCAGTTCTCGGAATCCATCATACGGATGGTCAATGAGGGGTTTTGAGCGGTCGCCTTCATGCATTAACCATCCTAAATAGCTTCAAGGTTCCCCAGAAGTGATCCCAGAGCGCAATAGTCTTTTCCACTCATCACCGAGATTCTCATTTTCTGATCCAGTACACAATGCCCGCTATCTTGCGACACAAGACATTGCAAGCCACTCTTCATGGCCATGAGTCTGGAAAAACTTGGCAATTCAGAGGCCTGCAGTATGGGACAATCCCTGCGAGATTTTCTAGTCCTGAACTTCCAACCCTAACTTTTGGAGATGTTGACTGCACTGCATTTGGGTATGAGGCACCTTCCAATATGATTCACCAAAAACACTTGCATTCAAACCAGTTTATTAAGATATGGTTTTATAGACCGCGTTGTCCACAGAATCGCATTGATTTTAGGCACCTGTTGCGTATCCCGCCTAGCCTTGAAATTCCCGAACAACGAGAAGACGAATTCGCCTGCCTGAATCTCGATATCACGCTGCCCGCAAGCCCAGATGCCCCCCCAGGACATCTGCCAGTATTGATGTGGATACACGGTGAGAATTATGAAATGAGAGATAGAGCAACTCAATTATCGAAGCTTATGCTAGTTAGGAGGCTCCCAAGCTGTCTCGTTTGGAACTACTTCAACCAAATTATGTGGTATTTATTTCTGACTCTAGATTATGACGGCTATTCTTTCTCACACAGCAGTATAGATCCTACAAAGCTTGTGGAAGAATCAATCTCTATCGGCAAGCCTATCATCGTGGTGACAGTCAACTACCGCCTGAATATATTTGCATTTGGTGATACCGAAAGCGAACCAAATTTAGCTCTGCGAGATCAGAAGAAGGCATTCGAATACATTGCCTCAAATATCGGCGACTTCGGAGGTGATCCTGTATGTTCAGCCGTTCTTTGCTAAAGGATTTTCTTTAATATCTGTAGTCCAAGATAACAGTCGCTGGAGAAAGTGCGGGTGCGGTGTATTGCCATGCGCACATGGCAATGGGTCTTCCAGCTCGCCAGTATATTCTGCAATCAGGTTCTCTCCATCTGTCGCCACCCCAACCGCGGTCAGCTGCTGTCACACTGGTTCAAAAGGTAGAGAAAACAGTGTCAGATCTTGGAGGGTGGAACTTGCGCACTGCACCAGTTGATCGGCTACTTGAGGCTTTAAAACAATGTAACCTGGGTTCGTTCTATCTTCAACAAGAAAGCAAGCTTGAGGGCTGGGGAGAGAGCGTCGGTTCTGCAGAACGACTCCTGATCGGCGACAATGAATATGAGGTAGGCTTGTGTCGCACATCGACCTGGATAAAAGGCTAACATCGCACTCTTACTATGATAGTCGAATCTTTGGCGAAACGGTATCGAAGAACTGCCCGCAGACATAATTTGGTCCATCTTTGGACTGGCTGGAGACAAAAGCGAACAGCTCCGGGATCTTTACGGCATAACGACTGATCGGCCAACCCAGAGCCGCATCGGAGCATTGGACTTTCTACACGATGCGAGGTTTACCCTGCCAATAGAGAGGATAGTCGAAGAGTGGCAGCGGGCCAACCGGCTAGTATTCCGATTCCTTGTTGACCAGCCAAATCCATGGCAGACATCAAGCCGAGCGCACCACGGGGTTGATCTACTGTATCTGTTTGGCGGGTTTGACTTATCTTTTGACCCTGCGGCTCAGAATATTTCGTACTCTATGCAGTATAAATGGATCCAATTCATCAACGGGGATAATCCTTGGAGCCCTGAGCAGTATTGGGCATTTGGGCCGGTTGGGCTTAGCAAGGCTATTGATGGTCAGGAGTTTAAGGCTAGAAGGAGAGCTCGGCACTTAGCTCTCTTACAAGAGATTGGACAAGATGGTTTTAACCCTGTATTTGGAAATCTCGCGGCTGGCCGGATAAGCCTTCTGAATTGATCGAGGAGATGCACTTAATGTATGAACCTATTGAATTCAGATGCATATGCCATCTCGTTCGATTATATACGATGTTCTAGAAACAGCCCCCCATAAGTTGTATGTCCAAAGAAATAGAACTAAGTGATTATTGGCTGTAGCTGTGAACATCATCCATTTGAGATAACAGCTTTATCATTGTCGTAGGCAAGAACGACATTATTCCAAGTGCTGGGACTCTCCCCCTCTTCCATCTTACAAAATTCCGAGGAACATATACAATATTGCATCCTGCGGTGAGCAAATGTAAACTTTTCATTCAATCACAGGAATCGTTTTATTCACCAAGAAAAGCACAGCCATGTGATTTGCCTTCGGAAACGAAGGCTACCGCCTCGCGTTTGCTAATCGCAACACGCCCAAGGTCTCGTACGGCCTTCGTTTCCCCGAAGCATGTGCAAAACATTGCCAAAGCTATTTCCATATCTTGATTTTATGTTCAAAGTCACTTTCAACCAACACTGATGCACTGGAACGACTACGCTCAGCCCTCGGCGACAGAGTCGCCGGTATACGCATCGGTATCAGCCCGCACACCCCAATTGCCGAGGTTGTAAATATAGTCCAAGAATACAAGGACAAAGGCATCGACTGCATCGTGACACTCGCGGCCGGCAGCCTCACTGATGGGGCCAAGATTGTGCGCTTGGCGCTGGCCAATGGGGCCAGTACGGAGGAAGATATCGGGACGCTCTGGGGAACGCAGGAATCTAACCCAGTCCTGCGGCAGCATATCCAGAAGCCGGCCATTCCCCTCTTTCACATACCCACCTCGTTATCCAGAGGAGAGTACCAGGCCATTGCCGGGGGAACAGAATCCGTGAGCAAGGCGAAACGAACATTCCGATGTGAGGGTGTTGATCCGGAGCTCTTCATCCAAGACCCAGAGCTGTGTCTCACGACACCTCAGTGGGTGTGGCTCAGCACAGGCATTCGGGCTGTCGACCATTGCGTGGAGACGCTTTGCTCGCTCCAGTCTAATACGGAGGGCGATGAGTGGGCTGCCCGGGGCCTGCCAAAGCTGATCAACGGCCTTCTTCTGAGCAAGTCTGACCCTGCCTCGTTGGATGCTCGTAGACTGTGCCACGATGGGGTCGTAGAGGCCATGTGTGCCGTGTCGCAGGGTGTGCCTCTTGGTGCTAGTCATGCCATCGGGCACCAGCTTGGACCTTTGGGGGTGGGACACGGAGAGACGAGTTGCATTCTGCTCCCGGCTGTTTGCAAGTATAATCTGGCGCACAAGGCCAATGTTGAGCGGCAGCAGTTTGTGAAAGACTTGCTTCTTCAACAGAAGGCAGTCGACTAGCTATTCAAGGCACGGGGACTCGATAGCAACACAGTTGATTTAGGAGATGTGATTTTTTTGGTTGTCGCAGCTCTAGAGATGCCGCAGTCGCTTGACGATGTGGGAGTCAGCCACAGCCAACTAGATCTCTTAGCAAGGAATAGTCTGGATGATATCTGGATACGAACAAACGCTGTGCCTATTACCGAATCGGCTCAAGTGATGGAAATTCTTAGGATGTGCTCTTCGAGGAAGTGAAAGGATCTGGAAGATTTGATTTGTGTTATGTCGCGATTCGGGTGTGAGTCTTGAAGTATGTGTTCAACTAAGAATCATGTTTCAGAAGATAACTGTTAGGGAATTCCTTTCAATCTCTTCTAGTACGGCTTTTATTTAACACAGAAAGAGATATTGAACCTTAGAGTAACAGTCCTAAATCTCCAGTCGGTAAGCCGCAGAAACTCTTAATGAACTATCAGAAGTGTAGTTCGTGGGCCTTTTTTCTCGCTGAGATAGAATAGAATGATGGAACAAAAGTTCCATCTGGGACACTCCTAGGGACTCTGAAATTATTTTGGCCTCGAACTTTTTCTCGTACCGATATACGGACTGAGGGTAGCGGATTTGAACGCTCTAGGAAGGGCTCCTTCCTATTATCGCCTGAGCGGAGTATTCATGGTGGCCTCCCATTAAACGGACCCCGTGTACTAACAATTGTCCTGGTCCGTCCGGCTGGACAAAAGAACCGAGCTGCCAAGTCCGGTTGGTACCTGGCATCCAACGGAATAGGCCTCACCCATTTGCTCGGGCTAAAGCTAAAGTATGCACACGGTGCAGGTGATCCTTCAACCTCGAGACCAAGACCCCAAGCGATGCATAGCAGCAGCTTTCAGGCCCCACAACTCCTAGTGTGATAACCGGCCAGAAAACGAGACCTCTCTATTGTATTGTACTACCGCATTCTCGCCCTCAATCTTCTTCTCGTTGCTTTATACTCTATTGAAATTGCTTAGAGATGCGTTGCGTTCTCTGCGGTTTGCTAGTTAGGTTGTGTTCCGAAGGCTCCTATATCGAAAGATTTAGAGCTTGTACGCACTCTTCTTAGCCAGCTCATTTAACTCATATAATTACTTGTTCAGTCTGGACCAGGAACGACCCACCGAGCACTGTTAAAATCTCTGGCATCGGCGGCCGAGAGTCTAGCACCTCTCACGTAGTCATTCCTGAAGGCATTGAAGGGTCGTGGAACGAGAAACCGAGGCGCAATGACTTACACCAGATAATACTCAATCACAAGTCTCTAGATCATGTTCTTGATCCAGCTCATCCGGAACACGGCACTGCTTGGGGATTCCAATTCCATACTTGCTGCTAGGATATTCGCCTTTGAGATCTATGTCACTTCTCTGAATCTACACAACCTTTTCTTAATAATCCTGTCGACGCCGTCCAGTTGCCTCAATCCTATTTGCAGCCGCATTACGAAAGACTCGCAGCAATTAATTCTCAGAGCCATGCTTGGCTTTGCTGACTTGATGAACATTCCCAGCGTTAAAGAAGGCCTCAAACAACAAACTCGGGTTGCCAAGTCCGTATCAAGCGAGATTTCTTCCTTGAGCTGCCCACTCTTTACTTTTCGACCCAACGGAGGACTGACGACGTTGAATATAGATGAGATCAGAACAACAACGCTGAAAGCGGAGATGCGACAAAACCCATTCAACAGATTACCCGATGTAACTCTCCAGATCATCACTCAAATCTTATCATCTCCAGGAGTCAGGGCCGTCAAACTAGCCTCACGGCGGTTCGCCTACCTACCGATTATTGAGAGCTTCTGGAAAACGCGGTTTCAACGAGGAGATGAGTACGAGCATATTTTCGAAGTTAGACGTGAGCGCCACCCGCCCTGGGCTGTCATGTACACGGTCTTGCATTAATTGGCGCTCATCAATCATTTGTCAAACCCAATACTCCAAGCGATCTAACCATCGTATATCAATCTACCCAGATCTCAATCCACCTTGTAGTCCCGTCCCTTACTTCATCCCGTGCCTAGTCCTCCAACTCAAATCGTATCATGTCGACCCGACCCGAGTTGGTGCCGATGACTATGGTAGAGCCTAATATACGGACAGCAAGGTGCCCAAAATTATTCGCCGGCCGATAATCCGGGGGCAACCACATAAGCTTGCGCCCACCCTTCAGAACCCAGCCCTCATCAGAAATCCAGTAATCTAGGCAAGCTTCCAGTTGCTGCGGCACTGGGAGACCTTGACCCAGGGGGCATTCCAGCTCCAAGTTCAAAAAACTTGGGCGAATGTCCAAGTTCCAGGGAGCGCTCCCGGTCTTCCATAAGCATTGGCCTGTTGGTACGCTCCATATTCTGGCCTGGGATTCATTTATGAAAGCAACCCGGTCCCCACTGGGCGAGAAGAGAATCCTGCGCTCACCGGCCTGTTTGAGGAAACTACAACTTGTCAATATGACTGAGGGTTTGCCCGTTGACGAGATCAAGATCTCGACGTGAAGTTTCTGCTCCATGTCGTTTTCCACGGCGACGGCGATTCGGTCACCTCCTGGAGAGATACATGAGGAAACAATCTCCCCCTTGGTGGCGACAACAGGGATTTCCTGGTGGCGGCTGGATGTTGATGTTAGATGCCAAAGCAGAATAGATGATGGCGTCCAAGCCGCGATTGTCTCGCCGTTGCGTGAAATCGTCAACAGGCCTTGCACCGTCATCCGGTGGGATCGATTTTCCCATTCAAACGTCTGCATGCAGCTCATCGAGTCCAAATTCCAAATCCGGGACACACATTTACCAGAATAGTCGTATTCGATCAATGCGATCACAGGCGCTCTCTCGGCAACGGCGACTTCGTGTATATCTCCCCCAGCCTGCAGCAGACCTTGGCAAACGCCAGACAAGGCATCCCGGACTTCGACGTCGCCTTCTGTTATGATGGATAGAACAAGGTTCGAAGCTGACACGAAGGCTACAGAACTGATGTCACGGCGGTTGAGTTTTGGTCCTGCGTTTAGGGCCAGCGCAGCCGTGTCCAAGAGCTGAATTGGGTTGAATTCGTGACTGCTCGTGCCTGCAAGGAGTTTCCCGTCGACTGATATAGCTTGAGACTGAAATCCTCGGTTGTCAAAGCTAAAGAATTGACACTCCCCAGGCGCGGTGTTCAACTTGTAAATGCCTGCGGGGCGCGAATCTGTGGACACGGCCAACCAATTCGTTGCCACGGCTATCGGACGCATGAAATGGAAGCCGGAGGGTATTGGGAGGGTATGCACACATTCCCGTGTTTCAGTGTTCCACACCGTGATGGAATCTTCTTTCATCCCAGCGAGCAATATCCCATCCGCTGAGAATGCAAGGGTTTTGAGCCAATTGGTTCCAGCGTTCTGCAGCTCCCGCCACTCGACGTCCCCAGTGACCGCCCACCGTGAGAGTCGGCATCTGTCTTTCTTTTCGCTTCGAGTGGCAATGAACTGGCCATATCCCGAAAAGGTGAACAGGTCTGATATTGAGATATCCAACCTTCGTATGACCTGGCATTTCTCGGAATCGCAGATATCCACCACAATGACCCTGTCCATGTTCTGTAGTGTGACGCAGAAATGTTTGCCATCGTCAGAGAACGCGAGATCCTTTATACGCACGCTGTCGCCATATCGAAATGTTTGTAGGCAAGTGCCGTCTCTGAGATCCCACGTCTTGATCTCTCCGCTGGGGCTCCCACTAACGAGTCGAGTGTTACCCCAACAGGCTAGTGCGGTAATTCCATTTTCTGGTAGCGTTCGAAGGCACGACCCTGAAGCTGGATCCCAAATCTGCACACTCTGACGCTTAAAATGTGATGATACCGAGACAAGCCGGCCATCTGCCAAGAATATCGGGCGCACGTCCGCCGCCGTGCCCTCAAGGGTCTGCAAACAGGGCGTCCATTTGAGATCCGTCACAGGCCGCCGCGTGATCCATTCAGGATATCGCCGTCCATGGGGGATAGTGCTCTCAGTCGGTGTAAACACTGGACCTGAAACGTAGAGTTGCAGAGGTGTCTCGACGAACCCCACACGGAAATACAGGATAAACCGCCCTGCGTCGTGGAGAAGCCTTGAAAACTCTTTGCCCTCGGTGTCCTAAGAGCCATGAGAATCTGAATCGGGGGTTTGGGGCAATATTGCCGGCCTGGAGTAGCCAGAAGAGGGGGATACATACGTGAATGACGCTTTGCAGGTTGTTGATCATCTCCGTGGACTCAGCCACTTTGTCCATGAGCGTCAGAGCCTCCAACCAGTGGAGGAAATGTTGTTGAAAGAATGTGCATGCCTTGTCGCCATCTCGCAAGCGCTTTCCGCTTTCCGTGGTATGATAGACCCAGTAACGGCATGTGTATTGGACCTCCGGAGAGAGATGTGCGTTGATTGTGTCCTTGTCGGGGCAGCTCTCCCCGGGCCATTTGAGCTCGCAAATGTCCTCCTTGAGGTATGTCGACATGAGCTCTAAGCAGCGCGCACCCAGAACGCCGTGCACATCTGCTTCCACGACCTGGAACTGACCGGCCGATCCACCCAGGAGGTAGTCCCGAAACGACAAATGGAACAGTCTGACCGGTCTGTCTCCGTCTGGGATGTCTAGGACTGAATGCAGTGGATCGAGCTGGCTCTTAATGTCCATGGGACCTTTGCCAAGGAGACCTGCCAGAGAGTCTATCGAGAGGGGGTCGGCCAAGAGTATGATTGCCCCCACGATGGCCTTGAAATCATCTAGATCCTCGCTACACATGCCCACGCCTTCGCCAGCAACGTCGCCGAGCATTGCTTTCAACACTGGGCCGTATAATTGGGCGTATGGGTCCCCCATCGTCGAAAACTTGGACTTAAGCATGCTATCGATCTTCCACTCCGGGCTTTTCCCTAGGGGATAACGGCTTTTGAGAACCCTCAAGATTGTAGCTGCAGAAATGAAGAGGGGCGTACACATCTGGACGAGTGCTTCGCGCCTCTCGAGCCCTGGCCAGCCATCGGGCAGTACGCTGCTCTTGTGACTAGTTTTGTTCCAGAAGGCCCTGAAACCATCCAGATCACTCCTCAAGACCACACGAATGTCTTGCTCAACAATTTTCCTTGCCACACGATGGAGAACCAAGTCCTGGTATTCGCCATGGACCATGGTAAAATGTGTCTTGATGTCGTACTCTGGTCTGCTGGTGATGAATACCTTGAAGAATTTCGCCTTGGATTTCGTCAACAGCCGAATCATGGTTTCCCGGTGATTTTCGTTATCGCACTCATCAAGGGCATCGATCACGATCACCAACGCCTCCGGTCTCTCTTGGTCTCGAAGCTTGTCCAGAGGATCCAGAATCAGTCTCTGGAACTGGATGTCCATGAATGCGTTGACTGAGGTCGGCTCGGCCTTGATCGCCCCGCAGATGTGAGGGCGTAGTGAGGGAAAGTTGAGGGCAAGTTGGTAGGCGATGGTGCCGAAAACGCGCTTGCCCTCACTTCGACCGTCGCGTCCTTTCTTGAAAAAAAAGGTAGCGCCAAGTCCTTTACGCTGGAGTTGGCGAGCGATGGTGCGAGAAATGGTCGACTTGCCCGTGCCGGCGAGGCCGCTCAACCAGAACGTACTAGGAGCTTGAGAGTCGTGTATCCACTTGTATACATCCTGGAGGAGAGTTGTTCGAGTTCCGTCGTAGCAGAAGGTGGCATCATCTTGGTTGTCTATGTCATCGAATGCGGCCCCCTGGGCCACGAGAAGCTTCTCGAGTTCCTTGGGGAAGGTTTCCTGTGCACTAGGCCGCAGTCATATCAGCATCACCCTGCTCGTCGCCTGGAGAACACAGTCAACTCACCTCGCATCTTTCAATGCCTGGCCCATTTCCACGATCAACCTGTGCATATCCTGGACCGTTGCCCGGTTCTGCACATTGCAGTGCTTCTCGCAGTTATCACCAGCTTCAAAGAGGCGCTTCCCAGCGGTATCGAGATCTCCCAAGTAGCTCACGACATCCGACAAACTGAAGGCGGCTGTGACTGCCCGACTCTTTTGCCGTTGCCGATGGAGTGCATATGAAAGAAATCGAATGGACTGAGCGAGCGCCTCGACGATTGCGGTCCTCAGGTGATTAATTGCGTTACGAGCCGGTGCCTGGGGAGCAAGCGAGGGATCGGAAGTCATATAGATTCCCTGGTACTGAGTGCATTGGAAGAACAGCGCAGTGATTTTGGCGATGCCTTCCACAACCTTGATCCTAATTTCCGTCCCAGCAGTCAGATTCTGCGATTCGGTTAGCCACGTCGGTTTAGATGGCGGGATCGAGGACTCTATCTAGGACGGTCTGTGACTTCTTACCAGAAGGATGGATCTAACTGCGGCCCAGGGGAGCGCGGCCGGGTTCGGGTTGCAGCTCACAGCAACGTCACCCACAATAGCAAATTTGTTCAGGATGGGAATAGCTCTCTGGAAAATGTCGGATATTTTGCCCTTGATCCCTTCGTGCCTCATCTCCTGTTCAAGCCTGCTAATAAAACCAGCCAAGTCGTTTATGGTCATGGGCTCCCTAGCATCCTCTCCATCCACGATTAAGGACTCAACAACTTCAGCCAGCTTCTGATCATCTTTCGAGGGCGAATCCTTGATCTCCCCAATGGCGGCCTGCCACAACTCTAAGAAGCGTCAGCATTGGCCGGAGAAGAGGGAGCATGGGGGCAGAAACCTCGCATGGCTTCCTCTTGTTCATCGGGGGCCTGTTCCCGGCCAGTTTTTGGTGATGTGGACCCATCATCGTGGGTCGAACACTCACTCGACACAGCTGGGGCAGTGTGACTATTTTGGTGGCTCGTGTTCTTCGCGACAGGAAATTGACCGCAGGTTTCCGAGGTCGAGGTTGTTGTGCCATGTGGTGTTTGCCGCGGCTGAGAAAGAGAGGCATGTCCGGCCTCCGAAATCCCTGGCGATGGTGAAGTCCTTGAAAGGAGATTCGGTCCCATAAAAGCTCCAAGTCGTGATGAGGATGCAAGTGCCCTCACTGCATGGGATGGAGCGTCCTTTTTCGACCCTCTCCCCTGCTCCTTCTTGCGCGTGACAAGTTTACGGATCTTGTCTCGCGATCCTGGACTATCAGACATGATGGCCTCAGCTTCTCAATCGAGTTCGAGAAGCGCCGTCCGTCGAGTATGTCGAGTGTCGTAATCTCGGGATTTTGAAGTCTGGGCAACGATGAACTTGAATGCGACTTGGATAGAACGATCGTTGGTGGAATATGTAGGTTGATGGGAAACGCAGCTCGTTCCGCGAGGAAGAGAAAAGAATCAAAGAGGTACCGCTTACGAGTCACAAGCTTCAGCCATTCACACTACGATAACGTGTCTTCTCCTCATTCGGTGTTTATATTTGTACTGCATACGGACTGCAGATGAGGGGTGCCTAAATGCATCGGAAGGGTGGCTGCTTATTGCTCCGGAGCCCGAAGCCCCCATATCTGCATGGCACCCTATTGGTACGTATATAGGTCGTTGAGATTAGGTCAACCAAGTTACTCCATATGTTATATATCCAGGTATAAGCCATAGTAACGGTCGCCTATCATGCCTTGAGGAACGAAAGGCTCTTAGAGCACGGGCGCGGGGTGGATGGTGATACTGCCCAGAATAGAAAAGCTGTGACAGAGAGCGAGCACGAACATGATGTTTTGAAAACATCTGGCCTATCGCTTACTCTTCCGAACGGGCCCCTTCAGATAAACCGAGAATGGATCGACGTGGATGGACATCTCGGTTTACGGTTTACCGTCCGCAATATGGGAGAGTCAAGCCATGAGATAGGCAGTCTCGGCTTCCTGGCAAGTTTCAACAACATTTTCAAAGGACGCACCCTAGAGGATGCTCAGAAACTGTGTTCGTTGTCTCAGCCATATATCGGGATAGATGCTGGGCAGATCCGGATCATTCCAATCCGGGGTGATGGGACGACTCTCGTGGTGACTGCACTAACCAATACCACATCATCGTTTGAGGCATATCGATTTCTCTCGGAGCCATATTTCGAGTCAGCCCGATACCAAACTCACGAGTATGAAGGTATCTATGAATGGCAAGTGTTGACAAAAGCCTGGGCCGAGAAGGAATGGGCAGAGCAAGACCCTTGGAATAGCCCCTCTTCCGTGATAATCAAGGCGGGAGAAGAGGCGCGCTTCGGGGTTCGGTTTTTTCTTTCGCGTCAAGACGTAAGAGTTTTGATAAAGCTATTCGCAAGACTGGTATACCTGTTGCTAGAAGCGTGCCGGGCTATATCCTGCCGAGGGATCTCCCAGCCAAGCTTCTTATTCAGTCTGGTTTCAAGATTATTTCTATGATCACCGAGCCTGATAACGCACTGAGGGTGACAAGAGATGGACTTAGCGATTATACCATTACGCCTTCAGACACTGCGTGGGGCAGAGCAAGGGTACTTGAATACCGGGACGGCAAGACCCAGACAATATACTACTACATTGTTAAGGCCACATTCGACGCCATTTCAGATATGGGGAGCTTCCTGACCAAAAAGGCACTGTTCAATGACTCCTCTGATCCGTTCTTACGGTCGCCCTCAATTATGAACTACGACCATGAAGAAGGGCATATCCGAGATCAAGAACCAAGGGTCTACCTCTCCGGACTTAGTGATGAAGCTGGCACGGGGGCGTACTTGGCAGCATTCATGAAACAGATCATCCAACCCAATATGGCTGAGCTAGATATTCTCAATGCCTTTGTAGACGAAGTCTTGTCAACACATTTGCAGCGCGAAGACTACGCTACCAGAAAGTCACTCCATTTCTACGAACCAGATACAGCTCCCGAGTATCACTACGAAGGGGCTGACCGGAGCCAATGGGGATCATGGAACAAAGAAGCGTCCTATCTTGTCGACCGGGCCTATAACTACGTACATCCAGCTGCGACGTACTGTGTACTCTATCGTGTTTCGAGGTGGAATTTGGATGTAACCACTCACGACTGGGACTGGAACTTGGAAAAGAGCTCATCAGACTATTATGCGTTCTATGCAGAATGATATTCTCTATGATGACCTTGGTCTGATGGGTGAAACGATATGGGGCCGGATTCTCTTGGACCTTCAGCGAGAAGGTCTTGATGTCGAGTCAGGAGAGCTAGAGGAAGCCATGAGGCGTAGAGCAAGTCACTGGAACACTGTTTCTTACCCATATGGGAGTGAAGCACCGTGGGACTCGACAGGCCAGGAAGGAGTGTATTATTGGACCAAGTAATCACTGCATTGACGCACTATGTTGATCTTCCAGCTGACATTTACACAGGTATTTCGGACTTTCGACCCTTGCAGAGAAAACTGTTAACAGCGTCCTGGGTTTTCATGCTTATCGATATTGGGACTTATCGTGTGCCTCTATCTAACCCCGGAATTTTCGTGACTTGGAACAGCGACTAATCTCTGTATTTAGAATTGCTGCCAAGATGAAGAGATTTGAGCGTCAAGTTCACCATTACTCTATTGGGAATAGGAGAAGATCGTGCTCTCTCCGCATGCTTGAGCTGGTACAAGCAGCATACGAGTTACTGCGGTATTAAGAGAACGTGAAATATTGCAATCGGACTTGAAACCAGTGCAAGGGGCTACGTCATGTCGAGGTTGGGGGTTACATATAAAGTACAATTGCGAGCTGACGGATCAAAAGTATTCCTCCTCCCTACCTACAAGTTGAAACCAAAACGACAACATAGCCATCGACAATGGTTGAGATATCCTTTTCTTGCCGTAGCTTAGTTAGTTGCGAAGATTAGGTTGGCCCTGTGGGGCTTTGTCGCCTTCATGTCCTTCTCAATGTGCGATGTAAAGCCATCTATCAAGTCAATTCCAGAGATGGTCTATGGCATAGTTCAATCCCGGTGCTGGGAAGGAATCGACCTTCAGTTGGGTTCGTTGGCTTGCGGGTAAGGTGGCACTTCAGTGCCTCATCCAATCGTAACAGACAGTTCAGCCTGATAACTGCAGGCGTGAACTCTCACTCGGATTTAGCATGTGGGGGTTTGGGCTTGAGGGGGACCCTCTTTCCAACACTGTACTTCAAGTGTGTTCCCACAACCACAGTTCCAGCTCCGATAATACAAATGTGCCAACATCCGGCCAGGGGTGGTTCAAGGAAACCCAACTTTGTGGTTGACCTTGTGACCACGCCATCTTCGCCACTTACTCACTAGCATTACCCCACAGAACAATTCAATTTTCAAATTTAGAAGATGCCGCTTCAGGATTCCCCTATTGACAAAGTCGACATAACGTCCGAGTTCTGGGGCTACATCTAAGATCGTTCGAGGATTAGAACAGTCCTTGCTGTGATCGAGGCCCAAAATCATGGGACCATTGGACCTGTCTCACATGGAAGGAAGGCCATGATGTTAAACCTAATCAAATTTGGGATAGAGATATTTACAAGGTCGTTGAAGTTGCTTGTTACTTCCTCACCAAGCACGCCGATGAGAAAATGAGAGCTACAGTCGAGGAGCCTGTACGCATGATTCAAGGGGCTCAGTATGACAATGGGTACATCAACTCTTTCTATACGGTCAGGAGAATCGATCAGCGTTGGACAAACCTGAGGGATGACCACGAGCTTTACTGCCTAGGGTATCTGTTGGAAGCCACTGTGGCGTATGAAACACTCGCCAAAAGTGGAAGGCTGCTCAAGGTGGCCAACAAGATATGTGAACATCTCAACTTCATGTTTCCATCAAGAGGTCGAGATTGGTCTACTGCGACTTTATGAGTTGACCAATGATGCTCTGCCATTAAAGCTAGCTCGGTATTTCATCACTGAGAGAGGCCGGCGCGATGTCGAGGACGAGACCTTTTTCGACGAGGAGGCATTTGCCCGTGGAGCAGATCCCTACAAGGACATGGGAACGGAGCACAAAGCTTGGTTTCAAAATCCGCGGGACTATGCTTATCATCAGGCAGATGAGTCTCTCATCGATTCTAGCGAGGTCAGGGGCCATTCCGTCCGAGCAATGTGATTCTATACCGCGGGTAAAGATCTTATTCGACTGTCCCCAGAGAAGGAGGAAAATGGTCCCATTAAGTCAGCTTTGGATCGGCTGTGGAGGGACATGATTAACAAAAGAAAATATATATGACAGGAGGCATTGGATCAGTGAGGCAGTGGGAGGGGCTTGGCCAGGCATACTTTCTTCTAGACCTCGAACACGAAGGCTGCTACGCGGAGACATGTGCCACATTTGCACTGATCAACTGGTGCAACCGTCTCTTAAAGCTGGACCTGAACTCTGAATATGGCGATGTCATGGAGACTGCTCTGTATCATGGATTTCTCGGGGCCGTCAATCAAGAAGGCGACGCATTCTATTACCAGAATGTCTTGAGAACACGAGCGGAGAGCTAAAGGAAAGGAGCAAATGGTTTGGCGTGGCTTGTTGCCCACCGAATGTCGCAAAGCTCCTGGGTAACTTGGGGTCCTTGATCTATTCTCACGATCCTTCCTTGCATCTGGTGGCTATTCATCAGTATATCGCCAGTGAGCTGAAGATTACCCATGGCAACATTTCCATCTGCCAAAAGTCAAACATGCCTTGGCAGGGGCGAGTTACAGTCTTAGTTCAGGGATCGACGAAGCTCGCTCTTCGCATCCCGTCCTGGGCAAATGAATGGACATGCTCAACCAAAGGACGTATGGAAAACGGATACTTTTATTGCTCAGCTGAGAACACCGAGATTCATTTAATTTTCCCTGAAGTGTTCCGCAAAGTTTATTCTCACCCTGCGACTGGTAAGAATGATGTTGTCTGATGAGGGGACCTCTCGTGTACTGCCTGGAGGACGTCGACAATAAGGAAATTGACATTGACTGCACTGGCATTATGGACGGCCCTGTCAGTGAGGGATCGACCATATCAATTTGCGGCCTTAATGGCGTGGTGACGGCCAGGCTGAGGGCAGGCAATTGGGGAAAAGTAACCAGAGCTGACTGTATGAGGAGAGCCCCTGGGAATATGAGAGTCGCAAACGTGATTTCATTGCTATACCTTTCTTTCTACGGGAGAATGGAGGTGGAGAGGGAGCGATGCGAGTCTAGGCACCTCGACTATCTAATGTTACTGAGGATATCGAACTTGTTCGGAAGGGTTGAAAAAACACGAAATTGCGATATGATAAGTTTGTTGGTGCTTCGATCAATCTTCAAACCTGATCCATCGTCAATTAAGGAAAGCAGTGGGCAAAAGTTGACGGCTTCAAACATTCCCGTGTCCGCACTGGCGACAAGAGAGCCTTCTTCGTGATTGTCTGGATAAACTTGGAGATGCTGCTGCCGGGCGTGGAGTATAGACCTACTGATCTACTGAAGAGGTCAGAGAGCGCTTCAGAGAGATCAAACTTTATTTCAGATAGGGCTAGGTGATTGGGCACACCGTAAGTACAGAAGCTCACACGAGCTGCAACTTGAGTAGTGGATGCTAGATTTGGGCCCCGGGAGACATCTGTCGGGAGTCTCCATCTCAAGGGTCAGGCGTTGGAGTTCTTGACTACTACTTAGTAATGATATTGTTGATAGCACCTTAGCTATATCACGTTACATGGGGAAGGTCGGTATTTAGACTAGTTTCATGTTCACTCCATCAGCTGTGCCGCCCATTTGCCCCCGTTGGATCTTCTCCTAGCCGGCTACCTGCAGCAGGGAGCACATTCAGCACCAACTCGAACTTCCCATTCTGTCCTATGGGACCATCGGCATCTCGGCTTATTTGTAAGAAACGTATGATTGTCTACAGCTATAAACGGAGAAACCGAAAATATTTATAAAGATCAGACGAACACGGTGCGTTGTGCCTGATGCTAGGCGAGATATTAAACCACAGCACGAGCCAATATTTTCGCACCGACCAGCAAGGAATTCTACATGAAAACATGATGCTTTTTAAGTTCTCCCTCCTTTTTTTGTCTGCAATAAGCGCCATTGTTTCGGCAGTTGCCGTGAAGCGAGCCCCAGGTGGAGTTGTCAAAAAAGCTGGTGAGCCTGTTGTGATCGACCCCAAGGGCGATTATCTCCGTGTCAGCTTCATGAACGACGGCAGCCTCATAGGAGGATACACCGCTATTCAAGACAACGGGGAGAATGTTCTGAAGACTGTTCGCTCAGTTGACGGGGGTGCGTCGTGGCAATACCTCGGTGAAGTCTTCCGTGGACCGCGCGCTAAGCATGATATCAACAACGCAATGCCCCTACAGCTGCCGAATGGGCGGGTCCTGTATGCCTACCGAAACCATGACCGTACAGGGGATGACCTCCACTACACCTACTTCCGCATCTCCATCTCATATTCGGACGATGGTGGCGTGAACTTCAAGTACCTCTCAACCGTGGAGGAGAATGTTCCTGTTGCCAACACGGCCAGTGGTTTGTGGGAGCCCTTCCTCCGCCTGGCTAGGGATGGAACTCTCCAGTGCTACTACTCAGCTGAGAACAATGGCGAAGATCAGGACGGTTTTATGAAGTATTCCAAAGATAGGGGTGCCACCTGGTCAAACTGGATTGCCGTCTCCGGAGGGGACGTTACCTCGAGAGACGGCATGATTGGCGTGGCGCCCATCGACAACGATGGTAACCTGATGTATGTCATCCCAGCCCCCAACTTTACCTCTTTCCTCTTTCTTCCTTGACCTTCAGGCCGCCGAGTCCCAGACAAGTTCTAACAGTAACGTCACCATGCATAGTGCGGTATTCGAAGAGACCCAGACTGGCTCCTTCCAAGTCTCATACGTCCTTTCCCACGACGATGGTTACACCTGGGGCCAGCGTGGCAAACTATATACGGCCCGAAACGGAGGCATTGCCGGTGCACCCCAGGTCTACAATGTCTGGGGCACACTGGTGGCAAGCTTCATGACGAACGAGGATAGGGCAGGCACGAGTGGCTATGATGGGGCGCAGATGAAGGTCATCACCAGCACGGATGGCGCCAAGTCGTGGAGCGCTGGCACCGTCACCGGCGAGGTGGCTTCGCACTGGCCGGGCGTATTCAACGTGGACCCGACACACTTCCTGGCGCTCTACTCGAAGGATGGGCTTGGGATTGTGACTCAGCGGTACGAGTTGACGAACTAGCCTCGCTGACGAGTGAGTGTTTCAAACGTTGCTATTAATATTGGTGATAACCAAAATTAGGCACGTGAACGACCAGTGCAGGGCCCAACAACTTCCAATATCTCTATATTGACCGGGTCGAGATAGTTATAGCAGTGCTTCGACTGTTGCGATACATTCTCATCCATGATCAAGCTTGACTTTCTGGCATTCAACAAATGATTAGATTTCAGGGCTAGCAAGAAGAAAATTAGACATTCAAAAGAACATCAAGACTTCGTTGTACATTTTGTCACTCATGGCTCATCGATCGTGGAGCCGTAGTGTAGTCAACCTTGGCCAGCACTTCCGCAAATTTAGCCAGGTACTCCCGGTTTCTCCTCTCCACATCACCCATCCCACCTTCTCCCGTTACCTCTTGATCCAAGAATGTTGCTGCAATCTCTCGAATCTTCTTGATCTGTGTCATGTTAGTTATATTCACGAACAGGGATTTGGAATACTTTCCATCGAGTTGCCATTGGCTTCCAGAACCGCAGGGGCGGATACGTTGACAATACTCAAGAGATCTTGGGCAACAGATTCCCTCATCTTCCAGAGCTGGTCTATGAGTCCACTATTCTGGGGACTCAAGTCCGCCTCCTGGGTGCTGCTAGAGAGTGGGCGTCTCCCTTCCAGTTTACTCAAGCACATTTCCAGAGTCATGGATTGGATGTAGATGCTAGTGATGTGAATGTTCGCTCTCATGATCTCAAATTGCTCCGCCTTTCGAGGGCCCATTAGGTGTGATAGAGGAGGACTTCCTGGACTGGGAAGCTTCAGCGAGTCTGGGACTTTGCTGAGAGTTCCCTCGAGCCTTGCCATGACTAGTACGAGCGGGTCTAGGATGTGGTCATCAGAGAAGCCAATTGAACGCTGGGGTTCCTGAATGGCGTCTGCGAATAGGCGGGCGGAGAGGGACGAGGATGTGAGCCGGAAATATGACGGGGCCCCGGGAAAGGCCGTGTCAAGTAGATCGACCATGCATGTAAACACGTGGATGAGAGCGACAAACCCAGATATAACAGGGGTAGACGTCGAGATTGCTGTTGGATCTAGGAGCTGTTCATCACTCAGCTCGAGCGGTAGTAGAAACTCCCAGCTGGTATGTTTTGGGTCATATGCAAGGCCGGTGTGGGGGACAATATACGACATCCGATCATGTCTGCGCAACGTGTAAGCATGAACCGTCATCCATGGAGGGGGGAAAGAGTGTACATGTTGATGATGAGAATAAGCCAGAAACATCTCTTACACAACTCAGACTCTATCTTGTTGAGCTTTTCATAAGATTCTTCTTTGTAAAGCTCCATTTCGCGAAAACAATGACTTGCCTCGCTGGTGTACGCCCAACCTGCGATTGATCTGCCAGCGTAGTGCGATGCCATGGCTAGAAGGAGCGAGATGATGATTGAATCCACAGAAGGGCGATCCATCCAGTTGGTTCCTAGGGCTAGGCGGCCGACGAGCACTAGATTCGACGCTCTGTCCACCATCTCGCCGGTATCACTGTAGCTCGTGATACCGTAAGAATCCAAGGTCCTCGGGATCGACGCTATTGTTGCAGCGCAGACGGCCAAGCAAAGCTGGAAGAACAACTGGTCACGCTCGTAGTCACGCGAAGCTAGCCTTGAGGCGAAGGTCGGCACATGTACATACGGGAGTAACGGGTAGACTCGATGAAGGTAGTCGTCAAGAATGGCCAGGAAGACCGGCTCGGGGAGAAATTGAGCAACCGTGATGCGGCCAATGGGCAGCGCATTTGGGCTTTGGCTGGCCAGTTGTATGGCCTCGGCTCTTTGTCGAGCCTGTACTACATGCCTTTATGTTGTTTTATGAGCTCCCAGAGCGCGAACTATGTCGTTCCAAGCAGAAACATACCGGCTGGGAGGGCCCCGAGGCTTCCGTTCCGTCAGAAACGTGCAAGATACACCGGCTTGCAGGCATCTTCGGCAAGCAGCGGCTGATTCATCTGAAAAGGTACACTGATAGACAATCAAAGTGTGAGTCATGTCACCCGTTGTGTCGATCGCCATGAGAACGAGTGGCCTACCTGAATGCGGCGATCCCGGCAGAGGTCACAAGCTCGCCGAGCTATCTTGCGACCCCGGCGTGAGCTCTCGGTCATCGGTGGCAGTTAGGATGTAGCAACCCGGCGAGGTGATCCGAAATCCAATTTCGACGTCGCCGTACTCAGTCACAGGGCTGGCTGCGCGTCTTTACCCGGCCGCCGCCTTATCTCATGGTGTTGATGGTGGAGCTGAAGGGATGAGGAATTGTGGGTTGTGGAAGATGCGTGGGGCCCCTCCTTTTTCATCGAGGCGAGACTGACTGGGGGGTCAAATTACAACATATATAAATAGGATTAGGCCTAGCGAAGCCTCACTATTGACAACACTAACCGCAAAGAAACCTTCCGCGTTCGGACACGTGAAATTGGGGCGATGGTACAAGACTGTCCTCACTCAGTTACCCGAGTATATGGAGACATAAACCTACCGCAGACCTGCAGTAACGCTCACGGTGCCATAATGCTTTAGAAACCGGCCCCAGATCACCGTCTTCTCCTCGCCAAACGCCATTGCTACTGGCCAGAGCACTCGCCCAGCCCCATCCTCCCAGCTCAGAGGCCGCACGCCACCAAACAGGCTCTCCATCTCCGGCGACGCGCTCATATACCCCGGGTCTACTGTGTTCATGGCTACACCGTGGCTCCTCCACGCCGGCCCGGCCTCGGTTTCCGTGATCATGTTCAGCGCTGCCTTGGACATGTTGGTATGGACATGCGTGCCCTTCTTGGCCGAGTGATTCCGGCTCGCTTCAAAGATGCCCTCCCGCGAGGAAACGTTAATTATGTGGCCTGATTGTTGCTCCCTGATTTCGCTATGAGACATGACTGGGAGAAGTTCTCGGATTAGGATTAGCGGGACAAAAGCATTGACTGCCTGTGCCGTGATGATATCTGCATAGGGAATCTCAGACATATCTTGGGCCCAAGATGACTTCTCGGGCACAGGTTGGATAACTGAAGTGGAGGTGTTTGCTGAATGAAGCGCCTGATGAGTCCTTCCCTCCAGGAAGCCTTCCGGCGCACCACCTCCAATTCGAGGAGTATATGACGTCTCCGGCAACGCCGTGTAAGCGGGTAGGGACAAGTGTAGGTTGCTTTCCCTCTTGACAGCTGTCATCTCCTTTGCTTCCCCGTCCGTAAGCGTCTGCGCGGCATTGTTGATCAGAATGTCGAGTAATGGTTTGGTTGAATCTCCCGTTGACCAAGTCACCAATATGTTCCTGACCTCCGCAGCCAGTGCAAACGCGTCGCGTGCAGTGCGGAAATCGGCCCCAACAATACGCAGTCTGTTCTCTATCCAGCTGCCGCAGTCGGGTTGCCTTTGGTACCGAACAAGTGTATCGCGGGGATATCGAGACGAAACAATGACCTTGGCACCACAACGAAGCAGCCTCAAGGCCGTGTAGAATCCTAAATTAACTCTTCCTCCAGTAACAAGCGCCGTCTTTCCTCGTAGATCCAGCATCTCTGGAAGTGACATGCGCGACCCGGCCAAATTGAAATCGCCACAAGCTTTGCACATGGCTAAGAAGATGGGGTGAAATCCACGCTTATCGGACATGCTATGTCGGCAGATGTAGCAAGATAAACTACGAGGTTTTCTTGGGACAACATCCACGTATCGCTTCACAACACTTGACCACCAGGTACCTGGCGATGTCTGTGCTGTATGTAAAGCGCTACCTCTGTTGTTATTTCCGAGAATCTGATGCACCAACAACTCTCCATCTGAGACTTCTGCAGGGGAGGGCGGCCTCTTTTGAAAGTGTCGTTGGATCTTCTCAAGGGTGTTCTCATACACAACTTGCTGAAGCTCAATCGCCAGTCCTGGCTTTGGCCCAAGGTGTGCTGCAATCTGCTGAGCCTGCCTCGAGGAGAAGTCGGGCATATGAAAAGCGAGCAGGCTGGGCAAACAATGATCATCCTGGGCACCGAGTGGCCGGGAAGCTAAATTCAGGTCCTTTTTCAGATAAATGGCAACCTCAGCGGCGGGTATGGCGTCGGCAAACCGATCATAATCAGATGGCTCGAGGAGCAGTTTTTTCTGGCCCCTCCCTTTTGCTACTCTGTAGATACGAGCAACAGGCTGGCGTAAGTCATCCGCAAGAACTGGATACTCCTCCGTCATCCACTTGACGACTGAGAGAAACGACGTAAGCCAGTCTAATTCAGCGATGGGGGTCGGTCTGACAGTGTCTTGATCGTAATACACAATCAGCTCCATGTGCCTGGCGTCATCCTTGCTGCCTTTGAATCTTGGGTACTGCTTTCCATCGCCAGAATGTTCATGAATAAAATCCAAGCCCGCAGTGGCTCGATCCACGTCTGCGGCCAGCTTGCGTGGGATTTCTGGTGTCTTCTCCTGAAGAACACTGACGAAGAGTCTCAGGCACCAATCATAAGGTAAAAGGTAGTGATGAGAGAAACTGAAATAGGTTGAATTCGAACCTGACTTACGGGACCCAATTGCATCTCTCAGGCATCGGTCGGGTATCTGTTTGGCGACATATCTGAGCTTTTTGGGCATATGCCGGTCATTCAATGGAGTGTGCGCCAATTGGGGCGCAAAAGCAGCCTTGAGCATCGTTGGAAATCGTTCATACAAAATGGCGAGAGACTCCAGCTCTGTTGCCCAGAGGCTTTTGAGCAGATTCCAAGCTTCATATAATGGCTTGGCTATTGCCAAGAAGTCTTTCGGGTCCCATTCTCCGCCGCGGATGTCATATGTTTTGCCAAAAGATGCATTCACGTGAACTTCGTCCTGCTCGTGGTCTGCGTTGGTCTGATATTAGTACAAAAAAAGTGAATTGCGCTCCTACTACGAAGCGACATACCAAATTGATAAACTTCCTTGGGATCCCGCAAGAGCGCAAACACTGCTTTCATGTAGGCATTAGATGGCGCGATTCTTCTCGCCTCCTTATGTCCTACATCCAAGCCTGGGACCAGATTGAACAATCCTTCGCTCATTTGATCCAGGACCTCGGGGCCCTGGAGTTGATCAGCGCCAGCTCTCAGCAGCTCGCTCCTCCGCCAGCCATACTCCTGTGACTTCAGCAAGTGCATGTACGATCGCCCAGTTTGAAGCAGGAAGAAGCTCTTACTCGCTTCCCAGATAAGTAAGAGTCTTTCTGTCCTTTCCTCCGACGTGAACACGTGTCTCCAAGCGGGACTTTGAATGAAGGCGTAGGCTAATGGGCTTAGCTGACCGGTTACTGATACACTCTTTTGCACGGGTGATGACTCAAAAGGCACTGAAAGGAGTTCCAGCGCCTTGTGAAGTGGCAAGTCGGCGATGATAGGTTCGACAAGCTCCGGCGAAAGCGCCAGGAGCTGCGTAGCGATGCGCTGCATGGGGAGAGAAGTTTTAAAGCTGCGGGATATTGTGTCAGCATTAAGAGGCCAGATAAAAATTCAGAGGGGACGCGCCACTGCTATTTATTACATGTGAGACTAGCAGAGCAGCTGTTGGTCGCAAAAATTCCGCTTGATTTGGTGTCGTGAGATGTGGCCCAGTTTTCCAGCCGCAGTTCCTTGGCCTGGTTTTTCAGCTGGGCAGATAAACAAGAGCGAAGGGAGAAATAGCCTTATAGGTAGGTCTACCTCGGTTTATATCTCCTTTTCAATGATTGCTTTTCAATGATCTCAGCTATATACAAAAGACTGCGTTGTTGCTGTCCGGTACGACCCTATTATTTACGGACAATGTTGGCAGAGACTCTTCTCAAAAGTGGCTGGGCACAACATGCTCATAATGCAACAAGAAAGCCATTTTTGTGCTTCAAAGCTCAATTTAATCCCTAAATGGACGATACATGTTACTTTGAAGTGCTTTATTGATCCTTTAGTACCGGCCAATCGACGAATTGTAACTGGAGAGCACTTGTCTCCAGGGTAGCGGCTTTAGGAGGTGATGGCCCAGCAATGATCAAAATTAATTCTTATATGAGAGCTTGCTAACTCTATTTCAAAGCGGTGAGCGATATCCCATACCCGATCTATAATAGTTGTGGCCATCGCTGAAAGTACGGGAAAGAGTCTGGAGCGATTGGAGGCAATGGATAGCACATTTCCGTTGTTGCTTAAAATCGATAGTACCAATTCTCGTCAGATCAAAGCCTGTCGATTTATCTCAGCCTGAAATATTTCCTAGGAGTATAAAAGGATTAAAAATTATAGAATATTTACCAAGTGTACATGGGATACCCCCCTGGGTTGGCCAAATTTCTCAACACATCTGTGGAGGGAAAGATTGTTTCGTTAGTACAAGTATTGTACGTTGAGCGGTGAAAGCTTTACCGTCTATTGTACCTCAAAACAGAAGCATGAGGTCTGTTATATCCATAAGTAAATTCCATGCTCGGGTGGAAGGCATCGCTTGGCCCTCTTTTCCAAACCCTGTGGCTGGGCCGGGCTGTAATCCCCTCGACAAACCCATCTTCGGGCTCGACCTCCGTCTTGAGAGGGCTGCTCACGAGAACTTCTTGTAGATCCGCGAGGGCGAGAAGAAGTTCTTTAGGCCCTCAAGGTCCAATTCGTTTATTATTTTCATATATACATCATAGGAGAGGTTGTAGAATCGAAACTCCCGAGCTGAAGCCCAAATTTTGAGGCTGGTGAGGTTTTCAAATTGGCCAAGTTTAAGCCAGTGGAAGTCGTATGGATTGTGTAAGTTTTCCGCGGAGCCTCTCTCATGTGTTTTGAAACACGAGATATCGAGGTGGAATAACGGGGAGAGCGTCAACTCGAGGTTTCGAGTATATTTGAGAAATCCGGCTGGCTTATTTTTATCATTTGTGCGTAGCTCTCTAGTCGCGTTTGGTTGGCACACCCCGATGAATCTCTCCAGAGCAAGGATATCAGTGAACACAAATGTGATAGACTCGTAGAGAGATTTGAGGCACTCCGAAGACCTTCAAAAAGAGATCAGCAATCACATCGAGGGAGACGAAGAAAAATAATTGACATACAGCAGTTTGCATGACAGGAGCATTGGAATGTAAGGGCTTAACTCATCACCAGCTGGAGGGCTCTCATCACCAGGACTGCGATATTGGCTTATCCTATGTTTGACTTTGCCTAGAAATCGCTTCAATTTCCCCCGAAGCTTCGGTTGAGGAACCTCAACTGGTGGCTTCCAACACTTGAACCCTGAAGTGCTGGGGGCCATGACGAATTCTTCACCGTAAATCTTTTCTATTTCCTCACCGCATGCCCAGTGGTTATGCCAAGGCGACGCGAGACGCTTCTGGTAGGGTATGCTGTAGGTCACGCTCACCTCTTCAGTGATCTGTTCATTTTCTAATAATTCATCTCCTGCTGTAGTCGATCCTCAACCTCGAAGTCAGTAACGCATCTCCAGCGGCAAAAATGCCACCCAGGGCGATCTGAATCGGCATTTTAATGATCTCGATGAGAGACAATGTGCTGACGAAGGCCAATGGAACGCCAAAGCTCAAGCTAGATCGCATCTCGTACCTCACGGGGGAGGCGAGTCACGAAGGTAGATTTTGACTGAGAATTGGCAGACATGGTTGTGTGTTGTACTGTTAGCTTTGGGATCTAAGTACCGCATGGAGAAGTGATGTTTATAGAAGAGGGTGCTGAATGGACAGGGTTCTCCATGGGGTGAGCTACGAGACACAGTGTCCTCAATAATCTGTGATTGACAGGGATGTTGATGTTTATTAATTTATATTAATTTGAATTATGCTACTTCACAACCGTGCTGGCTTTTCCAATTACTTGAATATCATGGACCAGTTGCATGGGGTCAATATCATCGATGGATGGTCCCAACTCAGATCAGCTCAATGATTCCATCTACGGTCGCGGAAATATCGTCATAAATACTGATTCTTACCTCATAACCTCCAGTATATTCTGGGCACCCTGATAACTACAGAGAATTCAAATCCCGGCTACGGGAACTTTGTAATGAAATGGTGCTTTTGATGAAATTGCTGCAGATAGCGCAGGGCACAAATACGCAGTGAAAGCAGCATTTCACTTTGTCTGTGATTGCAAAACTCGAACTTCGAAAGAAAATAGATGATTGAAGAATTTCAGAGTATCAGACTAACTTCCCGCTTCGATGATATTGAAGCTGGAGTAGGTTGAGATCTATGGAATCTTTATTTTGTATAGTGCATCAGCTTGGCTGAAGAGGTCACACGGACCACTTTGCCGCCTTGGCGAGGAACTTCCACTCCTCAAGGAAGCTATTCTCAAAATCCTGCCTCGTCTTAGTTGGAGCCCATCCTATCTCACGAGACTTCTCAGCCTGCGTTCGGGATCGAGATGCAAAGCCCAGCTCTACCACCAACTCGGGAACATGAAGCTTAGCACTGCCATCCTTGAGGCCTACCTCGCGCACGACATCGGAATGTATGTACCCCAAAGCTTTACCCTCCTTCGCAACTCTGTCTGACAGCTCCTTCCAGGAGTGATGCCCAGTTTCAGCGAAATAAAGACCACTTTTGTTGGATGGTAGCTCATCACCTGCGAGCACGCGAGCGAGAATAGTCTCATAGAGCTTGACCAAGTCGGCGATATGAACGTGATCCCACTCTTCGCTGCCGGAACCAACGCGAACAGCGTAGCCATCAACTTTGGCAGCGCGGATCACAGCGTCAATCTGAATAGATGTGCGGTTGAATAGCCCGTTGCCTATTCCGTAGATGGTAGGGGGAGTCACAATATAGGTCTTGACACCTGCCGCCTCGCCCTTCTCGAAAACGACTAAATCGGTCGTGCGCTGTGGGTAAGCCTCAAGGTCTTCTCGGTAACGCTCATAGGTGTAGATGTCATCCTTATCCGAGAAAACACGTTGCTCAGCGAAAGTACCCCTGATAGGTTGGTCGCCGAGGCTTGACGTGCCACTCGTCTGAAATCATTAGTATATAGGAGTCTGATGTATGGAAAGAATGGTAATACTAACATGAATCAGGGATGTCTGTTGCCCAGTCTTCTTTTTACGGTCCTCTAGACCTGCAATCAGAGCCTCAGCGGCTGGGGTGTCGAACGAGCTCGCAGTGTGAATGACCACGTCGTACTGGCTAGCAATGTCTCTAACACCAGAAACATCATCCAATCCACTGAACAGAGTCGAGTCAATGCCCTTCTCTTTCAAAAGATCAACCTGCTCTTGCTTGCGAACTAAAGCTGTAATCTTTGCAGCCTTGATAAGAGGATTTTCAGATGCCAACAAGGTTGTTAGGACCGAGCCACCGCTAGATGAAGGTTAGTAAAAATGAAAGGGGAAAAAAGAAAGAATAGAGTGCTCTCACATATATCCGGTGGCACCTGTGAGAAGAACCTTGGGTGCACTCATGATGAGATAATTCGCTTGCTTGGGGAAGTTATAGTTGTAGAGAATCGCGGGTGTGATGTGATAGTTGCTGTATGAATGTGTTTGATGGGAGAAAGAAAAAAACGAAAAACAAAAGCTACGACGGCAAACAACCCAATTTATATTCGAGGAATACAAGAACACTGATCACAATTCTCATTGCATGCCGATATGCATTGCTATTTCCTGCCACGCGAAGACGGCGAAAGTTGCAATTCAAACGCCGCTGACCACTGCGGAGCTCGCTTGAAGTCGCAATTGGCCTAGGCGAATCTGCAGTCAAAGTTGCAAGCTCAAGGTCAGAGCCAGTGGAGTCTTTTCTGGAGCTGTAATTGGCCAGGATCTTGGTCCAGCGCGGCCAAAGTTGCCATTGCAGTGGTGGTGGTCTGTGAGATTTATTAGTAATGCTTCTGATGACAGTCCAACAAATTCGCCATGCTTGATAAGCCTCATCAGTAATCTGAATGACCTCATTTTCTCAGGGTTTAGCTGCCAAGACTTGCGATAAAGCCGACGTTCGACGTTGGCAACCTTTCTTTTTCGCAGAGTGATCTATTTCCCGGGCTGCATTCAAATGAATCACGATACATCTCCAACTCTATCACAAAAGCCCTGCGCGAATTGCCGGAGTGAGTGATCTGGATGGGTCTCACAATAAACTACTCTTTAGCAGCATGCCCTAACAACTGCCATTTGTACAGGAAGAAAGATTGCATGTGACAGGCATCTGCCAACCTGCAACACTTGCTCAAGGAGGAAGCAGCAGTGTGAGGGCTACTCAAAGACGCTCTCCTGGCCGGGAACACATGATCGGCGGCGGGCACTGAAAGCCGACATCCCGGCTAGGAACATCCCTGAACCTCTCTTCTTTCTCAATACTTCAAGCAGGGATGTTGCTGTGTACTATGGATCTCTGGGTATGTACTATTCATATCCGGTAGCTCTCTTTTTGTGAGAGTCTGACTCTTGAGCTGAATAGTAACCCGTCTTGGACTATACTCGCCAATGCATGTACCAAAGCCGCTACCTGGGCCTACCCTTGGAACATCTTTAACCCATAATGGTAAAGGATTTCTGAAATACATGGTATTCGAAGTAAATCAAGCTAATCTTTGATTGGACAGAATACACGTTCGCTCTTCAGGTAGTGACCTCCCATGGGGACCTTCGGCGAGACATATGCAATCTCCTATATCGCATGGCTATTTCCGACGATGCCGCCCCATCTCTGGCTGTTCGAAGTTCAATGAATGCAATATCTTATTATTCCTTGAATCAGATTTCAATATCGAAACATCACCAATTCAAAGCTATTTCCGCTCTGCGGGAGGCAATTACTCAAATAACCGACTACAAGTCGAGGGCACAAGCTATAGCAGCAAGTATGCTTCTGAGCATGTATGAGGTAAGGTTATTCAATAACACTGCACATGGATATTGCTACTCAAACCTAATTACTATGATAGATTTTAACTCAGCCGAATGACTTGCACGACATGATGCAAAGATGGACTGTCTACTTCAACGGCTGTATTATGATCTTCCAATCTCCCAACTTTTCTATAAACAACTATGATGGCGAGGCAGAAACATTACTGGACTGGGTATCATACTACTCTGTATTCTTCAAAATGTGTATCATTCACTGGTTTCAAAGGCAGAGCAGCAGCCAAGGGGTCCTAAATCATGAGACCACACTGTCCTGGGCCATACTTCAACCCCGTTCCAGCCTGGTAAGATATATGTTCGAATCTGCATAGCTTACTCATTCTAATATATAACATTAATTAGATCAAGAGCTCATTCGGCTGCTCTTTAGGGATGCTTCGACTTCTCCACCGATCTATAGAGTTGGCTTGCTCCCGCAATGAAAGTGAAGACCTTAGCCACAGTCATGAAATATTGGCAGCGGCAAACGACCTTGAGCATGAGATTGACACTTGCCAACAGCTTGTTTGCGATACTGTCGACAAGATTGGTGACGACGGGCCAGGAACTTGGAAGCACTACTCAGCAGTTGCGCGATTATTTCAACTCTCCGCCCTCATTTATTTAGACCGGGTAGTGCGAGGACTACCTGCTTCCTCTCTTCTGTCTCAACAGTCGGCTAAGGAGGCATTTGTTATAATGCAAGACCTGAAAATATGTGAACGACCATTCCCGCTTCTTATGCTCTCATTGCAAGCGCAAGACGACGACGAGAGGCGGATAATACTGACTGTGCTTGAGAATGCCACCAGACAGAGAGAGCTCGGTGATCTAACCATGACTGAAAGTGTGGTGCGGACCATATGGGCCCAGCAAGACTTGCAAGACGACCCCGACGTTGACGGGCTTGTCATCCTTAACCTCGCCTTCAGGGCGTATGAGAAACCACCGTGCTTGAGTTTCCATAGTTGGACTTCTACCAATAACAGGTTTTAATTGGATGACTGCCTCCAGCACATGACACCAACGCGGTTCTAGCGTTGAAGTTATTTCTCGGTAACCTCGCGTTAATGCACCCTCCGCCTAATTCAGGCACAGAAGACCGAGCCATTCGAGGCGAGAAAAAGCGACTGCTGTTTGAGTTGCAAGATATAATATATGTTCCTAGAACTAGAAGGATATGTGGTCACAAAGATGCTAGCCTCAGCGGCCTTCATACAGCCTCTATCGTTAAAACTGGCTGCATGGGTTCCGTCACAGCTACCAATCTTAATGTCTAGACTACAAAGTGATGTTCCTTTCATCGCTGTTTATTCCTTGTGTAGTTAGTCCTGATTTCATACACCATACCTTCCCAATATCTGCTTTCATTTGCTTTCCCTGATGCTGCGTTTATAGGAGCATATTTGAATATATTTTCATCCCAATGAAGGAGTCCAGTTGGGGTTGGGGTGCTGGCCTGCGAAAGAATCAGTCTCAAGCTCCCAAGTGAAATTTATTAAGAAAAAAAAAACAGTATAAGCTCACCGTGAATAGTCGTGAATCTAAGCGCAGCAGTGTCGTGCGCCGAAATCTTGATCTTGATCTTCTTCTCCGCCTTGCCAATATCCTCACCCGTCCACATGTCATGTACCAAGAAATTTACGTGCCGCGAGGACCTCAGTCCAGGAACTTCTTTGAAGTCTACAACGAACTCGCGTTCTTGATCTTCGGTGTTGAGGAGAAAGACGTGTAGACCTTTGACCGAGGCGCCAACGTACTTGTTGGGCGGGTGCACGATATCTGGCGTAGTGATGGGCACAGGCCCGTTGAGACCGTAAGGACGGACTGAATCCGAGTAGACCTTGTCCTGGTTGAAGTCAATGAGCTCTCTGTTCTTGAGAATCTCGAGTATCTCAGGCTTAACACCCTCGAGCTTGGTACCGATGATGAGGGGGCTCTTGAGCGCAGCCCACAGCGCAAAGTGACTCCTGCTCTCCTCGTACGTTAGGTTTCCGTTGCCAACCTCGAGCATATCCCAGTCATTGTGACCCCAGAAGCCGGTATCGTTCCAGTGACGCGCTGCCTGGTTCAATATAGGTAAAACACCCCAGCTGTAATCGTACTTGCCCGCCCACTCGGGTAAGATATCGCCAAACATGCGCCATGAGTGGCCCGTTCCATTACCCCACTGCTCAACGCGGGCGTGGCCCCAGGCGCAGAGGGAGTACTGGATGGTGCGGTTCTGGTGAAGCAGGGCGTCACGCATCCGATTGTAGCGGACGGCCGTCTTGGAGTCGCCGTAGCTATAGCCAGGGGGTGGGATGACGTTGTTGGGATCTTCCGGGTAGTAGATGTATTCGTCGGTCCACTCCTCGGGGACATTGCAGTTATCATACTTAAGATAGTCGATGCCCCAATCGGCAAATGTGGCGGCGTCGACTTCTTCATGGCCGAGCGAACCTTCGTAGCCACCGCAAGTAAGTGTGCCTGGTTTTCCCTACTTGTCAACCTGCGCTCGAAAGTGGTGGTGGGGAAAACAAGACCTACCAGCATCAGAGTAGATGCCCAGCTTTAATCCCTTGGCGTGAATTTCTTCCGCTAGTCCGTTTATGCCGTTGGGGAATTTGACCTTGTCCACGAGGATACGGCCCGTCGAGTTGTCACGACGCTTCTCCTTGTCGCTCCAGCAGTCATCAATGTTGATGTACTCATACCCAACCTCCTGAAGGCCGAGGTCGACAACTAGCTCTGAGACACGCAAAAGCACGGTCTCGTTGATATCACAACCGTACTCGTTCCACGAGCTCCAGCCTAGTGCAGGTAGACGACCTATTCCATCAGGGCTGACGAGGGCTGCAGCGCCACTTGCCATGGCAGCGCTGAAGAGAAGAGGGCCACGATTAGCTCGCATTGTTCTTGTCACTCTGCAATTTCTGTCACTCTACAGTTTCTGTCACTCTGCAGTTTCTGATAAAGAAGGTGATGCAAGAAGAGATGGAGACACGGTTATGTCTGAAGCGAATAGAATAAAGAGGAAGTTTTCATGAAATATATACCCTGGATTCTTCCATGTGGTCCGAAAGTATCCACCAATGGTTGAGACCATTCTCGTTGGTACATGGCAATCTACATGTACTTGGCAAATGCCATTGCCTATTCCAAAACTGAATACATGCCCGCAACAACATCGGCGTCCTGAGCTCACGTAAACGTCGTCCGATTTCCTCGACTACGCCCGCTACATCGTCGCCTAAACCGTGTATTTTGCCGGAAAATACGAACGACTGTTACTGAGATGGTGAAGCGTAACACCTATGTGTGGCGCGCGTGTGTGTAGTGGATACGTAAGTGTTGCATTGAGTAGGGCCCTATGTGCTACGTATCATATTGAGGGGGCATACGAGGCACTTCCTTTTGAGCGATATTTTTACTAATCTTCAAGCTTCTGTCAATGAATCGAACGTATGCAAACCCCCCTTGAGCCTCGCAAGGAGGACCTGTAAGGGCAGGTCCATTGCTCGGCTCTTTATTATTACGCGTTATAGCCACCCCCGGCTTTGGACCATAGACAATGCGGGGTTAGGTACCAAGTACATGTAGGCATGAGCGGAGATAGTCGATTAGTAGGTGTCCTTTTACGAGTAGAAGTACTTGCATCGTGAGTCACATATTGGGATTTTCAGGAAGTTTGAAATGCCGGACTGTGGAGACTCTGGACATGATTGGTTATAGCCTATCGGGTGAAACGTTGTCGAGAACCCTCGGCAGAAATCAATCCTGGCTTTCCGGTATGCTCGAATGGCATCAAGTGTTATCCACTATATGCGACAGACCATCAAGCCATTTTTCGCACGCTATGGATCTTGAACTTACCGTAGCCCTCCAGATCAAACCGAAATGGTGCCGAAGGTGACGTCGTAGTAGATGGATAGAGTGCTCAGTACGCTTAGCTAGAATCCAACCTCAACAAAATTATCATACCGATTAGCGCGGTAACTGAGTCCTGGCATCGTATCCTGGATCATGTGAAAACAGAGCGACGCCATCAGAGAACTTGACTAATCTCAACTCGAGAGAATTCTCTTGAAGATGCGACCACTGCGCGTGTGAAGTCTTCGTCGCTCGCCAGTAAGTCCTTGGACAGACATCTATTTAGCTATAAACCATGTCTTCGTACCTAGATTCATACCCCCGCTTCAGCATAAAGGTCTGGCTTTTCCGGCTGACTATTATATATCTACTTCGTCAAGAGATTGAGCAGGGATTCTTAAGCCAAAGACATTACATCTTCCTTCGAACCAGCGAGTCTAGAAGGGATCCCTGAGTCATGAGTGTCTCTAAGATCATGTCCGTGGCCCATTACTTGGTGCACGCCAGCTACTTGCTACTTCATTTCGATCTAGTCAATGCCGACAACCCCATTGTTCAGCACCTCTACACGCCGATCCCGCGCCTATCGTTCACGGTGACCGTATCTACCTCATGGCTGGTCACGATGAGGATGGGTCAACGAATTACGATATGCGTGATTGGTAGCTGTTCTCTTCTTCAGATATGGCCAACTGGCAGCATCACGATTCGCCCGTCAGCCTGGAAACTTTCCCATGGGCAGTCCAAGATGCGTGGGCTGCCCAGCTTATTGAGCGAGATGGGAAATTTTATTTTTACGCACCTGTTGTTGGGAGCGGTGATTACGGAGGATCCATTGGCGTGGCCGTGGCCGAAAACATCACGGATCCTTACGTGGATGCTATCGGCAGTCCTCTGATTCCACAGTCAGAGATCGATCCTGCTGTCTTCATTGACGATGATGGCCAAGCGTACCTCTACTGGGGAAACCCCAACCTATGGTACGTCACGCTGAACGAGGACATGGTCTCGTACAGTGGTAAACGCAATAAGGTTACACTCACGCAAGACGGGTTTGGTGCTCGCGGAGACGGTATCATGTATGCGGAAGGACCGTGGCTTTACAAACGTGGAGAGATTTACTACATGATCTTCTCCGCCGAGTGTTGCTGTCTGTATTCATCATCATCAGGGCTACACTGGAATTACTTAGTAGCATCTTGCCTAATAGCTCAGCGAATAGTAAACAACCGCCTCCAGGCGACCCCAATGCTGCTGCGCTACCGATCTTTGCGTCCCTGGAGATTGCGAGATGGTGTCTCGCATCGATCGGCCCTATCACACAAAGGCAGATCGACTCCACACGAGCGTGATGCCGACAAGCATGCAAAACCCAGTGGTGGAGTCGGAGGAGTGTCCACATGAAGAGCCAGTACTTCGTATCAACGGGCATTTTGATTTAGCGCGCTTCCGTGAGAAAAGAAAGTCCTAGGCATGACCACCTGTCAGACGACGTGCCGCAAGCTAAGTTGGGGAAGAGGCAATAGCCCTGAATGTTTGTATATATACCGGAGTTGTAAACGGAGAAAAGCAAAAGTCTGAATCGACACACGTCAGTTGCCTCTTGAACCTTGTACAGCTTTCCACTAGCTACTCCCAATCATGAAGGCGGCACTAGCATTGGGTATCTTGGCAGCTAGTTTGGCCTCTGCCACAAGTGTGACCATCACCGTCGAGGGCTTTGGAGGGAACACTACTAGCGGAAGGCAGCTCGAATTCCTCCACGAGGTGAGTTTCTATCATACCATATAGAGCACCGCGTTGAAGAACCTTCAGTTGACGAAACCTAAGATGACCCTGATGTTGACGAATTTGTCATCCTTAACCTCGCCTTCAGGGCGTATGAGAAACCACCGTGCTTGAGTTTCCATATTTGGACTTCAAATAATAACAGAAGTAAGTTGGATGTGTGGTTAGAATGTGGTGCTTTGATAAATAGATGTGAGGGTTGCGAGTGGTTCCGGTATCTCGGATCGCGGATATCAGGGTTCTTAACTAGGCATCCATTGTCTTCAATAGAGTTGACAGGAAACAAGAAAAAGTACGAGGGAACTTTGGCTGCAGTTACGAATGCCCAGGCGAAAACTTTCTACGAAGCTGTTAGGATAGGTCTATTTTTCCTCCATCACTACAATTAGATACCCAGGTGATATGTGGCCCTGAATATATTTACTTAAACCTATTGATAGCTGCAGCCTCTGGCCACGGGACGGTAAAAAGCAGAGTGACATATTATATATATTGGGACTCTCTGCTTAGGCTCTACAATTTAATGTGGGCAGTATGCTGATCGCACTTAATGCTGGATAGTGCAACCTCACTAAATCTCAGCTACTCAACAGACTTCAACTCCTCCACGGGAACCGTGACAAGCTCAGTTTCCTTGAACTTTCGTGGTGGTATTCCCCGTGCCCACAGCTCATCAATCTCAATATATGTCCGCCCTTTGGTCTCAGGTATCATGAAGAAAATGAAGACGGCAGAAATCGCAAGCGTGCTACCGAAGATGAATGCAATCTTGCCCCCGAGATTTCCTTGGTCAGGGTTGATGGCATACGGAAGAGACATACTCCAGATTGATGAGGAGAGTCCATTGACCATAGTGGCCAGAGCTTGTGTTGGGCCTCGCAGTCTGGAGGTAGCAGCCTCAGTTGCAATTGGCCATGCAACAGCACCGACGGTAGCTTGGTAAACTATAGGAATATTCATTAGTATGGTGCTGAGAGAACCAAAATATGAAATGAGCGTACCGAAAGACCAAACAGCCATGAACACAACTTGACCCCAGACCGCTCCGGAAGCCTTTATCACGGAAAGAATTCCAATGAGAAACAGTGTGATGCAGAGGGCAATGCATCCGTACAAGGCCGTTGACCGTCTTCCAAACCAGTCAATGAACCACCAACTGCAGATGTTCCCCACAACCATCATCCCACAAAGACCGACGGTTGTGTCGAACGATTTGGAAGTTTCCATGCCCGCAAGTTGGAAATAATCTGTAGCCAGATAAGTATTCTGCCATACAAGGTCAGCATGTTTGCAAAGACTTACAACTCATGTATCCGATAACCCATGCTGAGCCACAGCAGTTTTGAATAAAGAACATGCTGGTTGCGACCAACGTTCTCTTCCAGGCATCCTTTTTGAAACAGTCCAACATCCCCCCCTGGGAATCGTTCTGTTGCCTTTGAAGTGTCAGAGAGTCAGTGATCTCTGCCATGTGTCCGTCGAAGTCATAGTCGGCATCGTGAAGCTTCTCAAGATTCTTTCTCGCCTTTTCAGGTTTCCCATTGGCAACGAGCCAGTATGGTGACCTAAGACATTCTTTCGTAAGTACTTGCATAATCGATAACGAGACGATGAAGAGCGTAGCTACATACTCTGGAAAGAAAGGTAGGATGGCAATCCCCACCGCGGCAAATCCCCACTGGGTGGCGAAAAGAACCTTGTAAGCCCTGGAATCGCCATAGAAACTTGCTTGTCGCATGACACCGTATCCGATGAGTTGGCCGAGCACGATAGCGAAATTCATTCCAGCCGAGATAGAGCCACGAATGGCCAGAGGGGCCATCTCAGATCCGTATGGAGGTGCAGCGGTGGTGAAGACACCAAGAGGCTTCAAAATGTCAGCATCCTGGTTATGTGGTGGCATCAGGGAGGTACGCATACAATACCAGTCAAAACCTTTCCTCCGAGAAATTGGCCAATGTTTTTGCTGAACACCTGAAGAAAAACACCCCCTATGGAAATGATGAAAGCCGCTCCGATGACGGGCTGGCGACCGACTCGGTCGATAAACAGGCCGGCCATCCAGCCTCCAAACACCATAGCTACTAGGGAGTTAGACTAGAGATAGAGGCAAAATTTGGACATTGTGCTTAATGATTCAAGTTGGATGATACTCACCGAAGAGAGTTCCGGCCTGGAATCCGAGTTGCCAGTTTGCGTCAACAACGTAGTCTCCTCCGTACGGCTTGCCGTAGTCCTTTCTAAACTCTGCGATCGAGACGACCACACCGCCTGCCAATCCGTCGAAGCCCCAGGCGACGCAGATAAAGAACATGTACATACACCATGCTAGAGGAAGCTTGTTTTCCTTGATGGCTTCGAGTTTAGAGAGCGAGTGCTGGCGATGCTCAAAACGAGCAGCCAGGGACGAGGCAGCGAGGATGGCAGGTTTCCCATGCTCATCTACTGGTTCAACATGCTGGACGTCAAGTTTCTTAATATCCGCCATACTGAAATGCTGATGTGACTTGAAGAAGGGAAGACTGGAGAGAGATGATCTTCTGGCGGACAGAGTGAGGCGGTCCCAAGCACGGGAGTCACTGCTGCTTTAATACTCCAAGCCGGCAGTGTGCGCTGCAGCCCGAGAGGTCGGTATAAAGTAAGCGACGTATTAACGTGTCGCCAATAAGCACCCCGTGGGGCCTTAGAAAGCCAAAACCAGAAATTCGGGCCACAACTCAACCCCATGGAGAACGTTAGAGGCTCGAGTGGATTGATAACATGTGGGAAAACAATGGGAACCAGAAGAAGGGAATTAAAACATGGACCAACCCCTGAGTGTCCTGAGCTGAATCAACCCCTTGCAAACTGATGAATCCCGGTTAGTGTAGTGACACTAACGGAGAATCAAGGGAGAAACCCTCACGTGGGCCGGGTAATCTGTTCCAGATAGTAGCACCTACAACAGTTCTCCCCTCTGCATGAACTTACCCTGTTCCTGGCTGGAGGCTTGCTTCCATCGGCACCTCGCTTTTGACAGGCTCAAACCTCATCTCACTCCCATCTTGGTCCACAATGCCAAGGAGGTGATTCTTTCCGGTCTCGCCGCATCTTTCCGTATTGTGTGGGGAAAGATACTCCGATGATTCTCCTGCGCACTTCAACAAGAGACCTATGAGCAGGAGGTTGATGGAGAAACGTTTGATTAACACGTGAGGAATAAAATTTTACCAACAAGCTGGGCTATCTAAACTGAGGAAGAGAAATTCTCTCATCAGCGGTTTTCCAATTTCCTTCCCATTTCGCCGGTTCCGTTTATTCGTTTTCATTCTGTTGCAACTAGTTCGTAATGAGGGACCCGCCACCAGACGCTGAGCTGCGTGCTCTTGTTTCCCAACTCACTCTGAGCGAGAAGATATCTATGCTCTCTGGCAAGAATGTCTGGGAAACTTTTGATGTCGAAAGATTGGGCATTCCTTCGCTGAAAGTAAGGTCCCCTAGCATATACTCCACCACTTAATGGTTAACGATTGCTAGGTTACCGATGGGCCCAATGGTGCTCGGGGAGGTTCTTTCTTTGATGGGACTACAGCCGCATGCTTTCCATCATGTGTCTCTCTGGCTGCAACCTTCAATCGTGGCCTTGCCTCTCGAATTGGTGCGGCTTTGGGCCAAGAGGCCGAGACCAAGGGGGCATATGTCGTCCTCGGCCCCACGGTGTGCGGCCATCGCTCGCCTCTGGGAGGGCGCAATTTCGAGGCATTCTCGGAAGATCCTCTCCTTTCAGGTGAGCTGGCGGCTGAATACGTTAAAGGGCTGCAGAGCCAGAGGATTGGCGCAACTGTCAAGCATTTTGTCGCCAATGAGCAAGATACAAAGCGCTTCACCGTCAATGAAACTATTTCGGAGCGTGCACTACGGTAATATCCATCTGATCAATGTTGAGAGTTCAGAGTGCTAATTGAGAAAAAGAGAAATTTATCTCCGGCCGTTTGAGATTGTTGCCAAGTCGGCTGATCCTTGGTGCATAATGACGAGTTATCCTAGAGTGAACGGTCGTCACGTCGACGCCCAGCCAACCTTCATCAATGATATCCTTCGTAAAGAATGGGGCTTCGCGGGACTCGTTATGAGTGACTGGGGAGCAACATCAAATGCCGTTTCAAGCATTAAATATGGGTATACTTCCCGCCTGAACTGCCATTTGTACCAGCACTGACATTCTACCAGACTGAACCTCGAGATGCCAGGTCCACCAAACCGTCGCAAGCCAGAAATAGTACAGAAGGCTGTTGATGAAGGATTAGTTAATGTGAATGACATTGACAAGCATATCTTCTCGCTTCTCAATCTTCTCCGAAAGACTGGAAAGTTTTCCGACCGTCGAGAGCCGCGAGAAGAGCAAGCTATTGTGCGTCCGGAACACAATGCATTGATACGGGAGGCTGGAGCGGAAGGAATTGTTCTCTTGAAAAACTCACAGAAGGCCCTTCCAATAGATACTCAAAAGTCTAAGAAGATCGCGCTTCTGGGTCCTCTGACAAAGCATGCTGCAGCGCATGGAGGCGGGAGTGCTTCACTGAACTGCCACTACAAGGTGACGCCATATGACGCCTTCCAACAACGACTTGGAGAAACCTGTGAGCTGTCATATTCGAAAGGTGAGACCTGGATGACAATCAGCAATTTACAAACGCAAAGCTTACCATGTTCACAGGGACACACATATTCAGAGTTCTCCCAGATCTTGAAGCGGGAGCTGTCAACCGCAACAACAATCCCGGATTCATCGCTGATTTCTTCAGTAACCCGAACTTCTCTGGGGAGCCCTTTTACCATGAGGAATATCCTCGAGGAGCTTTTACTACCTTAATGAACACCAAGGTGGCTGGGATTGTTGAATCTGTCCGGTTTACTACAAAGTACAACCCTCCTGCTTCCGGCAAACATTATCTCAGCTTTTCTGGTCTTGGGCCATCCAAGCTCTTCATTGACGGAGAACTTGTGAGCATCCAAGTCAAAGAGTCTAAAGATAGTATGGCCTTCCTTCTAGGCGTTCAAGATGAACACAGGTTCCAATTCTACTTTGATTCAAACAAATCATATGATGTGGTTATTGAATCAGTCCCATCTCAGGTTAACAACTCTGATTTGTTTCTTCTGGAGGGCCAAATAGCTGCCCACCTTGGTTTCGTCGCCCAGGCGGAAATGGAAGCGGATCTACTGGCCGAGGCCGTTGCTCTGGCAAAGAGTGCCGATATTGCTATCTGCTTCGTTGGTAATACAGCTCAATGGGAAACCGAGGGCCAAGATATGGCCACCATGACTCTTCCCGCCGATGGATCCCAAGATAGGCTTGTCGCTGAGGTAGCTAAGGCGAATGCCAACACGATTGTCGTGATAACAACTGGAGTGCCGGTTGAAATGCCCTGGCTGGATCAAGTCTCCGCCGTACTCCAGGGGTGGTACGCAGGTCAGGAGATCGGCAATGCGATCGCTGATGTAATTCTTGGGGACGTGAACCCAAGTGGAAAGCTACCGGTTTCCTGGCCGAGGGAATATGAGCACACTGCGTGCTTTGGCCACTTCGGACTCGACAGCTTCGAGACACAACAAGTCACGTATGTTGAAGGCGTTAATGTAGGGTACAGGCACTTTGACCAGATGTATGAGACGGAGAAGGAAGTTCTGTTTCCATTTGGCTTTGGTCTGAGTTACTCTACCTTCGAAATATCAAACGCTTCGCTAGAAGGTTCGTTTTCTCAATCTACAGATGGGTCGGTGGATATTACCGTCCAAATCCAAAACACGAGCTACCGAAAGGGCGCCGAAACTATCCAAGTCTACGTGACACCTCCAAATCCCAGCAGCAATGGGAGGCCGCCCAAGAGTTTGGTCGCATTCGAGAAAGTCTCGCTAGAGCCAAGTGAGAAGAAAGGTGTTCGGCTTTCGTTCAAGAAAGATGCCGCTGCATACTGGATCGATTCACCTGCCGAAGTTAGCGGACAAGTATGGAGGGTGGAAGGTGGACGACACGAGGTTTTGATTTGTACAAGCTCTAACCCGAGCGATACCCACGCGCGATGTACACTGGAGATCATAGAGGGGTTCGATTTCAACCCTTAGGTTGAACTGCGCCTGTAGCTAAGAAAGGTTGTTATTTCCGTTATAGAGATATCAACTGTGAGAATAAAAACACACTTAAAATGAAGGATAATAAACGTCCCCATGCAAAGACGGACTGTTCACATCTAAGATTCCTCGATATTTGAAACCAAGCATACTGTGTTGGGGGAAAAAAACGAACAACACCACAGCTGTTAGCGAGCTTGAAATGTAGACTGCCAACCACACCAAAATCCAACAACCTTCCACAACAGCTATGAAAAGGAGGTTTTGAGTTTTGTGTGTATTCTTATTTGATCAAATGGTTCACGTTTACAGCTAGTCAATTGACCTATCGTAGCCGCCGTAACGCTGCAAAAAACGCATCTTTCATAAGAAGGGATTTTCAAAAGTGAAAATAAGAAGGGGTGAAAAGGATGTCTTTTTCTACGGATGCCGAAAAATAGCTAATTTATCTAACCCGGCCAATTTGACAAGTGGGCCCCGACTCAATACGTGATGTCGTCAGCTTCCATAGCGGGCCCACGGCATAGTAGATTGCAGATGAGAGCCCGGACAACCGGCAGTAAACAGGCACTTAGTCCGTTTTAAGAGGCATATTAAATAAAAGTACGGCAGTGTGAAAAGGAATCTCACATATCTTCATAGGTTCTAGCAGGGCAGACTTGATTCCGCCGGGGTCAAAATTAGGTTTAGCAGCTAGATCATTCTCTTCATTTGCAATAAATAACTTTATCATTCTCATACGAGAAGCCGAAGGCCGATCCGATCGATGGCCGAGGCGTGGCAAAGCAGCTATCCCAGACTCGACCCTCTTTGCATGCTGTTGAGCGATCCCTTCCGAATTTTGCAATAATTGGATTTCCATTATCCAATAAGTGCGAATCCATGTCACTTTCTCCTTGGCTTTGGGAGGTTACTGGCCTGTATTAAATCGCTCAGTGACATCAGCCCGGCTTATCAATCTGCTCCAATTCTTATCAATCTGCCCCTTTATCAATCTCTGGAATCTTGATCTTCTGGTCAAAAATAAGCAAAACATATTCTGAGCCTTTTCCATATAGCCGAATCCCACCATGACTGTAGGGCCCAAAACTGTGGTAGTACTCGGCGGCTCCTTTGTCGGACTGGTACGTTCGCTTGGCTGACCTTTGTTATTCTTCTTTCTCTTCATGACATTTCCAGCTAATCATCAGCAGTCCGCGGTCCGGGAATTGCTCGCCAAACTACCAAGCACGCACAGAGTGAGTTATTTCGTGCCCCGCCGGCCATCGTGTCCGAGCAGCGCCAACTAACCGCCTTCTCCTGTCCAAGGTGCTCCTGATTGAACCACACAGCCATTTACATTATCTCTTCGCTTTTGTATGTAATGGCCACCTCGTGAACTTCCAATCCACATCCCTGACCAACCGCGCAGCCTAGATACGCCATTCTTCCAGGTCATGAACACAAGGCATTCGTTCCATACACTGGGACATTTTCCGAGGCGTCGGACCCATCTCAACATGCTGTTGTGCAAGCCAGAGCAGTGTCCTTAACCGCGAACCAGGTGATTCTCGATCGAGAATGGCAGGGTTCCAATGTCATCTCGTTTGATTATGCTGTCATCGCGACAGGCACCCGACTTTCTCCGCCCGGCTCAGTGGAGCATGATGAGAAGCCGCAAGGCATCGAATACTTCAAGTACCACCAAGACTTAGTCAAAAAGGCTGGTTCGATTGTCCTCATTGGCGGTGGCGCGGTTGGTGTTCAAATGGCCACTGACATGAAGGAGATCTATCCGGACAAGAAAGTGACCCTGGTTCACTCCCGAGACCACCTGATGCAAGTTTATCACCACAAGTTGGATGAAGTGATCCGAGATCGTTTCAAAGAGCTTGACATCGAGTAGGAGTAGTCGGATACCATTCTCGCCATCGAATCATTGGCTAACCAAAGATGACAGTGTGATCACTGGCACACGAGCCGTCCTTCCACCAAAGGGCTTCCCGTCGGACGGTAGCCTTTTCGATCTGGAGCTCCAGAATGGCCGCAAGATTCCCACTAATCTCGTCATTCTTGCAACTGGCCAGACGGCGAACAGCCAGTTTCTCAAAGACCTGGAGCCATCTACCAGTACCTCAATCTTGAACCCCAATAATGGATTTATTCGCGTCCAGCCTACTCTACAACTTCAGGATCCCAAATATTCCAACATATTCGCGGTTGGCGATGTAGCAGACACTGGAGCCAGAAAGGCAGCCCGTCCTGGAGTGGAACAGGCGGCGGTGGCTGTCTCAAACATCGCCTCTATGATTGCAGGCAAGGAACCCAACGAACAGATGGTCCTTGGACGATTGGCAATTCATCTTACTCTAGGATTAGTAAGTGTTTCACACAAACTTGGTATACTGACAGAGGCAAATGGCTAATCGTGAGTGAAGCACAAAAATATTGTCTTCTTTAATCCCGACAAGGGCAAAACGGAAGCAGAAGTAATGTATCTAGACAAGTGAGTAGGCTTCTGTTTCATCTGTCTGACTAGATTCCAATTCGTGTAAATGAATACTGACAGGATCATGACGCAGTGGTCTTGCGGACATGGGTATCGGGGCCTACAAAGTTTGGGAAGGCCGAGGTCTGACCGTCACGAAGGAGGAAGACTACTATCTGTAAATTTTGCAGCTGAGATCTTGGCGTCCAATTTAGCAATGATGTGTAGTTGAATCAAGGCGACATTATCTCTTGCTTTGGGAGGAATAAAAAAGGAATGGTTTATATGCATATGGTCAGGGATTTCTATGCAATCATGTAAGAATATCGGCGGCTTCTGATTGAACCATAAGTGTGCTGCCTCAGAATGTGCGAGCCTTGTGTCAACCTCTCTTTCGGAAAGAATAGACGCGTGTCCAAAGAACATGAGTAGAGCTGGGTATTGGATAAGCCGACTCACGTCATGTAAAAATGGGTTTGTGCTTGGATGTGACTTCTAGTAGACATGGCGGTTATACGCTGATTCTCTTGCTGGTTAACTCAATGAGCCCTACAATTTCAGGTATACTATTGAGGCATTAATTAGCGTTGTCCATCTATAGCCACCATCCTTCCTGCCCATGTGTTCTGCCTTGGGAAAGCCTCTTTACTCCTTGTGAAATAATAGGACGACGTCGCGGCTGAGAGTGGACTTTGCTAAGTAGAAGAAGTTCCGTGACACCTTTAGCAACAGGACCACACGCTCAATAACAGCAAATAATGATGAGTTACATGGTTAGGGAAGAGAATGCGGGCTATACAGGCCTTTCATTGTCGAGTTTTTGGCTCTCGGAGCACTTAACAGAAGGAGAAGCCACCTAGATACCGAGGCTGTTGTCTGATGAGCCTGGAGGATCTGGATCTCTAACATAAGCTTTTTCTGATCAATAACTTTCAATCCTTTAAACATCTTTTCATCCTGAGCCGGAAGATCATTGTGTATTATTCAGCCTAAGAAACTACACGGCATGTGCGGTATCCTTCTTCGAAGCCCCGTGCGAAAAGATCAGTGTCGCGTTAGGGAGTGGTGTAGTTGGAGTACCTCTTTAGATAACGGTGGCTATTTCGACTGGGCCACCCAACCACAAAAGGCGAAAAGCATCGAAGGATGAAGTCTTTGTCTAGTCTAATAGATTCAGTAACTACCTTAGTATGCTATATACCATTGCTCGACGCAAACTTCTCTTACCTTTCAAATCTATGTCAGCTTTCGAGTTCAGAGTGACATATGTAGGAGATGGAACGTTGTAATCAGAACCAGTGGGACGCAAAGGGTATCTATGCCGAGATTCTTGATCCCAATTGGGTAATTTGAATGCCATGGAATCTCACATTTACTCAGACTGGATACGAGGACATCAAGGGTCTCATTTACATGCCGTGTTACTCCTTTTCAACAGCCCAGTCTGCCATAGTTGGTTCACGTGCGCTGCCCAAGTTACGTTGCATCCTGCCCATATTGTCCCAGAACTAAATGTTACGAAGAACACCAGTAGATAGCTGCCGGATGAAGGGCGTAAATCTTCAGAAGTACAACATATGCAAGTCGGCTCGGCGTAAGTCCCTTCGAGTCATATGGGTGACTGCGCCGTAGCATGTGGAATGTCACGCCGCAGTCGAATGATGGAAATTGAACATGGGGGGCTGCTTGGCATGAGGAGATTGTTTTGCCGCTGGATCGCAGCGGCGCGTTCTTTGGACAAATTACGAGAATCCCTACGGTGACCTTCCACATACGATCAAGCAACGACAGATTTGGGGCCTCTCGCTCTCGAACAAGAAATGGGTTGACACAAGCTCGGCAGGTGCAAAACTCTCCGATAATCTGTTTATATAGTATTGCTACCATCCCTCATTTTGGGTGAAAAAACTATTTCGTATCTCTCGGAAATCTTGGTGAACGTACAAGATCAAAGATGAAGGCAAATATCCTCGTACTCTCCCTCTCTGCCCCCCTGGCGGCTGTCGCTCAGACACTCTGCGGCCAATACTCCAGCAACTCCCAGGGCGGCTACATTTTTAACAATAACATGTGGGGTATGGGCTCTGGATCTGGTAGTCAGTGCACTTATATCGACAAGGTCTGGTCTGAAGGCGTCGCCTGGCATACGGACTGGACTTGGTCCGGAGGCGAGAACAACGTCAAATCCTATCCGTACTCTGGGCGTGAACTCGGCACAAAGAGGATTGTAAGCTCGATTAAGTCAATATCCAGTGGTGCTGACTGGGATTATTCTGGAAGCAACCTCCGTGCCAATGCAGCATATGATATCTTCACATCCGCCGACCCAAACCACCCTACTAGCAGCGGCGACTATGAAGTCATGATTTGGTAAGATCGGTGTTGTTTGAATTGGGACCAACTTATGAGTCGAACTGAGAGAACTAATTTATTTTGCAAATAGGCTTGGAAGATATGGCGGCGTGTATCCCATTGGTAACTCCGTTGGCATTGTCAAGGCTGCTGGCCGTGACTGGGCCCTTCACATCGGCTACAACGGCGCGATGAAGGTTTTCAGCTTTGTCGCCGCAAACCCTGTGACCCGATTTGATGGTGAAATCATGGATTTCTTCTATCTCCTCCGAGATATGCAGGGATATCCGATGACCAGCCAATATCTTCTAAGTAAGAAATCAACTCCGAACATGACTGTCTCTCCTTTTGTGCCTGGCCGTAACGGTGGCGCTAATGATTCAATGTTCTTTTAGCCTTACAATTTGGCACCGAGCCATTCACCGGAAGTGGCGCCAAGTTCAACTGCTGGTATTTTGGTGCTACTCTGTCTTACTGGTAATATGAGGGCCTTCAAGTTCCATACGTAGCCAGGCACGACCTGAGATGTGTTTCATGTGGGAGTACCAAGGACGAGTTTTGAGCGAATGTCCCTAATCTAACCATAGCACTTTCTTCAACCACGTCCATTTTGCTGATGAACGTAAAGCCTACTATTACAAGAAAGTCACGATTAAACATGAAATTTTAGCTCTTACCTCAGTGGAAACTCTAGTCGTCTATGAAGCCGTGCCATGATCTCCAGGTAGTCCTTCTCGTTCTCACTGGTCACGACTCCATGCCTAATCATGAAGTCGAGCATCACTAGAGCGGAGTTGGGCTTGAACTCTCTCCTGGCCAGCGCTGCCATAATATCGCCGACAGTAAGAAGCTGGAATGCCTCTACCTCGTTATCATTTGGCTTGCATACCAAATCAGCTGGCACCGGAAGCTCGTAGACGTACTGGCATTCCGGCTGTAATAATCCCACCTCCCCTCCCGACCGCCGATCGCGAACATAGAAGTGTGTGATGGCCCCAATTGCTTTCGCGTCCCTGCGTACAAGATCAGATGGCAGTGAAGCTTCCTCGCCGCACTCGTGGAGAACTGTGCTCAGTGGTGTCTCGCCAGATGCCACACCGCCAGCTGCAGTGCTATCCAACATCCCACCGAATGTCTGCTTCGACCGTGCTCGCCGCGAGATCCAGATTTTCATCGCACCGTCATCAGCCGGTGCGGGAACATACGCAATAACATGAACGCCGTATGTGACGACCCCGAACAAGGGGCAAGCGCAACGCTCAATGTGAAGAACAACCTCATGGTTGGCGCCGAACACTGGAAAGGTCTCGTCGCGCCAGCCTTTCAGGATCGAGAAACATCCTTTTTCGTACATTGCTAGAATCGTCGTGCGAATGGCAGCGCTGCGCTCTTCGACAGTCTGGCCACTTTCAAGCACTACAGTCCGCTGTTCTTCGTCAACGCTCCATCCTGGAAAATCCCTAAGGATGCGTAAGACAAAAGGTAGGATATATCCCAACGTCGTTGAAAGGCCCGCTACACGAAAGAGGTAGAGGCCCTGTGATGTTGCATCTTCATAGGGGAAGCCGTCGGCATCATCAACGATATCCAGATTGGAGGCCATAGTCAAGGGTGAGAGAAGTTTGCATATGACCAGCCTCTAGTCCCTATAGTTGAGGAATTGGACAATTGATGGATAATACACGCCACCTTTAACGCCGGAGAAGTTAAGATGGCGGTGGAATGTCGGCGCAAGAGCCGAGAAATTACCTGGGCTGTTTATTTCTCATAATTCGGCTTGTGGAGACTGACCCCTGAACAGCAGTATCGGGACTCCGGGTCGGTCTAGAGTTAAAGCTCCGAAGTACTGTTATGCCACTTGGCAGTTACTTATGTACTGTTTACTGTGTCCTCTGTTTCTCTGTAATTATAAAGATATTATAATAAATAATGAAAATTGATTGACGCTTCCTAGGTCATATGATCGCATCCATGTCTCGCGAAAGCATTATCGATTGGTAAGATCGTCGGGTTCGTAAAAGAGACTCCTCTTGATCTTTTAAGCGAGTTGTCCAATCGGGGGATTTATCGCCTCCATGCTTTGTGTTGTCACTTTTAATCATTCACAACGTCTCTAGAATTCTAATGCTCGGTGAATGTTTCGAAATTGACCGCACAGTCTTGATTTGGATCACACTGGATGCATCACCTCTGGCGAGAAACAGAGGGAACAACAGGCATGGCTCGAAAACGTCGCCTGTAGGAATCTTTGAATTATGGTCGAAGACATTTTGAATTGCAACATGAATTTTGTAGTCGAGATCTTGCATTAGAAAATGTCGAGTCGGGGAATAGTCAAAAATAGCATCTATCTGTAGGGCAGATGCTGGCTTTATTCAACTTCGGTCAGGATATCCTTAGGCGTATGCCCGAGTATGATCTTAATTCATGCTGTCTTGGTATTGAAAAGCAGCGAGAGGTTGGAGTGGTGGGTGTTCGTGGCACCCAAGACCAGGTCACTGCAGAAATCTGCCGTCATCCAGAAGAGCAAGTAGGGCAGCTTAAATAAATAAAAACAATAATACATAGAGCTTAAATAAAGATTTAATTAATTTATTAATTATAATAATTGATAAAATAAATAAATTATTAATTATAAATAAATTTATATTTAATTAATTTAATTATTTTTCTTTTCTAATTATATATAAATCTTTTATTAATCTAGTAATCTTAATAATTATCTTTATATAAAGTAGCTAAAAGTAATAATAATTATACTTATTATTTTTTTATAGGGGCTTTTACTATATATAAGGGATATCCCAAGATTAAGCTATATATAAGTTACTATTTTATATTAAAATATACTTATATATATATCCCTGAAGGTGTTCCAACCCACCATTGTCTGTTGTTCTTGGTCAGCGTTGATAACACAACTAAGCAAGGGGCAAAGCTATTGGCTGGCTATACCTAGAGGCCCGCCCCTATTATCCCAATTGGTCTTTCGGGCTTAATGTGTGGTATTGCCTTGAAGTATGCGGACAATTGAGTCGCAGTCCTCGAGAAGCAGAGCGAAAAGCGCGAGAGTCACAGGTCCAGAGATTTTGGATCCCTTCGACTTTGAGACCGGGTTTTTCTCTAACACACTAGTCATTAAAAGCATGCCCGGGCCTATGAGGCTGCGGTCGCATGATCACTTAAAGCGCCGACTGGTTGTTAATTAGCTGCCTATACCAAAGTCCATCAGGCATGCGCCTTGAAACCGTCACGATGGCTTCTGGATTTACAGCATACACATTCTGACTGTCCCTTTACCCGATCATACAGTACTGCACAAGGATGGGAGCATAAATGTACTAGCGGCTAGATTATGGCTAGCTGAAATATCACATTAGGCCAAAAAACAGTCAGCGTCAGCCCACCGTTGCATTAGTTATAACCCACCATGCGCAACTCGCCAATCTAGCGCAAGTAAATCATAGGAGTATATGTAGCTCAAGGGTGATGCTCTAGCTGTCAACCCAACTGCCAGCTGAAAAACCAAACCCCTGCTTTTCCATGCTGACACGTAGGGAATGCAAATTTAACCCTGTGAGGCTGATCATTCGATTAGAGGCTTTAATATATATATAACAAAAGGGTGGTTTCGCACCTAATCTCGCAGCTGGTATGAACTTGAAACCAGCCTCCTTAATGCTCGAGCGCGTCGTCGTTTCTCTCAATACTATTACCATTCGGGTCGCGACTGCATCTGAACCAGGGATGACTTCGTAAGACGGCAACTTCAAAATCTGCACCAACAAACGCTAAGAAATACTAGGAATAACGAGGACCCAGCTGCCACAGACAAGGACGGTCATGCCTTCGAGGCCGCACCGGCTGCCGAATCAGCCGTCCCCAACTCACAATCGACAGAGGCGGCCTTTGACTACGGCATTCCCGAAGCTATACAAAACCGAATACCTGAATTTCTGCGGCCGCTGATATATCAGTCCGTGGCCGAGGACCTAGTGGCTGACAAGGACGCGCTTGGTCCCGATGCCTTCATGTCTCGTTTCGCCTGGAATGCCCGGGGTCTATGTCTTCCTGGGCAGCCTTTAAACGACCTGAACGTCGTCGACATTGCAGGCGACGGCACCAAGGTCAAAATAGGAGAAACAGCTATCGGAACCGCAGACCCAACCCTCCAGATTACCCTTCCCCAAGGCCCCGGCGCCTGCAGAGTTATCGTCGGAGTACCGGAGCTGGGGGGCATGGATAAAGATTTTGTCATCAAGTCCATCAACCTAGCCAAGGAGAAAGTTGCCGGTGGCGATCCCGAGGAAGAGTTTCAACAGGAGCATTTCAAGAGCAGGATCAGACCAGGTTACGATCTAGCCAGACTCCGAGGCTTGTGGACTATGAAGGAGGTGGCGTGGAGTCCTTTCATCCTTCATATCCCGTCAATGAGAACCCCAAACGACAATGGCGTGGCTGCTTCCAGTCCATGCGAAACTGCCCTGCGGGGTGGAGGGAGAGATGTCCTGTACTTGCAGGTCAGTTGGATTACCGTACAGACCATACCTCTGGAGAACAATAGGTTTTTGTGTAGGTGTTCTTCGTTTATCCCAGTCGTTGGCGAGTGTGCTAACCTGCCAACGAACCAGTCGTATGTGCTCTCCCGTCCAGGAAATTTGCATCCAAGAACCCCCTCCGATCAGCCCACAGCCTCGCCGAACTGAAGAAGCTAGCTGGGGAAAACACCTTGACTAAAGAACAAATCTTTGAACTACTGTCGCGGGACTTGGAAAAGACCTGCAGGGAATGCTTCGAAAGCATCATGCTGTCAGATGAATCGGCGACCAAGCTAGCAGACGGGCGCCCGGAACTGCTCTGCCAGCTCCTCCTACTCGACATCTTCCGTGCCGTGTCGGAGAGCTGGACAAGGCTCCTCCGCGACATCGCGGCCACCATCCTAGCGCTCGACCTACCCAGCATCCACACCGGCGACCCGGAGCAGATACTCGTGGAGATGAAGGGCAACTATGAGATTTTCAACAACCTCCTGATGGCCGCGGTAGACCTGCAGAATAGTAACGAATACCTTCTGAACTGGCTGTTCTTCGACCAAGGCGGCCCTGACTGCGCGGTGACGGACGCGAATCGCTGGCTCAAGCGCGTGATCTTTGAGCTACGGGCCGACCTGGAACACAACCGCGCCGAGCTCGAGCGCCACAGAGACCACTGGTCGCGGCGGTGGTCCGAGGGCGGCGAGCTCATCAGGAAGGCCGAGTCCAAGAACGTGGCACGGCTGACACTGGTGGCGGCCATCTTCCTGCCGCTCAGCTTCGGCGCCGACCTCCTGGGAATGCAGTTCCGTGTGCGGGAGCTGGGCTTCATCTTATACGACTACCTGGGCCTGGTCGTTAGCGCGGGCCTGTTCGTCTACCTCATCTACAAGATTGGCCCGCGGCTGCGAGGGGTCATTGGCCTGTTCAACCGGCGGAGACGGGCAGGGCCGAAGAAGCGGTCGGCCTTTGCCCTGAGTCGCTTCTTTGTGCAGTCCAATTTTCCCTTGGTTTTCATTATTTTGTGGTCTGTTCTCGTCGCCTCCTTCATGGTTGGGATGATTGATGACATTGGTTCCTCATTGGAGGTTTTGAGGTACGGCGGCATTGCGTGTGCTGGGCTCCTTGGGCTGTTCCTGATAATTGCTTTGCTCTATGGATGGTTGATGAGCTTATTATTCGAATTTTTGGGTTGGAATGTCATTGGGTAGTTGGACCCATGCTGCCACTATACTCAGAACATCTTTATTAATTGTTTCTCTTAAGTGAAGATTGAATCTCTTATTGCTCCTCTTTGTCGGGACTAGCCCTAGGCCATATCCAACAGACGATCGCTCCCGCATTCCCCCTATCCATCCTCTTACTAATAATCTTTTATGAATAAAGGCCACCTTCTGGCTGTAGGAAGTTATATATAAGGTAGGTAGTATAGATCTACCTTAGGAATTAATAGAATTAACTTTACTTTAGAGAAGTAAAGTTCTAGTAAATATATTAAGTATATATTATATATAAATCGGGGGAGGAGGAGGAAGGAAGAAAGGAAGGAAGATAGATAGCCGGGCTAGTTAAATATAAGCCTACTATCTCTCTTAAATATATATATATATACCTATCCTCGTAGCC